AACAAACAGCAAAACTGCAGTTTTAAACTCATAAAATGACTAAATATAAATAGATTTAATGTTCCAATTAAAAGGCAGAGATGTCAGGCTGGATAAAAAAGGAACACCTAACTATAAACTGTATACTAAAGGTACACTGTACATATTAACAGAGAAGTTGAAAATAATAGGATGGAAAATGATATACCATGCAAATAGTAAGCATAAGAAAGCTGTTATAGGTTCTGTAATAACACATGAAGTAGACTTTGATATAACAAGTACCAACACAGACAAAAAGACATTTCTTAAAGACATAATTTATCAGGAAAACAACTATCCTAAATGTGTACACATCTAATAACAGAGATACAAAATTTATGAAGCAAAAATTGATAGAACAAAAGGGACACATGGACAAACCAGTAATCATAACTGGAGATTTTAACAACCCTCTCAGTCCTTGATACAAGTAAACAAAACTATGAATAGTAAGGATATAGGAGACTAGAACCACACTCATAAACCAACCTGACATAACTGAAATTTATCAAATATTATACTCAAGAACTACAGAATACACATTCTTCTTAAGTATATCTGAAAGGTATATCAAGATAGTCTATATGCTGGGTCATAAAGCAAATTCCAATAGATTCCAAAAGATCGAGACCCTACAACATATGCTTTTGGATCACAACAGTTTGAAATTGGAAGTCAATAACATCAAGCTATTTATGAAATTCCCAATATTTGAAAAATAAGCAGCATATTTCTAGTTAACTCACAGGTTAAAGAAGAAATCACAGGGATATTAGAAACTATTTCAAATGGAATGATGTTGAAAACACAACCTATCAAACTGATGGGATGTTAAAACTCAGCTGAGGAAAGGAAAATTTATAGCCTTAAATGGCTTTTATTAGGAAAGAAAAATGTATAAAATTGTGATTTTAAACTTCTAACTTACCAAACTAGTAAAAGAAGAGCAAATTAAACCCAGTGGATGTAGGAGAAAATAATGATTAGAGCAGAAATCAATGAAACAGAGAACAGAATAACAATGAAGCTATCAAAGCCAAAGTTGGTTTTTGAAAAAACAGAGTTGGTAAATTCCTGGCAAGACTGATTTTTTAAAAAATTGATGTAAATGGAAAAAAAAAAATTGATGTATACTTGATTCGCAATGTGTTAATTTCTGCTATACAGCAAAGTGATTCAGTTATACATATATATATTCTTTTTTACATTCCTTTCCATTATCGTTTATTACAGTATATTGAATATAGTTCCCAGTGCTATACAGTAGGACCTTGTTTATTCATCATATATGTAATAGTTTGCATCTGCTACCCCCAAACTCTCAGTTCATTCCTCCCCAACCCCGCTCCTTCTTGGCAACCACAAGTCTTTGTTCTCTATGTCTGTGAATCTGTTTCTGTTTTGTAAGTAAGTTCATTTGTGTCATATTTTAGATTCTACAAGACTGATTTTTTTAAGGTAAAAAGATAATAAAGAATATCATGAATAGCTTTATATCAACAAATTTAATGATTTAGAGGAAATGGCCAAATTCCTTAATAAGCACAACTTAACCAAAACTGATTTGATGTCAGGTAAAAAATTAGGGCTTCCCAGGTGGCTCAGTGGTAAAGAATCTGCCTGCCAGTGCCGGAGATGAGTGTTCGATCCCTGGGTCTGGAAGATCCTTTGGAGAAAAAATGGCAACCCACTATAGTATTCTTGCCTGGAAAATCCCATAGACAGAAGAGCCTGGTGGACTTCAGTCCATGGGGTTGCAAAAGAGTCAGACACAACTTAACAACTAAATAACAACAACAAAAAATTAGAATAGCCTTATAGCTAGTAAAGAAATTGAACTGTTAATGAAGAATCTTCATGTATCAATCTAGAGGGGTGGAATGGAGTGGGAGATGGGAGAGAGGTTCAAAAGGGAGGGAATATATGTGTACCTATGGCTGATTCATGTTGAGGTTTGACAGAAAACAAAATTCTGTAAAGCAATTATCCTTCAATAAAAAATAAATTAATAATAGTAAGAATCTTCAAACAAAACTCCAATCCCAAGTGGCTTCACTGGTATATTTTGTTAAATATTTAAGGAAGGAACAATACCTGTCTTACACAAACTTTTGTTTTATAAGGTCAGCATAACCTTAACATTACAAGAAAATGTATGACCATAAATACAAAATATTAGCAAACTGAATCCAGAAATATATTTTTAAAAGGGTGCTACTTCATGATCAAATGTGATTTATCCCGAGAGTTCTAGGTTGATTTAATATTAAAAAATCAATAAATGAAATTCAGTATATTAACAGAATATATGATCACCTCAATAGATATTAAAAGGTGAGAAATTTGACACCTATTCATGATTAAAAAAAAAAAAAAACTCTGAGCAAAGCAGAAATGAAGAAAACATCAATCTGATAAAGGGCATCTAGGAAAAACCTATAGCCAACCTGTTTACTGAGTCCAAGCTTGTACCACTCACTGTATGACTGGCCAGTAAATTCAAAGACAAGCTGCTGGGGCAGGGAATAATGACTTTGTTTGGAAAGCCAACAGACCAAGAAGATGGTGGACTAGTGTCCTAAGGAACCATCTTTCAAAAGTTAGAACTGAGCCTTCTTTTATATTAAAAGGGAAAGCGGTGTGGCTGGTTGTTGAAAACTTCTTGGCACTGGAATCCTTTGTTCTTACTGCCGTTGACCTAGGTCTGGCATGATGTTCCTACAAACCTCCGACAAGACAAATGTTATTCTCTGCTTTCAAATTTTTCTCTCTCTATGAATGGAAAGGTGTTACACCTCTAAAGATCAGAGTCCTGAGAATGGACTATCCTGTATATTTCAGGCTGAAGGCAGCATTATTTTGAGTTTGAGGAACCCTTGGTGCAGAGTCAGCGTGACTAAGCACAGGCAACAGACCACACATGTTAGAGCTAAAGGAATGGATTCAGTATGGAGTCAGGTTTGTTCTTCCCTGTTACAGAGTTTGTGATTAAAGTGAACATTGATTGTTTCCCTGCTGAGATTAGTAATAAGATAAGTGTGTCAACTCGCACCAGTTTTATTCAGCTTTCTTCTGAAGCTATAGGAGGTGCCATGTGGGAAAGAAGCAAAATAAAAGGCATAAGGATAGGAAAAGAAGAAATAAAACCCATGTATTCCCAAATGGCATGACTGTTTACATAGAAATTTTTAAGAACTCTACAGAACAGTAACTCTCTAGAGCTAATAAGTGAGTTAGTGAATTGCATAATACAAGTGAATTAATAAATTCTATATACCAGCAACAAAAAATTTGAAAATGACCCTTTAAAAACAATTCAATTTACAGAAGCATCAAAGAATGTAAAATAGTTAAGAATAAATTTAATAGAGATGTAGAAGATCTGTACTTGTAAAACTATAAAACTATAAAATAATGCTGAGGGAAATTAAAGACCCAGATAAATGAAAACTTACATCCATGGATTTGAAGGCTCAGTACTGTTAAAAATGTCATTTCTCCTCAAGTTCACCTGTAGGTTTGATGTAGTTCTGATCAAAACCCCAATATGCTTTTTTAAAAACAGGAAGTGGCCAACTGAATAGTTCATGACAGTGAAAGTCCCTCCGAGGCGTCTGACGCTTTGCGACCCTAGAGCCGGGAGGCTCCTCTGTCCCTGAGATTCTCCAGGCGAGAAAATTTCATAGCAAAATCCAAAGATCCCAGAACCGTCAATGTACTCTTTTTTCTTTAGTATTTTTTAATTTATTTGGTTGTACCAGGCCTCAGTTGTGGCACACAGGATCTTTAGTTGCAACATGTGGGATCTAGTTCCCCACAAGGGATCACACCAAGGCCCTCTGCACTGGGAGCAAGAGTTTTAGCCACTGGACCACCAGGTAAGTCCCAGCGTAGTCTTGACAAAGAGAAATAAAGCAGTATAAACAAATAGATAAGTGGAACAGAATAAAATTAGATATAGTACACAGTCAGTTGATTTTTTGACAAAGGTGCCAAGGCTATTAAAAGGGGAAGGTTTTTGATGAACTAGTTTGTGTGAAACAAGTACATGTATGGAAGAAGTGAAAGCTTGACCTCTACCTCAGACCACAACAAAGTCAATCTGAGATGCCCGTAACCTGAAGGTAAAAGCTGAAAACACAAAGACCCTAAAAGAAAGCAAAGAATGTCTTTATGATCTTGGAGTAGGCAAAGATTCATCAAAGAGGACACAAAAGGCAGTAAACAACGAAAAAACTGGTAAATTTATTTATTATTTAAATTTATTTAGGTTTCACCATAATAAATTTATGCTCAAAAGACACCTTAAAGAGAATGATGTAAAACAGACTGGGAGAGGCTATTTGGACTACATATATTTGACAACAGTGCACTGTTTCATACCAGGCAAAAGCCCAAACCAAACAAGCCAACAACAGACTGACCAGCGTGTGTATTTCCTGGACTTGCATCACCTGAAGCTCTCACACTCCAGGCGGGAAGGCAGCACGGGATGGCCACTTTGGAAAACAGGTGACAGTCTCCTGGAAAGTTAAGACACTAGACCACAGGACCCAGACAACCTGGGCAAAGTGGTTACACCCGCATACATTTCCCCAAACTCACGGAATTACAAATTAACACCTATGTATTTTATCGTATCTAAACTTTACGGCTCTAAAAGCAAAACAGAAAGTCTTAAGATGACGTGAACACCAAAGAGCAACTCGCGGGGATCCCCTTGGGTCCCTCGGGATCCGCGAGCCCGAGAGGAAACGAAACCGCGCCGGGAGCCTGGGCGTCCCGCCCCCACCGCTAGTTGCAGTTTCGATTTTTCCTCCGCAGCCCGGGTTCCCCTGCAGCTCCGCCTCCGCGCTGGGTGCTCACTTGGGAAAATTTCTCGCGCCTCACAGCTGTGTTTTCTCGGAGCGCAGCCGAGCGGAGCCCAGCCGAGCGGAGCGCAGGCGAGGCAGGTGGTCGCGGGGAGCTGAGCCGCCGGAATGACGGCCGAACAGCGGCGGAATTTGCACGCCTTCCGCGGCTATGTCAGGAAGATCCTGGATCCTACCTACATCCTGAGCTACATGACTCCCTGGTTTAGGGACGGTGAGTGGTTGCCGCTTGTCCCTTGGGGCAAGAAAACAGTTCAGGACTTATTTCTTATTCCCCTTCCACCCCTATCCCGGTCTTTCAATCAATAGAGTTAACGCCGGGTTTGTGGCAAGATCTTCGCAATATTTTAGACTGGGGATTGTCAAGAGTTTGAGAAGCCCTTGGAAGCCCAGATGGGGAAACTGAGTCCCAGCGAAGTGAAACGACTTGCTTAGAGCTGCACATTTGTTTAGACTTAAAGCTGGGGAAACATGTCGCTGTCCATTTCATTTATTTCTGCTAATAATTATGTCCGTCTACTGTGTTGGTCTTTGGGCTGACATCAAATATTCAGAATAAGATGCAAGCCCTTCCTTAAAATACTTTAATAAAGTCAGGGGGTTGGTGGAGACAGGTGAGGACCGAAGTACACAAATGATAAGAAAGTGCTGTACTCCGGAAGAAGTTGAGACTCACTCTGTCAGATCTTGATCTTATCAGCAGATAACTGGAAACTTTTATAAATTTGATTTTTATTTTATATTGGTTATAGTTGATTTACAATGTTGCATTAGCTTCATGTACAGCAAAGTGATTCAGTTATACCTATATATACCACCTATACCATTCAGATACACCTATACCATTCTTTTTCAGATTCTTTTCTCATATAGGTTATCACAGAATATTGAGCAGAGTTCTAGGCACTATCCAGTGGGTGCTCCACAGATTACCTGTTTTGTATATAGTAGTGCGTATATGTTAATCCAAGACTCTTAATATCTCTCTCCCCCACCACTCCCCTTTGGGAACCATAAGTTTGTTTTCGTGGTCTGTGAGTCTGTTTCTGTTTTGTAAACAAGTTCATTTGTATCATTTTTAAGATTCCACATATAAGTGATATGATATTTGTCTTACTCTGAGTTCACTTAGTATGATAATCCCTAGGTATATCCATGTTGCTGCAAATGTCATTATGTCATTCTTTTTTATGGCTGAGTAATATTCCATTGTATATATGTCCCATATCTTTTTAATCCATTCCTCTGTCATTGGAGATCTAGGTTGCTTCCATGTCTTGGCTACTGTAAATAGTGCTTTAATAAATACTGGGGTGCATGTATCTTTTCAGATTATGAGAGGAGCAAGACTCACTGGAGTGAACAGCTTTAGGCTTCAATTCAGGTGTTTCCGCACAGCATTTGAGTCCCATGATGATGGATAATGGCCATTTTACAGATTTGTATTGAGGTACTTTGTGCCAGGGGTGAGCAGAGCCTTGGGGAGAAGAGAAGGGAGGGGCTGCCTGGAAAGAGTGAGGTGAAAGAGGGAGTCTGCTCCAAAAAACGCCTACATAACTTTCCTGATGTGAGTCAGTTTTTGGAAACTGTATTAAAGCTGACAGGAAACTTGAGTGCTAATTGCTCTGTAAAACCAAAGCACAGGTTGTGGAGTGAGGAGTGAAAGAATACCACCAACACAAAGGACTCCCACTTTGTTGCTATGCTCAGAGACAAGTAACAAAATATCATCCTAATGGCCACAGAGTAGTTGGGGCCCTTGAAGAATGTAAGCCATGCAAGACATCTGTCTCTTCTAGAAATCCTCCAAAAAGTGAAACACTAACAATGATATGAATCCCCTTCTTTCATGTATTAGTATACTGATTTAATAACCAGCAATTTAGCACCAGTTGAGGTGTGTGTCAGGCCTTAGGCTAGCATTAACACATACTACTACACATAATAGTTAATAGGAAGCATCCTTTTAGGAAATGAAGGATCGATAAGAATGGTTCTACTCTGAGATTAGAGTGCATATGTGAAGTCAGGTAACTGAACAATAGATAATAAAAGTGTGATGACTGTGTTGATGGAAAACCATAGTGTGCTTATGGAGTGCATAGGTGGGATTATTATTTAATATATATTAACTTTAATTTATAGTTATAATACATCACAATAAAAATACCAAAAGTTTCTGCAGAGTATGTATCTCCCTGAATAAACCTTAAAAAAAAAAAAAAGACAATAAACCCCTCATAAAACAAAACAAAAAAACCCCAAAAGGTAAGTTTAAAAAGTGAGCTTGAGGGCTTCTCTGGTAGCTCCATGGTAAAGAATTGCCTGCCAGTGCAGGAGACATGGATTCAGTCTCTGATCCGGGAAGATCCCACGTGCCGCGGAGCAACTAAGCCCGTGGGCCACAGCTATTGAGCCTGTGCTCTAGAGCCCGAGAGCCACAACTACTGAGCCACCTGCTGCCACTACTGAAGCCCGTGTGCCTAGACTGTGCTCCAACAGAAGAAGCCACTGCAGTGAGAAGCCTCCACACAGCTAGAGAGTGGCCCCTGCTCTCTGCAACGAGAGCCGCCCATGCCGCAGTGAGGACCCCGTGCAGCCAGAAATAAATAATTTTTAAAAGCAAGCTTACAAATACTGTGTATAATATTATCTTATTTTTCAATGTTAACAATACCCTAGAGTTTTTATTTCAAGTCCTGCCCCATAGGCAGCTGTTTTCATGTAGTTGGTTTACATCTTTCCTGTTCATTTCTTTGTATTTTATCACATAAACTCTTTGCTTTTCACCCCACTTTTCCTGTTTTCTGTTACACTGATTAAATTATCTGTCCCTCCCCCATCTTGTTTTCTCAGCTCTTTTGGTTAAATCCTAACCCCAGGCTTCAGAATGTGACCTTAAGACCCAGCAATCTTGTGCCTAGCTGTATATGTACTTAAGAGAAATGAATATATATGTCCACACAAAAACTTGTACATGAACGCTTATAGCATTACTGTTCATAAAAGAAAAAATGTAGAAACCTAAATGCCCATTAACTAACTGGTGTATCCATACAATGGATTATTATTCATCAGGGAAAAGGAGTAAATATGATACATGATTACAACATGGATGAACCTTGAAAACATTATGCTAAGTGAAAGAACCCAGCCATGAGGACCACATACTCTATAATCCCATTCATATGAAATGTCCAAAATAGGCAAATCCATAGTTACCACAGGGGAAATGGGGAATGACTGCTAATGGGTATAAGATTTCTTTTTACAGTAATAAAAAGGCAGTAAAATTATATAGTGGTAATGGATTTACATCTCTAAAAGCCATTGAATTTTATACTTTAAAAGGGTTTGTTTTATTGTTGCATAGACCTTGGCAGAAAAGGGAGGCATTCCTTCCTGTCTTCTTACATTCCTTCAGCATACCTTTGTTAAGTGTACATTGAATATGAGGTCTTCTAAACTCTGCGAATACAGAGGTTAACCTGCCAGACAATTGGAATTACTCCCTTAGAATTTACATCCCACTGACAATGGGTCTTCCCTGGTGGTTCAGACTGTAGAGCATCTGCTTACAGTGCGGGAGACCTGGGTTTGATCCCTGGGTCGGGAAGATCCTCTGGAGAAGGAAATGGCAACCCACTCCAGTACTCTTGCCTGGAAAATCCCATGGATGGAGGAGCGTAGTAGGCTACAGTCCATGGTGTCGCAAAGAATCGGACACAACTGAGCAACTGACTTCGCTTTGCTTCGACAGTGGGGAAAATTATCAAATGTCAGGTTGTACGAAGGTAATGGTTTGGTTATCAGCCCAAACATGGAGTCACTGTGCAGAATCAGTAAGACCACCAGCTGGTTGGTGGATAGTTGTCTGTTACCTGGCCTCACTGTGTTTTCTTTAGCTTCTTCTGCTTTTTCTTTTCTACCATATTTCCTACCACCTGTTGACCTGAAATAAATAGACTGCCAGATATTTCTCCAGCAAAGACAAACTTTTTCAGTATCAGCAGAGAACTGCAGTCTAGGATGTGCAGTCATGGCAGCCACATGCAGGTCCCTGCAGGGCAAAGGAAGAACACTTCTATAGAAGAGAAAAGGAGGCTGGGAGGGGCTGTAGTGGCCCTACAGTGGCTTTTCCTTGGCTCAGTCCTTGCCAGGAAAGAAGAGAAGTCTGACTTCTTCCTCTTGGGCTCTGCTATGGGCACAGGTCATGAGAGCGCCCCCTTCTGGTCTCCTGACTCCATTGTGATTGCTGTTGACTAAGTTTTTTACATGTCTTAGCAAAAGCCTGGAAAAAGGACCAAGAAAGGACCTCTGTTTATTCTAACTCTGGTTGCTGTTCACTTCAGTTCAGTTCAGTCACTCAGTCGTGTCCGACTGTTTGCAACCCCATGGACTGCAGCATGCCAGGCCTCCCTGTCCATCACCAACTCTTGGAGCTTACTCAAACTCATGTCCATCGCGTTGGTGATGCCATCCAACCATCTCATCCTCTGTTGCCCTCTTTTCCTCCTGTCTTCAATCTTTCCCAGCATCAGGGTCTTTTCCAGTGAGTTTGCTCTTCGCATCAGGTGGCCAAAGTATTGGAGCTTCAGCTTTAGCATCAGTCCTTCCAATGACTATTCAGGACTGATTTCCTTTAGGATTGACTGGTTGGATCTCCTTGCAGTCCAAGGGACTCTCAAGAGTCTTCTCCAACACCACAGTTCAAAAGCATCAATTCTTTGTGGTGCTCAGCTTTCTTTATAGTCCAACTCACACATCCATACATGACTACTGGAAAAACCATAGCTTTGGCTAGACGGCTAGACAGACCTTTGTTGGCAAAGTAATGTCTCTGCTTTTTAATATGCTCTCTATGTTGGTCATAACTTTTCTTCCAAGAAGCAAGTGTCTTTTAATTGCGGATGGCTGCAGTCACCATCTGCAATGATTCTAGAGCCCAAAAAATAAAGTCAGTCACTGTTTCCCCATCTGTTTGCCATGTAGTGATGGGACCAGATGACATGATCTTAGTTTTCTGAATGTTGAGCTTTAAGCCAACTTTTTCACTTTCATCAAGAGGCTCTTTTGTTCTTTGCTTTCTGCCATAAGGGTGGTGTCATCTGCATATCTGAGGTTATTGATATTTCTCCTGGCAGTCTTGATTCCAGCTTGTGCTTCATTCAGCCCAGTGTTTCTCATGATGTACTCTGCATATAAGTTAAATAAGCAGGGTGACAATATACAGCCTTGACATACTCCTTTCCTGATTTGGAAACAGTCTGTTGTTACATGTCCAGTTCTATCTGTTGCTTCCTGATCTGCATACAGATGTCTCAAGAGACAGATAAGGTGGTCTGGTATTTCTATCTCTTTCAGAATTTTCCACAGTTTATTGTGATCCACACAGTCAAAGGCTTTGGCGTAGTCAATAAAGCAGAAGTAGATGTTTTTTTGGAACTCTCTTGCTTTTTCGATGATCCAACAGATGTTGGCCATTTGATCTCTGGTTCCTCTGCCTTTTCTTTTCTTTTTTCCCTCTGCCTTTTCTAAATCCAGCTTGAACATCTGGAAGTTCACAGTTCATGTACTGTTGAAGCCTGGCTTGGAGAATTTTGAACATTACTTCACTAGCGTGTGAGATGAGTGCAATTTTGTTGTAGTTTGAGTGTTCTTTGGCATTGCCTTTCTTAGGGATTGGAATGAAAACTGACCTTTTCCAGACCTGTGGCCACTGCTGAGTTTTCTAGATTTGCTGGTTGCTGTGTCCACTGTAATTGTCACTGATGACAGGAGTGGTCCTATCCTCACGCCCTTTTATTCCTGTGATTAATTCAGACTTTTGAATAAGAAACATTCAAATGTTAGAAGAAGCCATGGTTTTTCTACCTAACCTGGTGCTACCGTGACTTCTCACTTGTTAAGGGGAGACTCTTGCAGACATCTTTAAGAAACTCCTTTTCTTAAGGACTGCCCTCCAGCGTGTGTCTGGACTTCCACAACAGATAGGAGAAGTTTCCAGAGAGGCTGGGGGTAGGGGTGGGGGCTAGTGAAGAATGGGTATGATTGACCAAGACAGAGAACTTGCTGCTCTCCTGCAGGTCCTTCCATTGCTGTGAATCCCCAGCCCCGTTGGAGAAGATCTGACAACCCTTGCAATGATTAGTGGTCTTCCCTCCAATGATTAGCGGTTCTGCAGTTTGATGAGTCCCTCTTGCCTCTGTTTGTAGATGTGGTGCAGCATATTCAGGCTGAGAAAAACAACAAGGGGCCCATGGAGGCTGCTTCACTTTTCCTCCAAATCCTATTGGAGCTCCAGGAGGAAGGCTGGTTCCGCGGCTTTCTGGATGCCCTTCACCAAGCAGGTTAGTTCATTCTTTTTACTCACAAATTAGCGTATAGTACTTGACTGTTTAAAGATTCTGTAAAGGTGAAATTCTATTAGTTTATAAGTATCCACATTTAGTTTATGTCTCTTAATCTGAAGCAATGTAAAGACTATTTTCAGGCAGATGTTATAACTGCCTACTTGAAATTTCCAAAGGAATCTACAGAGAGGTTATTACAACTAATGAGACAGTTTAGCAAGTTTATTGAATGTAAGATCAGTATACAAAAATTAGTTGTATTTCCACCCACTGGGAAAAAATGGCAAATGTAATCCAAAATGAAATACCAGTTCTAATAGTAACAAAAGTTATAATATATTTAGCAACACATCTAGCCAAAGATGTGTGGAGTTTGAATAGAGAAAATGATAAAAGGTTTTTGAAAAAATATAAAGAAATTCTAGGGAATTCCTTGGTGGTCGAATGGTTAGAACTCTTTCACTGCCATGGCCTGGATTCAATCCCTGGTTGGGGAACTGAGATCCTGCAAGCTGTTCAGCAAAGCTGAGAAAAAAAAAAGTCCAAGCTAAGTGGAGACATATACCTGGGCACTTGGAGAGGAGGACTGTAAAAGCGTCAGTGTTCCCCACATTGAGTGATGCATTCAGTACAATTCTAAACAAAAATCCTGCATTCTTCTTTATGAACTTGATAAGCAGATTCTAAACTGTATGTGGAAGCATTATGACCCAAGAATAGTCAGTGCACTTCTAAAGAATTCAGTAGGTTAGGGGTTCCTTTTTTAGATATCAAGATCTATTAAAAGTCATAGGCATTGATACAGTGTGATGCTGGCCCTGGTATTGAACAATTGACCAATGAGACAGAATGGTGAGCCTTCAATCAGACTCATATATTTATGGAACTCTGATGTACTGGAGATCACCGGGAAAAGAGGATTATTCAGAAAGGAGGGACTTTTTGATACATTGCAGTGGGCCATTTAAAATGGGATGATGTTAAAAACCAGGCAAACCCTAACTTTCATATCCATGTGGATACAAATAAACTTGTCTTCCTTACCTCATTCCATGTACATACATACACTTGCACACACACAGTAAGTCAAAAGAATTCAAGACTTGGTTCATGATAGCAGAAGTTTAACTATTTTAGATTAGTATACAGAAGAACATTTTTCTGACCTTAGGGTATGACTGGATTTATGAGATAAAACATTAAAACATTAACCTAGATTGATAAATTTGAGGACATTAAGATTAACAGTATCTGTTTATCAAAAAACACTATACAGAAAGTGAAAAAACAAGTGACAAACTGGGGGAGGATATTTTCAAACTACATTATCACCAAAGAATTCGTATCCATGATATTTTTAAAAGGCTTAAAATCAATTAGAAAAGAAAAAGAAAATATTTACAGGGCAAAAAATGTGAACTGACTCTTCAAAGAATAAGAAGCATGAAAGGTTAATAAACATGAGAAAAGATTCTCAGTCCAGTTAGCATTTAGGAAGTTGTAAATTAGAAACATAATATCAAAATCTAGGAAGTCGAACAATGGGAAGGCTTGAGGATTTTTAATAATGGGAAATCTTAAGAATGACCATAGGGAGTGTAAATGCTACAACTGTTTTGAAAAACAATCGGCATCAGCTCCTATAGTTACAGCTCTCCTTCTATCCAGCAGTTTCACTATTAAGTATATGCCCAGAAAAATTCTTAACACATATATTCCAGAATACACTTACAAAGAATGTTCATACTATAATCAGTTGGTAATGCCAAAAACAAGCAAGCAAAGAAACAAAGCTAGAAGCAACCCTAGTATCCTTCAGGAAGAGAATGGATAAATACATTTTGTGATATTCACACAAGTTGATTATCCTGCAATGGAGATGTATGAACATAAGCTACAGATGACAGCACAGGTGAAACTTAGAAATGTAATATTAAACTTTTTAAAAAGTCAGAGAAAATTGCATTTAGTGAAGAATATAATTAAAACATTTCAAGCAAGCTTAAACTAAACATGTTTCTTTAGAGAACTGAGCATATGCCACACAACTATTCAAAGAAATCAAGAGTGATAAATCAAATACCGGATAGTGGTATCTTTGCAGGAAGATAGAAGAGTGAGAGAGAGGAGACACACACCCACAAAGGTACTGCAATATTCCAGGTATTAAGCTGGGTAATCGCTTCATATGTGCTGATGTGGTCTTTATAGCCCAATGAAAAGAGTGTGGGCCTTATAGTCAGACAAGCCTGGTGGTTCTCTGAAGAGAAACTTAGAACCAAGCATTCCTGGATAATTCTAGTTGGAAATAATTTTTTCATTCAAATTTCCCATTGTACTTACTGTTCTTTCCTTGGAATAATGTAGGCGGTAAGGCCCTGAGGGGCAGGAATTGACATTCATATTTCTTTTTGCCCTTTTTACTGCTTTGCACTAAGATACTTAGCATGATGGTTTGACTCAATTGAAAGCCAAATCAGAGATTTCAGGTGAAGTCCATGGGGTACCTTGGAAGAAAGACGTCTTACTAAGACCACATGTAAGACTTCAAATCTCAGTGAAAGTGTTAATCACTCAGTCGTGTCCAACTCTTTGCGACCCATGGACTGTAGCCCACCAGGCTTCTCTGTCCATGGGATTCTCCAGGCAAGAATACTGGAGTGGACAGCCATTCCCTTCTCCAGGGTATCTTTCTGACCCAGGGATCGAACCCAGGGTTCTTAGCACTAGCTCCACCTGAAACGTGGGGTGCCTAAAATGAATATTGAATTTTCTTTTTGAAAGATCATAAATAATGGAAGTGATTTACAGTTGCTTTCAGTTCTCTCACAATACATTCAAAAGTGATTTCTATGATCTTAATCTCAAAATATTTTTTTAGTTGGTGTCCTAAGAGCCCTATTTTTTTCCTACTTTGCAGGTTATTCTGGACTTTATGAAGCCATTGAAAGTTGGGATTTCCAAAAAATTGAAAAATTGGAGGAGTATAGATTACTTTTAAAGCGTTTACAACCAGAATTTAAAACCACAATCAATCCAGAAGATATCCTTCCTGAAATATCTGGATGTTTAATTAATCAGGAATGTGAAGAAATTATTCAGGTATTTTAATTAATATTAAATATTGAATTTGGGGGAAAATTTGACCATGAGGAATGTCTTCTGTTTCCTATGTTATTTTAGAGTTGAGTAAGATAATTAAAGTCCACTAAAGTCCTCAAATCTAAGGCATAATTACCTAGAAGGATACTTTTATTTGTGATCTGAGTAATCAATTTGTGTCACAGATTTTTTTCAGGTTTGCCCTATTTTCAGTTAAAATTACTTTATTACTTTTGTGAATAATGTTTTATACAAATTTAAATAAAATCAAACAGTTTAGCAAATAAGAAGAAAAAAGGTTATGGACTCCAGTGGTTAAGTATTCAGTCTCTGGACACAAATCAATTTTATTAATCCAAGCTCAGCCACTTACTAGTGGTGTGATCTTGGGCACATTTAGTTTCTCTAAGTCTCTGTTTCCTGTATAAAATGGGAATAATAATGGTACCTTATTAGTAAGGTATTTTTATAGGCTTTGAATGAGATAATATATGTAAAGTGCTTACATATCTCTGGCACATAATAGTAATTGCTCAGTGAATTTTAATTATCATGATTAAGAATAAGAACCATGTAAGTCTCACTATCAAGAAAAAACTATTTGTTAATATTTTGTTATATCCTTCCAAATATACCTATTCCAGTATACCCATATTTTGAATAGGTGTAAAATAGTTTGTTTTCCTGATATAGCTGATGTTAATACAATAATATCTCAGAGGGGGTAAGAACACGTGGCTTGACATGGTGATATCATATGTAAGAGGACAAGGATAAAGGGAAGTGTATCTTAAAAGATCAAGTTGCATGGGGGCAAGAACAGTCATGGAAGAGACCTAGTGAACCAGAGTATTAAATTTGATAGTATTTGAATTGATGTTTCTTCAGTAAAAACTCATAAAATGAAAACTTTTGAAACACCTGATCAGTCCACTGCAATTGTCTTCCTTAGATAAGTTCCAACAAGGGGCTGATGGCAGGTGCAGAGAAAATGGTTGAATGCCTTCTCAGATCAGACAAGGAGAACTGGCCCAAAACTTTGAAACTTGCATTGGAGAAAGAAGAGAGCAAGTTCAGCGAACTGTGGATGGTAGAGAAAGGTAGGATATTTGGAAGGGTGTGAGGGTCTGAAAACCGGCCCTTCTTCCTAGTTCTGCTTGGAGCTTCTTACATTCCTACCTGCTTTTCACTCACTGTCAGAAACATTTTCCCCTTCAAATACTCTTAGCTATATCTCTAGTGAGAGGCCAGTGTGAAGTTGAGTTCTGGGAGGTAGGTGGTTTTTTGTCTACAGAATTAGTTGGGTTGTATATATCCCCTGAAAATGGATCAGGACAAACCCTTTCATCCAGAATTAGCCTATCTGCCCAGAGTATTTGGGGGAAAGGCAGAGTCTGAGCTCACTCTCTGGGTTTAGATGATGAGAGAAATAGCTTGAAAATTCCAGAGTTAAAGGTTCAAACTCCACAACTCACTGCCTTTTCAGAATAGAATCATCTGAGACACTATCTGGTGGTTCTCTTGCCTAGAATCCATCTGGAACCAAACCAGAACGAGATTAAAAGGAAGAGTCTGTTTTGATTAAGTGGCTGAGCTATCACTTGGCTTCCTGAAGCTAATAGCATCTTCTCGGAGCATTATTTTAAGGGCTGAGTTTGGTAAACCATCTGAGTGTCTGGTCTTAGCCTTTCAGAGTCTTCTTTAAGATTATAATTGTTTCAGAAATTATCTGTCTAAATACACATCTGGTGTCTTGGGTCGGGTCAGGAATGGAAGACAAGCGTGTTTCTGCTAATAGTGCTTGTCTTTGCTGTAGTTGTGGATCACCTAGGGATCTTGTTAAAATGAAGCTTCTGATTCAGTTGGGGCTCAAGAGTTTGTATTTCCAACAAGCTCCTAAAGAAGTTGCTGGTCCGTTTTCCACACTGTGAATAATAAAGTCCTAACTGACGCTGGAGTTCAAGCTTCAAATCGAGATTTCAAATTCAAAAAGATTTGTTTAGTTGTTTTAAAAGGTAGAGGGAATGGTTATGAGAAATCGTAATAGAAGTTTAAAATTTTATGACCTCTTTGTAGGGCTTTCACCGTCAAGATCATAATCAGATAGAGATTATAAGATGTGTTTTGTTTTCATAAAGGTGCAGAAAATATTCAAATGAAAGATCTTGAGGATGATGAAATGAAAACTTTGGACGTACAGATTGTCTACAAAGAAGAACCAGAAAACCAGAATCTTAGCCAGAATTCCTATCCTTCTTCAGGTACTCAGCATTGTTTGTTCTCCGTAATGATGTTCTTGAGGTATTTCGTGTGGGGTCATGTCTTGCAGTGCCAAAAGTCATAGCCTAATGAAAAGGTTTTTAAGGAAAAATCAGAACAAAAAGAGAATATGTGTTAAAACAGATATTTTCCCCTACAACTAGAAGTACCATTCTCTCCCTTCCATAGCGCTTGCCAGCTTCTTCCTTTTTTTTTCCCCCTTCTTCTTTTTGGTCTTTTTTTTATCACTAAGGATGTGCATGTCTACATTGAAAATGCAAATAGAGTCCTCCCAGAAGCTCAATGCCTGTGACATCTGAAATCAGCCCTGCTTTCTAAAGAAATACTTCTGCTCTTTGTGAATCACTTGTTCAGTTTCCTCTTAAGATCCATGGCTGATTCATGTCATTGTATGACAAAAACCACTACAATCTTGTAAAGTAATTAGCCTCCAACTAATAAAAATAAATGGAAAAAAAAAAAAGATCCCAGGGCTGCAATGTATGTTGATAAGTGTGTGCACTGTACAAATGTGTGGGCCCTAGAGGTTGAGCTGGGGTGAAATCCAGCCTGCATTGTTTGCCAACACAGTGCGGTGAGGGGCTATATCCTCCAAAAGGGAGTCCTTTCTCTAATTCACACAAAGGTACTATGAGTTAACTGTGTCCCTATAAAGCCCACTTTATGTTTCTAGAAGCATATTTTCATGAGGAGACCAGAAAGCAGCATAATAAATTAAGTAAAGCGTTATTTATAAAAGGGCATCAGAGAAAAAAAATAGGATCAATAAAGAAGTGTTGGAAGAAGGATGTGATTTGAGGATAAGAACAAAAGGTGAGAATTGATGGACTGTTTCTGCAACAAAATGATACACATTTTTATCACTCCAGAATAAAATCAGTGAATGTCAATTGCTTTAAGTTTTCTGACAGGTAAAGGTCCTTAGCAAACTCAGTTAACCATTTAGAAATTTCCATTTACCTTAAAATAGGTAGGTTAGACTCAATAGATGATTTCCAAGGTCTTTCTAGCTTTTAACATTCTGTACACTTATCTGTTAGTGAGATACCTCTGATTATTTTTTTAAAACTTCTGATTCTGTTAAGAGAGAATACCATGTGAGAGCCTGTGGAATTATAAAGCATGGTTGCTTGTCAGTAAGAGATTACTTTGGAGTTTGGTAATTCAGTTTGTTGTTTTTCAAAGATCTTAGAAGGATTTGTTGTTGTTTTGTCTCACAGCATTTCCTTTAACCAGTGGCGATCTGTTTTGCCCTGTATTCGACTGAGCGACTTCATTTTCATTTTTCACTTTCATGCATTGGAGAAGGAAATGGCAACCCACTCCAGTACTCTTGCCTGGAGAATCCCAGGGACGGGGGAGCCTGCTGGGCTGCTGTCTATGGGGTCACACAGAGTCAGACACGACTGAAGTGACTTAGCAGCAGCAGCAGGCCATTCTTGCTTTAGTTTCTCCTGATTAGGCTTCCATGATGATTTCAGAAAGAAATCTTTGTGGGTTTTTTTTTTTCCTTTTTTCCTTCCTACCATTGGTACTTTGCTATTGAGGGAGAATTCTGTATTTCAAATCAGTGCAGAAGCTGGAATGGTTAATTAGAAATAAGAATTCTAAACTTTCTTAAATGAGGTGTTTCTTGCTAGTCAGATTTCTTGTCCTTTGGAAGATAGTGTTGACTTGATTCCTCAGAGTGGTCACTATTTGCTAACTTAGTTTCTGTTGTATTACAGGAGTGCCTCCTACTTATAGCCCATTGAAACCAAGAAATTACCAACTAGAGCTTGCTTTACCTGCTCAGAAGGGAAAGAACACAATAATATGTGCTCCTACTGGTAAGCAGATGCAATTACTGAAATAGTTTATTTCTCTGTTCACTTCCTTTTTTTCACTGGGACCAAGTAGGCAAGTTTCAATTGTTTCATTGTTCCATTTATCTTTTGAAAAAACCATTCTATTCATATAGTCTCCTGTTTTCAGGGACAGGAGGAAGTAGAGAAAATGCTTTCTTTTAGCTTCCTGCAGTCCCTGGCTGTGTGCGAGTGCATGTTACCTAGGAAGTAGCTTGGTTTTTGAGTCAGAGTGTAAGTTCTTCAGTTGTTAACCCACCCCCATCATCCGTTTACTTGTCTGTTGTCTTTCTCTTTATATGTTAAAAGGTTGTGGAAAAACCTTTGTTTCACTTCTTATATGTGAACATCATCTTAAGAAATTTCCACAAGGACGAAAGGGGAAAGTTGTCTTTTTTGCTGTTCAACTCCCAGTGTATGAACAGCAGAAATCTGTGTTCTCAAAACATTTTGAAAGACTTGGGTAAGTATGAGTTGGTCCAGCTTCTTTTTCTCTAGGTCATGTAACTGATGTGTTTTCTGCTTTGTTTTGCTTTTGGAAAACCATGATTCAAAAAACTTATAGTAGATTAAGCTTTTTTATAATTTAGATATAACTCCTTCATGGATACACCTGAAATCCTAAACTCTTTTGATTAGCTCTTGTAGAGTGAGTAAATGACTTAAGATAAATTTTATATTTAAATGGCACATTTAACTTTTTAAATTATTTTATAATTTATTTAATATTACTCTTTTCTATTTTCTTTCATGGTGGCTTGAAAGAATTATGGTTGGTCCTCTGTATCTGCAGGTGCCACATGGAATATATACTATTAATACTAGCAATTCTTCCTAGATTACGTTTATTGATCACTTACTATATGTCAGAGACAGTAAAGAATCTACCGACAATGCAGGAGATCCTAGTTCGAGCCCTGGTTCAAGACGATCCCCTGGAGAAGGGAATGGCTACCCACCCCAGTATTCTTGCCTGGGGAATCTCATGGATGGAGGAGCCTGGCAGGCTACAGTCCACGGGTAGCAGAGTCTGACATGACTAACACTCACTTTTTTCACTTTACTATGTGTCAGGCTTTGCTCCAAGCACTTACCTTTTCTGCAAATCCATTCCTTTTGGACTTAGGGAGAATTTAATTGACATTCTTTTTATTTATTTATTTATTTATTATTTTTTTTCCATTTATTTTTATTAGTTGGAGGCTAATTACTTTATAACATTGCAGTGGTTTTTGTCATACATTGAAATGAATTAGCCATGGATTTACATGTATTCCCCATCCCAGAATTGACATTCTGATCTTTGTGGTTCCTTATTCATTCATATCATGGCTACTAATGGGACATTTCTGTCATCTTCCAGGTACAAAGTTGCAGGCATTTCTGGAGCGACAGCTGACAATGTCTCTGTGGAACAGATTATTGAGAACAATGACATCATCATTTTAACACCACAGATTCTTGTGAACAGCTTTAAAAATGGGACTGTTCCATCACTCTCCATCTTTACTTTGATGATATTTGATGAATGCCACAACACCCATAAACACCATCCATATAATATGATCATGTTTAATTATCTAGATCAGAAACTGGGAGGATCTTCAGACTCACTGCCCCAGGTATGTCCAAAGTCAGATGGATTTCTTTCTAAATCCTGTATACTTACCCTTTTGGCCGTATCGAGGATGTCCTTCTTAGATCCTTGCATGCTGTACAACTCTTTAGGTTAATTTTGATTGATTCATTCATTTACTCATTTAACAAATATGTATTAGGTACCTCCATGTGTCATGCCGTGTGCGAGGCACTGGGTCACAAGCATAAAAAGATAGGCCTTGGCTTCAAGCAGCTCAGGCTTTGGGGGGAGCCAGATGTGTGAGAACTTTGTCACGATTTGTGGTGGTGACACACGGTGGAGTTGTACAGAGGAGAAATCAAAACGATCTTAAATGTGCTATGAAAGTAAAGGAAGACCTAGTAGAACATAGGACAGGTAAAAACTAACAATAGTTTACAAGGAAAATAGCTGGACGGTTTTCAGTAAAGGCTCCTGTGTGTCTGGAGCCACAGGGGCATGAAAGTGCACAAGGGCTTGAGAGCTCAGGTTTGTTTCTGTTTCTCTGTGGCTGCGCTGCATAGCTTACGGGGACCCAAGTTCCCCAACCAGGGATTGAACCCAGGCCCAGCAGTGGATATGCTGAGTCCTAACCACTGGACTGCCAGGGAATCCCTGAGAATCATGATGTCCTTAATATTGCCTGAGTGTAGAGTATGAAGTTGTGGATAGAGGGGCAGGATGGGAGAGAGGGAATGCCTGGCAACAAGATGCCAGGAGAGACCAGAGGGTATGGGAGGAGCAGATGGATTAGTACAGGAGAGCGGACGAGACGCTATTTTTGGTGTCATCAGAGGGGAGGGGCTGAGAGGAGTCAACACAGAGAATAGTTTATAGATGGGGGCAGGAAGGGTATGGAATCCCTGGCGTTTTCTCTTGAATGAAGGAAAGAGAGATGGTTCACTGAGAAAAATCAAGATGAGAATGGAGGTGGGAGCTCAGGAGCGTTGAGAAAATTTGAAATGGGAGACACAACTGAGAGGAACACAGATGGATGGCCTGGTATTACTGAGGCTGAATGAGGTTGGAAACCATGCCTCTGGTTCACCTGTCTCACATTCGTGTTGCATTCTCTTGGCGTAACAATTAACCATTTAGGAAGCACAGGTTAGAAGAAATCCAGTATGGTGCCCAAAATTCAGACAGAATTTAATAGAAATCACACTCTTTCAGTTTTTTAGAATAAAATTGATAGTTAACTAGATTCCTTGTTTATTTGAATGATTCATTCAGTCATTCAATATTTGAGTGACTATTAGAGGAAGAAATAAGTATTTATTAGAAGACCATTAAATTAAATTCTTTACAAATGTCATCTTATTGAACTCACCCAGCTACCATTTTTTTAAAAATTGAAGTTATCACTTTTTAAAAATTGAAGCTGTCATTTTTTTAAAAATTGAAGCATATTTGATTTATAATATTAATTTGTATTATATTAATTTCTGCTTACAGCAAAGCAATTCCATTTTATATATATATATATATACATTCTTTTCATATTCTTTTCCATTATGGTTTATCACAGGATATTGAATATAGTTCCCTGTGTATACAGTAGGACATTGCTGTTTATCCATCCTATATATAATAGTTTGTATCTGCTAATCCCAAACTCCCAGTCCAGACCGCCCCCACCGCTCTCTCCCTCGGCAACAACAAGTCCGTTCTCTGTGTCACACAACTTCCAGTTTAAATGGCTAAAGTTTCCCAGCTTTACAGAGAGATGAAGACTTTCGTCCATGACACCCAGCCGTGTGACACGGCTGAGATGGAAAGGGGAGCATGTCTGGTTTCCGTCGTTGCCCTTTTCAGTGTGTTGTTGGGCGTGTCGCGGGGAAGCGAGGTAAAGACGGAGGGGTCCTGCCGGAAAGCGTGTCTTCTCTGGGCTGCTGTGCTGGCCTGTGCTCAGCTGCTGGGCGGTGACCCCTGCGCTCACTCAGCGCTTCACCTAATGGGGACCTTTCCGTTCTTGATGTCGTAGAGAGTGTCAGAAAAAACAAGTGATGTTCTTGTTCTTCATCTGAAGTTAGTTTCAGAAATAAAAACCCTACTTTAGCAGGGGAGAGTTACATGAGGGATTGTGGAAACATCTTGCTATTTCCCAGACTTCTGACAATGTGGAATGCTCCTCACAGGTCATTGGGCTGACTGCCTCAGTTGGCGTTGGAGATGCCAAAAATACAGCCGAAGCCACGGAATATATCTGCAAACTGTGTGCTTCTCTCGACACATCAGTGGTAACAACCGTCAGAGACAACTTGGAGGAACTGGAGGAGGTTGTTTATAAGCCCCAGAAGTGTAAGTGGGATCCAGTCACAAGCCCTTTGGGACTTTGTTACCCTCTGCTATTCTTAGTTCAGGGTCATGTAGATGAACACTGAATTTTTACCCTTTCTCTGTTTAGAGGAAAATATTAAACTGCAAACTTGGAGAATAATCATATTTCCAGCTTCTCTTCCCAGTGAAGCTCAGGAGTGGCCTGTAGAAAGCAATCATTCTTACTGTTCATTTCCATAAAACTTAACTAAGGTACTGGCAGTGAGAGAGGTGCTGAGAACACCTTAGCATGTACGTGGCTCGGTGCTTCCTGCCTTCTGTGCCTGAGGATGATACTGAGTTCCTATCCATTATTTGAATATGTATCTGGAATTTTGGTTGAAGTGAAAGTATCTGAACTCATCCTGTCTTTCCTCAAAAGATCAGAATATGATTTGATTGCCAAGATTGACCAACAAAGACTGATATTTCATGAATATCGATGCTATACTAACCCAGCAAGGGAGACAGGGTATGGAAGACACATATAACTTCACCCCTTGCTCTCTAAATGGCATACGACCAAATGAGCACAAGGCAGAACAAACACACTTAAGACAGTCAGGGCGCTGGCTGTAAGGAATTTAGACAAGGTACTCAACCTACAACTTTTCATGTCGAATACAAATTTCTTTGGGCTTCCTCGATGGCTCAGCAGCAAAAAAAAAAAAAAACAAAACACTGCCTGCCAATGCAGGAGACACAGAAGATGCATGTTCAGTCCCCGGGTCAGGGAGATCCCCCGGAGAAGGAAATGGCAACCCACTCCAGTATTCTTGCCTGAAAAATCCCTTGGGCAGAGGAGCCTGGTGGGCTACAGTCCAAAAGAGTTGCAAAGAGTTGGACAGGCGCAAATTTCTTTATCATCTGGTCTTTCCCACGCTCTGAGCTTTATCTCCTTTTACCTCCCACAAACCCAACCAAGTTGCATTTCTCTGGGCTCCTCAGATGGAGGAGTCATATGTATTCTCTCTCTAAGCTTTGTCCATCCCAGCCTTTGCATATGACTGTGCTCCCTCCTCCCTGCCTCTTCTCCTATTTATCCGATGACATTGCTGCCCCGGGAAGAATGAGAGAAGGCTCCCGTGGTCCATGGCACTTTGCACATACTGTGTCACAGCTCTCTGCCTGGTCACCTGCCTTGTGTATCTTTCTCTCCTAAGAAGACAGCGTTCTCTGGAGCGCAGAGCATGTTCTTTTCAGCTATCACCAGAATACAGCATGTTCTGTGGATACTGCAAAAATGAATATTTGGAACATTGTGAACACCCCTGGGGATTGGGTGGGAAGGGAGAAGATCAAAGAACAGAGACAGGGCTTAAAATATGGTATTTGCAGAAACAAGATGGATATCAGCCTAGTCAGAGCAGGAGCTCTGTATTGAGTTAACAGGAAAGTCCCAGTAAGAAGTTGAATTAGGGAAAGGAAATGGCAATCCCCTCCAGGATCCTTGCCTGGGATATCCCATGAATAGAGGAGCCTGGAGGGCTACAGTCCATGGGGTCATTAATGAGTTGGACATGACTTGGTGACAAAAAAGCAGCAGCGGGGCAATTTTGAGGGGAGAAAACAGCCCCAGGAAAGTTGAGGCGCTTGCCAAAGGCCCCAGAGCTTTTGATTGCAGAGTCTGAAGTGTGACTGAGGACTCCCAGCTCCCAGGCCTCGTGATTCTGACCTCTTTCACCAGATACGCATGTGGAAAACTAGAATCTAAAATTTGCCTGAGGACTTCCCCGGTGACTCAGTGGTAAAGAATCCGCCTGCCAATGCGGGAGACAGGGGTTCAATCCCTGGTCCGGGAAGATCCCTCATGACGTGGAGCAGCTAAGCCCTTGCACCACAACTACTAAGCCTGAGTTCTAGAGCGTGGGAGCTGCAGCTACTGAGCCAACTGCTGAAGTCCACATGCCCTAGGGTCTGTGCTCCTCATCAAAAGAAGGCACCACAATCAGAAGCCCACGAACCCCAAGTGGAGAGTAGCCCCTGCTCGCCGCAACTAGAGAGAAGCCCATGCAGCAATGAAGACCCAGCACAGCCAAAAATAAATAAATGAAACTAGTTTAAAAAAGAAGTTGAATTAGACCTGGGCCATGAAAAATGTTAGAATGAGTGCATTAAACACTAGGGAGTGGCTGCAAGGTGTCTTGAGTATTCGTTTCATCATTCAGATTCCTGTGAGCTTGGGGCCTTGGGTTTTACGGAGGAAGTGACAAAGGCTGAGAAAGGGTCGAGACACCTGCTTTCAACTATGATGTGTTCTTCCTGAGAAATACTAACTTTCCTTTGACGGCTCTAGTTTTCAGGAAAGTGGAATCACGGACTACAGACAAATTTAAATGCATCATATCTCAGCTGATGGCAGAGACGGAGGCTCTGGCAAAGAGTATCTTTGAAGAACTTGGGACCGTAACTCTTGGTGAGAATAACCTCATTTTGTCTTCTGTCCCTCTGGGAACGGCCATCTGTTGTTCACTGGGGTCTTTTTGTACTTTTCTTAGTCCAAATAATGTCAAGACCATACCCAGAGCTTAACTTTCTTGTTTATGTTATTCAGGAGGCTTATATTTTCTCTTGCTTTTTTTTTCCTTTTTAAATCCAAAGTATATCCAGCTAGACACACACACCTGAAATACCATATTTAAATCAATTCATTGCTTTCTTGACCTTCCAAATATAGCTTTTCATTATATGAATGAAACCACCATTGCCCTGAAGTCTTGGATTCAAACCTATGGGTGACCTTTGATTCTTTATTCTTTTGAGACTCTCTTGAAGTTGCCAAGTTTGCTTCTCCTTTTTTAAATCAAGTAATTAATTGACCGGGTATTGTGCCAGGTACTATGCTAGGTAAAGGAAGCACTAAGATTAAAGACAGTCTTGCCTTCAAGGAACACACCATCAAACAATGAGAATCAGATGTGAATAGTCACCCTGTGACAAGGCAGGGTTACACACTGCTGTTATGGGCCCACAGGGGAACTTAGGCCAGGACTGGGCTGTAGGGAGGGCTTCCTGGGGGAGGTAATGTGTGAGACAGATCTTGAGGTCAGCCAGGTTAAGAAGGAGAGGTGATCAAGTGAAGTAAAAAAGACAGCAGTTGCAGAGGGAAGAGAGCACAGTGAATTTTAGAATCTGCAAGATTTCATGCTAATTCTAACAGGGGACTAGTGGAAAGGAGAGTGGGGCTGGGGGAGAGGCCAGAGGCAGACAGTGAAGGTGTCCTGTAGGCCATGCTGAGTTTGAATTTTATTCCAGAAGTGGGACTTTCCTGGTGGTCCAGTGGATAAGACTCCACACTCAAAATGCCAGGGGCCTGGCTTCCATCTGGCGTCAGGGAACTAGACCCCACACGCCACAAATAAGAGCCGGCACTGCCAAATAATTAAATAGATATCCTAAAAGCAAATGGGAAGCAACGCATGATTTTGAACTGATAAGTTCTGTGATGAGAAATGAAGAGAGCCCAAGTGAGGCAGTGGAGATGGGATAGTGAAGGGAACAGGCTCATGCAAACAGAAGTGTTCAGATTTAAGAGCTCACTGGGTCTGGGTGGGAGTGAGCGAGCGAGCGAGCGAGTGCGGGGCTTCTCTCTGGGCACTTGTGTGTGCGCCCAGCAGGTCTTACTGGTTCCAGCGCGAGGAGCAGCTTTGGCACGTGCAAGTGAGTTCAGAGTGTTGGAGATGTTGAATTCTTGTCTGCAAGGTAACTTCTGTGTCTCACCTTCTCTCACGCTTAATTTCTCTTCTTTCTTTCACAGCTTGATTTCTAACAACTTATTCTCACAGCTGCTTTGCCCCCCTCTACCCTCTTTCCCGTCGAACCCCCATTACCCAGCCTGAAATTACCCATTTTATCTCGTCAGTGTCCTGATGGCTTCCTTGTTCTTCCAGGCAGAGCTCTCACGGCCAGCTGCTCAGCTGCTTTGCGCCCTGCTCACACCATCTGGTTCTGCTTCTCTTGCCAACTTTCCGCTCCTTGCCTGTTAGCTGTTCCCTCGAACAAATTCATTCTCTTGTTTGTTCATTCAGCGCTGGGCTAAGTGCTCGGTGGTGGGAACACAGCATGGACCCTCAGACACAACCCCTGCCCTCTCGGCATTTTCAGCTTGGCTAACAGCAGTGCCAGAGGCTAGCGGGTAGCAGCAGTAAGGCAGCACGGGTGGGGCCGGGGAGTGGTGGGAGCGGTGGGGGTAAGGGGTATTTCCCGCAGAAGAGACAGGCGCCTGGAGGGAGTCTGGGGCCTTTCACTAATCCTGAGAACTGTAGGAAGGAAAGTCGCTAGAGGGAAGAGTCAGAAGCAGGTAAAGGCCAGACCACAGAGCCCCCTGTGGGCCAGACTAGGAGTTTGGCTGGAGAAATCCACTCAACACTTGTATTTTATTTTTTAAAGCTTTTATTATTGTTATTTTTAACATTTATTTATTTGTCTGTGCTGGGTCTTAGTTGCGGCATGTGGGATCCAGTTCCCTGATCAGGCATCAAACCCAGGCCCCCTTCACTGGGAGTGCAGAGCCTTAGCTACTGGACCACCAAGGGAGACCCTCAAGACTTTAAAAGATACGTGTGCTTATTTATTTGGCTGTACCAAGTCTTAGTTGCAACACACAGGGCCTTACATCATCTGGGACCCTAGTTCTCTGACTAGGGGTCAAACCTGCACCCTCTGCTTTGAAAGGTGAAGTCTTAACCCCTGGACTGCCAGGGAAGTCCCTCCCTAAAGGCTTTTAACTAGTGGATTAGCATTGTCTCTCATCTGCAATTTTGGAAATTCCCCCGGTTGTTGAATGGAGACTAGACTGGAGGGAAGGAGGAAGGAGGTAAGGAGACCAGGTAGGAGGAGATCAGGGTTTTATCCAGAAGTGTTAGGACGTGGTCAGGGCTGTGGAGGTGGAGAAGGGTGGGGAGACATTACTTTCTGCCTTCTTATTCTTCTTGTTTCTTGTACCCTCCTGCCATCTCTTCACCTGTTCAGACGCCGTCAGCTGCTCATTGCTAGATGGCTTAGCTCATTTTTGCACCTACCTACATTCAGTAAATACCTATTGATTGCTCTCATTTATTGATATCCCTTTGGTTGTAGATGGGACTACTGCTACTTGTTGGGTAAGTGCCTTTGTTTGTCTGATTAAAGATGAATGGGTGAGGGGACTTCCCTGGCGGTCCGGTGGTTAAGAATCTCCCTTCCAATGCAGGGGATGAAGATTCAATCCCTGATCAGGGAGCTAAAATCCCATATGCCGTGGGGCAACTAACCCTGTGCACCCCAGCTAGAGGAGCCCACATGCAATGCTGGCAAAGCCCCTGTGTGCTGCAGCAAAGACCCAGCGCAGCCAAAAACCAAAAGGGGGCCAGTTAGGCTTTTTTCCATGGCCGTCGTTTGGCCTCTGGACTGTTTGGTGTCAGCTCAGAGAGCCAGCAGAGCTTGGGTGTGGGACACATCTGGGTGTGAATTCCTGTGCTCCCTCTATATTCTAGCTGCGTGACTTGGCGTAATGATTTCACTTCTCCGAGCTTCCATTTCCTCATCTGTAAAATGTGTCTATGTCATGGGGTTGTGAAATGAAATTATAAATATAAGACATGTTGATTCTTGGTACGTAGTCGGTGTTCAGTAAGCAGTTGTGTTTGTACGTAGACACACTGCTGAAAACTGTCTCAAGAGAAATACTCTGTGTACAAAGAGTAAGGAATCAAAACTAGAATGCGAGACATGCTTAGAGCCTTAAATGACTAGCCAGATGACACAATGGAAAACTTTTTTTTTTTTCCAGAAAACTTATCGCAAATTCAAAATAGGAATTTTGGAACACAGAAATATGAACAGTGGATTATTGCAGTTCAGAAAGCATGCATGGTGTTTCAAATGCCAGACAAAGATGAAGAAAGCAGGATCTGTAAAGCCCTGTTTTTGTACACATCACATTTGCGGGTATGTAGCTTCTTTGGATGGAAAAGGCAATGGCACCCCACTCCAGTACTCTTGCCTGGAAAATCCCATGGATGGAGGAGCCTGGTAGGCTGCAGTCCATGGAGTCACTATGAGTCGGACATGACCGAGCGATTTCACTTTCACTTTTCACTTGCATGCATTGGAGAAAGAAATGGCAACCCACTCCAGTGTTCTTGCCTGGAGAATCCCAGGGATGGGGGAGCCTGGTGGGCTGCCGTCTATGGGGTCGCACAGAGTTGGACACGACTGAAGTGACTTAGCAGCAGCAGCAGCTTCTTTGGAAAAGGATGTTTCAGTCGTAACACCTACTGGGAGCTATGTGTGGCAGCTGAGAGAGCATCGTTTAGGAACTTTGCCGGTGGCTCTTATGAAGCAAATGCCAAAAGCTATCTTATTCAGCATCTATCTTTGCTCTCTGAAACCTAGCCCTAGAGGCTGAGGAACAGAAACAAAGGCCATGGGTCTGTGCTCTACCTCAGTATCCTCATATTTGACCTTGGGGGTGATGAATATGACTATAGATACATGACCAGGGACAGCCATCTTTAAAGTCTTTAAAGTTCAGTAGGTGCGTCATGTTGCCATAGCCTGAAGCACATTTTCCTACCTTTGGTCAAACCACATGCTAAGAAATCCAGAGTCAGTAGTTGTTTGCTGGTTAACCAAGAACCTAAGCAACAGTTACCACCATCACCTCTGCTTATCATGCCATTGAAAATATTTTAAAATACATTCAATCCATGTGAATTTGTAGAATTTTAATGAACTTAACTGAATATCTGGTGTAATTCAGTGATGGCTTTGGATGTACAAAGAGGTTAAGTTGAATGTCTGAATTATGAAGCAGGTTGATGTGGAAGTTGCTTTGCTTTCATTTTTGTGATTTAATCTTTGACATGCATTTTTCATGTAATTTTCTTTCTCTTCCAAGGATTCTAGGATCCAAAGTGATCCAAATTAATGACTAATTCTAGCTAATTGAGGTGTGTTGTTGTTGTTTTTTAACAGTATGGTTCTAGGGTTTTATTGCAGTACTGTTAGAGGCAATTCATCTTTAAAAACTAAGTTGGAATAGACTTGAGACAAGTTTATTATTAAAATTAATTCTCTGTTAAGTACAGTGAAATGAACTTAAGTATAGCAGTTGTATTAGACATTAGAAACATACTGAAAGTTTCCATTTTCAACAGAAATACAATGATGCCCTCATTATCAATGAGGATGCACGGGTGAAAGATGCTCTGAATTACTTGAAAAACTTCTTCAGAAATGTCCGGGCAGCAGGATTTGATGCAATTGAGCAAGATCTCACTCAGAGATTTGAAGGTAGGTGGTGTTTCCAGGGAGAGGAAACCAGTAGAGCCTGGAGACTCCAGGGGCAGCATACACATATGGTGTCACACTTAGCAACACCTGGTGATGCTCAGGGACTTGTCCTGGGCTTAAGAAGATAGGATACGTGGCAGGACTGTGAAACTTCAGGGAAATCTGCACTTAGGAAAAGAATCTGCTGCTTACACTATTTCCTGTTTTGAAGAAGGAAAAAAATAGCAGGATTTGCAAAAGATACATCCCATAGAAATAGTCAATTGATAGGAACATTTTTTGGTTTAACTTTTGGCAATTTTATAAAGATTTAAAAAATATAAAAATGTTTTAATGATATTTAGACTGTAATTTGAGCTAACTCTGCGAGACAGTGAAGGACAGGGAAGCCTGGCATACTGCAGTTCATGGGGAACAAACAGTTGGACATGACTTGACGACCAAACAAGATTGTAATTATGTACTTCTATATAAAGAAGAAAACCGATATGGCTCATGATGCCACTGTGTTCATATTAAGAAAAATATAGGAAAATATTAAATGAAAAGTAAATCTTTCTTCTTCCTCTCTCAAATGCCTTTTCCCAAATAATAATTTTTGGTCTATACCAAAGTATTAACTATACATATGCTAAACACTTAACAACTAGCTCTGGGGGGAGGGGAAATTTATGCATTTATTAGTGTATTCAGTGTATGCATTGCATTGGTGGTTATGATAAAATTCTGGTCAGAGATTGAGAGATGAAATGTTTGAACTATAGCTAGAGGTTGCAGTGTGTTCTAAATTGCTAGAATTTATAAACCTTTTGTGGGCAGGTGGCACTAGTGGTAAAGAACCTGCCTGCCAATGCAGGAGTTGCAAGAGATGTGGGTTTGACCTCTGGGTCAGGTAGATCCTCTGGAGGAGAGCATGGCAACCCACTCCAGTATTCTTGCCTGGAGAATACCATGGACAGAGGAGCCTGGCAGGCTATAGTCCTTAGCATAGCAAAGAGTTGGATATGACTGAAGCGACTTAGCACACGCTAATATTTTGTAAAATATTCCCCTTTTTGCAGAAAAGCTGTTGGAACTAGAAGATATTTCCATGGATCCCAGCAATGAGAACCCTAAACTCGAAGATCTCAGCTTCGTCTTGCAAGAGGAATACCACTTAAACCCAGAGACCAGAACCATCCTCTTTGCGAAAACCCGAGCGCTAGTGGATGTAAGCTTCTTCCTCCTTGTGGAAAACAAGTTGGCCCAGTATCATTTTATTTAAAAGATTGTCTGTTCTTCACTTCTTTGCAATTAAGCATCCCTATTTAGGGTCTGTGTGGGTCTGTTTCTGGGCTCTTTATTCTTTTCTGATTTTCTGTTTGTTTATCCTTACACTAATACCTCACTGTCTCAATCACTCTGGTTTATAATGCCTTGATACACTCACAGCAAGCACTTCACAGATTTTTATTCTTTCTGTCAATTAAAAAAATTTTAGCCATGTCTGGGGGCATCTAGTGGCACCTCACTAAGGTTTTAATTTGTATTTCACTAGTGACTAATATGATTTAGCAGTTTTTCATATGCTCATTAGCTGTTCATGTGTCTCCTTTGGTGAAGTGTCTGTTTACATCTTTTGCCCATTTTAAAATGGGGTTTAACTGGGTTATTTATTATTGTTGAGGTTTTAAGTTATTGTTGTTAGTTTTTTGAGAGTTCTTTTTTCTGACAAAAATATCCTCTATCAGAAATGTGATTTGCAAACATTTTCTTCAGGATCTTTTCATTCTCTTAGCCGTATCTCTTACTGAAAGTTTTAACCTTTGACAGGTCCATTTCATCTTTTTTTTTCTTTTTGTGGATTGTACTTTTGATTTTGTGTCTAAGAAACCTTTGCCTACCGAAAACACAAAGATTTTTTCCCATGTTATCGTCTAGAAGTTTTATAGATTTAGATTTTATATTTAAGTCTACAGTTCATCTTGAAGTATGGATTGAGATTTTTTTCCTCTTAGCATGTGGGCATCCAATTGTTTCAGCATATATGATGAAAAGACTATCCTTTCTCCACTGAATTGCGTTTGTTACTTAAAAAGATCAGTTGACTGTATTCGTGTTGTTCTCTTTTTGGATTCTGTATTCTGTTCCATTCATCTATACATTTATCCTTTCACCCGTCCTACGCGGTCTTGATTACTGTAGCTTTATAGTAATTAAGTCTTTTTTTTTTTTTTTAGTAATTAAGTCTTGAAATCAGGTAGTGTGAGTCTTCCAACTTTTAAATTTTTTTCAACATTGTCTTAGCTACCTTTCTTTACCTTTCCATTTTTATTTTAGAATAAACTCATCCACATCTATGAGACAGTCTATTGAAATTTCATTTGGGATTGCACTGAACCTATAGACAAAGCTGGGGAGAAATGATATCATAACAGTGTATCTTTTTTTATGTATATAGGGCTTCTGTATTCGTTATCTACTGCTGATAACAATTTATCCCCAAACTAAGTAGCCGGAAACAACAGACATCTATCATCTTATAATGTGTATGGGTCAGTAATCTGGAAACAACTAACCAAGTGTTTCCGTCTCAGGACGTCTCACGAGGCTCCAGTCAGGTTGTTGGCCACGGCTATAGCCATCTCAAGGCTAGGAGGATCAACCCCCAACCCCACTTGTGTGGTTTTTGGCAGAAGATGCGCTTAGCTCATTCATGGTGGCTTCCCCAATAGCTCAGTGGGTAAGGAATCTGCCTGCAATGCAGGAGACACAGAAGACACGTGTTTGATCCCTGGGTCAGGAAGATCCCTTGGAGAAGGAAATGGCAACCCACTTTAGTATTCTTGCCTGGGAAATCCATTGACAGAGGAGCCTGGAGGGCTACAGTCCATGGAGGTCGCAAAGAGAGTTGGACATGACCTAATGACTAAGTATGCACACACATGCTTAGCTCATTCATGGGGGCCTCTCCACAGGCCGGCCTCCCCTAGAGTTAAGTGATCCAAGAGAGGTTGAGAGGGCACCCAGTGTCAAGGTCACAGTCATGTTATAGCTTCAACTTGGAAGTGATTCCCTTCAGGTCTGCCTTATTTTATTCATTAGAAGCAAGTCAGTAAGTTCAGTTCACACTTGAGGGGAAAGGATTAAACAGGATCTGAATTCCAGGGGGTGGAGATCACTCACAGCTACCTTAGAGGCCACCTGCCACATCTTCTTTGGTTTTTTTTATCAGTGTTTCGTCATTTTCAGCATACAGATTCTGCACACAGATTTTGTTAAACTTATACCTAAGTATTAATGCCGTTATAAATGGTACTTTTGTTTGTTGCTGGTATTCAGAAATACAACTAATTGTATATTGATCTTGTGTCCTGAGATCTTTCTAAATTCACTTATTTTCTACCTACCCACTATTCTGAACCTTGCCTTTTTCACTGAAAAGATGTCTTAGAAATTGAATCATATCAGATTACAAAGAGAGACACCATTATATTTATTTATTGCATAGAATTCAATCACTAGAAGCTTTTGATTCCTCAGGTCTATTAGTCTGAAAACTACTTCAGCATACTTGTCTGTATACTTTTTAAAAATTGAAGTAGAGTTGATTTATGATGTGTTTATTTCTGCTGTATAGCAAAGTGATTCAGTTATACATATACATACATTCTTTTTTAATTCTTTTCCATTATCTTTAGCTTTAAGCTTTTTTTCTACTTGCATTGTTGTTTAGTCACTAAGTCATGTCCAACTCTTTGTGACCCCATGGACTGCCACATGCCAAATTCCCCTGTCCTCCACTATCTCCTGGAGTTTGCTCAAATCCATGTCCATTGAGTCAGTGGTGCTATCTAACTATCCCATCCTCTGCCATTCCCTCTTTTTGCCTTCATTCTTTCCCAGCACTAAGATCTTTTCCAATGAGTCAGCTCTTCAAATCAGGTGGCATATATGCAATATTGAATTAATACAGAATAGTATCCAGCTGACAACTGCTTTGTATTTTCAGGCCTTAAAGAACTGGATTGAAGAACATCCTAGGCTCAGCTTTCTAAAACCTGGCGTATTGACTGGACGTGGCAGAACAAATCAGACAATGGGTATTTATATATAGGGCATTAGATCTAACATACTATATATATATAAGAACATATAGGATATATTTTAATTCTTTCTTAGTGCTTGTATCAGTCAGGGTTCAACCAGAGAAGCAAAATCAGTAGGAGGTTATAAATACATATATATATATACATTCATATATATATATATATAGCAACACATGTATATTGTACACAGACAGGCACACAGGGATTTAGTACAAGGAATTGACGTACACACTTGGATGGCAAAGCCAGTCCGAGTCCGCAGGGCAGGTCAGGAGCAGTGGAACCCCATAGGCATGAGCTGTCCAGAGTCTCTGAGGTCAGGGATCACCTCAGTCCTCTTTTCAAGGGCCGCCTTGTTTAGGTCAGGCCTGCCTATAATGAAGTCCCTATTGAGTAACCATATCAACTGATTTAAGAAGTTTAATTACATCTGCAAATCCCCTTCACAGAAACACCTAGGTGAACATCTGGGGATTGCAGTTAAGCCTAGCTCAGTGAACACATTGAAAAGCCATCACCATGCTCAAATGTCAGAAACTTGTAGACTTTCCTCCTCCCATATGTCCTGCAGACAAAACCAAAGTTCTGTTTTGTTTTTAATATTGTTTGAGTATGTTACTCTCTTGCTCAAATTTTCAACCAGTAGATTAACTGGAAATAGAAATGTTCTCTATCTATTTTATTGTTATTCTTTAAAATATAAAAAGACTTATATGCATTATGTATTTTATAATTAAAAAAAGTCCTAGAGATAATCCTAAAATCTAGGTAGGGGGGGTTAAAGGATGAAAGGCAGCTTTGATCCTAGGTGGCCAGTCCTCATGCTGACATTCTCACAGCCATGCTCCCCACCCCCCAGTGACAGGCAATGACACGTCCTCACTGTATCTCTTATTTAGTGCTATTTATAATAAAAGTCTTGCTGTCAGTCATTGGTCACCACCCTTGAAGTTTCCCTTTATGCAAAATTTAAGCCTCATTAATATAAAAAGCAAAGTCAGATTTTGAATAGTTGGCTGCTTACCAAATGAGGTCCAACACTACCTTGTGGTTGGAATTAAGTCTTCTGCCGTATGACTCCAGCATGAGTCCAACTTGATTTCAAACTTTGTTATTCTTCCATACATAGCATCCAGAAGATATTTTTCATATTTGTTTGTCCATCCCTCCATTCATCCACCCATTCATTCGTTCATCTATGCATCCACCATCCACCCATATTCACTGAGAACTCACTCTGTGCCAGTAACTGTGCTTCTGCCGGCAGCCTCCCGCTCCTCCTAAGTCTAGACCACGAGGGTGGAGCCTCCCTCGCCCACATCCCACAGCACACAGTTCTGGCTCCATTCATCATCATCGCACTGAATCATAGTTTCCCATGTATAGCCTTCTTCCACAAGCTGGGAGCTCCCTTTAGATAAAAATGAGCCTTTTAACCATTCTATCCTTATCTGACAAACCGTAATTGCAGAATAAGTGTTTGATGAACAAATAGTTAAATTCAGAAATTAGTGAAGTGTGGTGTCTGTCTTGGGCATGGTCATTGTTCAGTAGATCATGGTGAAAAGAAATTGTTTTGGCCTTGGCAAAATATATGTCAAAATTTTACTGCCAAGTTACTGGGACAGAGTTGGAACTTTTATAAATTCTGTTAACTCTGAGGTGGAGACCACTTAAGTTCCTGCTCTTCTCAGTGTATTCAGTGGCTAGAAACTGCACAGTGGTAGGGTCCTCAACTTAAATTCCAAGCCTGGTTTGGCTAGTTAGCTGTCAGTTTACTGTGCCCCCAAAACCTCCAGGTCTTCACCTGTAGTAAAGGGGAATCGCAACATTTGCCGTATCAACCTAAAAAGGGCCTCGTGAAGTTCCAGTGAGCAAGTAAATGTGAAAAGGTCTTGTTAGCTGAGAACTCCTGGATGTGCACAAAGGTGTTATAGTTAGCTCTTGATATATTTTTAAAATTTTTATTGGAAATAGTTGATTTACAACGTTGTGTTAGTTTCAGGTGTACAACTAAGTGAATCAGTTACACATATGCATATAGCCACTCTTTTTTTCAGATTCTTTCCCTATATAGGCCATTACAGAGGACTGAGCAGGTTCTTACTAGTTACCTATCTTCTGTATAGTAGTGTGTATATATCAGTCCCAATCTCTGTGTGTCCCTTCCTCCCTCATCCTCGGTAACCGTGTTTGTTTTCTACATCCGTGACTACTCCTGTTTTGTAAATACATTCATTGGTACCCTTTTCTTTAGATTCTACACGTAAGTGGTATCCTATGATATCTGTCAAGCTGTTGGTATTTTTTCAAAAAATTTAATATTTGTTTTGAGATATCGTGACTGAAACCACATAGCTAGTAGGTGCTGCAGCTGGAATTTGAGGTCAGGCAGACTTGTGATAGAGTCCAAGATGTCAGGCCCCCACCTTATCTTCTTTAAAGCAAGGACACGGATAGAGCCTACCCCAAGGCTTGCTGTGAGACCATGAAGGCAAAGCACTCACCACAGTACCTGGCATGTCATCAGCTTTCCATAATTAACAGCTATTTTTTTCAATGGTAAAGTTCCCTCTTGGTGAGTTTTGTAATGCCCTCTGACACAGGAATGACCCTCCCAGCACAGAAGTGTGCATTGGATGCATTCAGAACCAACAGAGACAGCAAGATTCTAATTGCTACCTCGGTTGCTGACGAAGGCATTGACATTGCTCAGTGCAATCTGGTCATCCTCTACGAGTATGTGGGCAATGTCATCAAAATGATCCAAACCAGAGGTAAGAAGAGCTTTGATGCCAGGACTCAAAGGCTACCGTTTTGTCTGACTTGTGAATGTGTCTGTCATCCAGCCCTTCTCGTTTACCGTGACTGGTGGCACAGTGGACCCTTCCATCATTGGCCCTTATGGTGACCTACTTGTTCAGGATGGGGTGGCTATAGTTTTGTCCACAATTCTGTCTATTTTTGTTCTTGTTCACAATGAATACTGCTTTCTTGGTTAATATTGGCTGATGTATTGATGGAAGGAAAATTCCAGCTTTGAGGCTTCGGCAGTCACAAGTGAATGGTTCATGGCTGTGCTTGGGTGCTGGTGGGTCCCCTGTGTGCCAGAAAGGACACTGCAAGTTCTGTCCCACTGGAACTAGGCAGCCTCCTAACTAGCCTTTCTTATTTTTCCTTAATTTCCATAACTACAGCTGCCACATTATTTTTCCTGAAAAACAGCTCTGAGCATCTCACCTCCCTGTATAGAAACTCCCATGGTTCCCAAATGTTCTTGATGTTAAAGCATTTTCAAAATCCGGCACCCTCTTATCTTTCCAGCCTTATTTCCCGTTCTTGCACCTTGGCATTGTCCACTTCAGCCTGCCTGGCTTCACCCTTTTTCCTTTTTTGAGGACTTGCTCATGTATTGTTGCTGCTGCTCACTGTTTCTCTACCCCTGCTTCCACATCGCCGGTTCCTCATTCTCCCAGCTGGCAGTCATCTCTAATTTGAATGCCCGTGGCCCTTTTATCCATCTTTTTTATACCACTTCTCATTTTCCACGTATATTCTGGTGGTTGTGAACATGTCTCTTTTTTAAAAGTTTTATTTATTTATTTTTGGCTATGCTGGGTTTCCCCATCTATTTACCATGAAGTGATGGGACCAGATGCCATGATCTTAGTTTTCTGAATTTTGAGCTTTAAGCCAACTTTTTCACTCTCCTCTTTCACTTTTATCAAGATGCTCTTTAGTTCTTCTTCACTTTCTGCATATCTGGTGTCATGTGCATATCTGAGGTTATTGATATTTCTCCCAGCAATCTTGATTCCAGCTTGTGCTTCTTCCAGCCTAGCGTTTCTCATGATGTACTCTGCATACAAGTTAAATAAGCAGGGTGACAATATATAGCCTTGACTTACTCCTTTTCCTATTTGGAACCAGTCTGTTGTTCCATGTCCAGTTCTAACTGTTGCTTCCTGACCTGCATACAGGTTTCTCAAGAGGCAGGTCAGGTGGTCTGGTATTCCTATCTCTTGAAGAATTTTCCACAGTTTGTTGTGATCCACGCAGTTAAAGGCTTTGGCATAGTCAATAAAGCAGAAGTAGATGTTTTTCTGGAGCGCTCTTGCTTTTTCGATGATCCAGCAGATGTTGGCAATTTTATCTCTTGTTCGTCTGCCTTTTCTAAAACCAGCTTGAACACCTGGAAGTTCGATTCTGGGAAAGATTGAGGGCAGGAGGAGAAGGGGACAACAGAGGATGAGATGGTTGGATGGCATCACCGACTTGATGGACATGGATTTGGGTGGACTCCGGGAGTTGGTGATGGAAGGGGAGGCCTGGCGGGCTGTGCTTCATGGGTTGCAAAGAGTCAGACACGACTGAGCAACTGAACTGAATGCTGGGTTTTCCTTGCTTTTCGCTCGGGCTTTTCTCCAGTTGCGGTCCACGGGCTTCTCATTGTGCCGGCTTGTCTCACTGCAGAGTACAGGCTCTAGGGTATGCAGACTTCAGAGCATGTGGCCTCAGTAGTTGTGGTGCACAAGCTCAGTTGCCCCGTGGCATGTGGTATCTTCCTGGACCAGGAGTTTTAACCTGTTTCCCCTGCATTGGCAGGTAGATTCCCATCCACTGGACCACCAGTCAAGTCCTGTGAACATACCTTATTTCCCCATTTCCCCATCTGTTTATCATTCATCGTTGGGGCCCTCACAATGTCATTCTGGAAGTTCCTGCTGGGTTGTCTTTAAGCAGTGTCTAATAATGTGTCTGTCCTATCACACTGCACCAGGGAGACCCTGAGCAACCCGCCTGAAGTGGGCTCCTTTATCTGAATGTTTGATGTGCAGCTACACAGCTGCATTTGACTCCACACCCTACCAGCTTAGCTTTTCCAGAAAGTGGATTCAGTGAACCAAAGTTGAATTTTAAGAATAGCCCTGTTTCTTTCACATTCTCCCATTTGTCAGAGTTTTAAGTCAAAGACACCAAATAAAGTGTTTATTTTCTAACAGGCAGAGGAAGAGCAAGAGGGAGCAAGTGCTTCCTTCTGACTAGTAATGCTGATGTAATCGAAAAAGAAGAAATAAACATCTGCAAAGAAAAAATGATGAATGACTCCATTTCAAGCCTGCAGAGCTGGAATGAAGCAGTATTTAAGGAAAAGGTAAGTCTTTGCATCCGTGTGACTCGTTCAGAATCTAACTATAAGCCATGAACAGGGACCGTGAGCCTGGTTGGTACCTGTTCTCATTTTGCTCTGAGTGTTTCTTAGGTTATATTTTTATTTTTTTAAGTATTTGTTTATTTGTCTGCATTGGGTTTAGTCACAGCATGTAGGATCTTCGTTACAGAGTGCAGGCTTCTCTAGTCAGGGCTCAAGGGCTCCTCTCTAGCTGTGGTGCACAGGCTTAGAAGTTGTGGCAGACTTAGTTGCCCCACAGTATGTGGGATCTTCCTTTCCCAACCAGGGATCAAACTCTCCCCTGCATTGGAAGGTGGATTCTTACCCACTGGACCGCCAGGAATTCACCCTAAAGTGAATATCAGGTTCATTCTGCTTTAATTCTCAATAGTGCTAATACTTGAAGCTATGATTTTAGATCTAAAGGGAAACTGAGCTAGAATAGCTCTACACAGACAGTTCACTTTGAGGACAGCATGCTAGCACTGCAAGACACAGCTCTTTTTAGTCTTTTCTTCACGGCTCTCTCTAACATCTGGAGTCCTCAGGGAGGGGGTCCTGGCGCACTGTGCCTGGAGCTGTGCCCAGTACTGGCAGGCCTGTTCATACATATGGATGCTGGTGTGGACCTTGGAGTAGCATGCTGGTTCAGCCCAGCCTCTCCGTGGTGCCTTAGTTTGACTTTAATTTCCTCTATGACACATCATGGAAGCAGATTAGGGAAAGAGACACACAGAGACACCCCCCATCCCCCCACACACACCCATAATTTCTCCGGACCGTTTGCAGAGACTTCATCTCAGACTCTCTGGAAACACTGGACTCTGCAGCCCTGGGGAAGAGTTTAACGTTAGAATCAGTGGTTCTCAAGTCTGCCATTTATAAAATGTGTGACTTCAGATAGTTCTTCTTTGAGATTATCATTCTCATTTGTAGAACTCACAGGGTGGTTTTGGAGATAAAGTGAGATGTATGCATTGCTTCCTACAGTGCCTCGTGTAAAGTAAGTGCTTAAAATGGGAGTGGTTACAGGACAAGGGTGAGAGGCCTACTTTAACTTCATGAAGATGAGTCTTACAATTCAGTAGACTAATTCCATAGGGTTCATAACTTTGAAAAGTCATAATCTGTATGTTCAAAAAAGTATTGAGAGGGAATGAACTATCGAAAGCAAACTAACAGTTACTTAAGGAAAAAATTATGATGTTATGTCAGTGTTGACTCATTTTAAAAAACATTTCTTCCTAAAGTTAGGAGAACCAGATATTTGAAAGCACCTCTTCTACGTTTTCACTGAGAAGAATTGCAGGGAGGTTCTTTAGTTTCCTTAACTTCCCCCCTTACCCTTACTTAGGACAAGGTTTTTCCCCTGAGCCGTTCTCCATTGTGTAGAATATAGACGCGATGCTGATTAAAGGCTTTCAACCTTTTTAGCTTTGGCGTAATTTCTTTATCTCCTCCACTAGGTAACGGTATGCTTACACTCACATGTGGCAAAAGCAATAGAGTAAAAGCCTGTTGAGGAAGATAGAGGCTGGAACAAACATATAGACATTCTTTTTTATTTTTTTTTTAAATAATTTTATTTATTTATTTATATTATTTTTGGCTGTGCTGAGTCTCTGTTGCTACCAGGACTTTTCTCTAGCCGCAGTGAGCGGGCTTCTCATTGCTGTGGCTGCTCTTGTTGCGGAGCATGGGCGTAGGAAGTGAAGGCTTCAGTAGTTGTGGTTCTCAGGCTCTGGAGCGTAGGCTCAGTAGATGTGGCCCATGGGCTTAGTTGCTCCACAGCATGTGGGATCTTCCCGGGCCAGGGATTGAACCCATGTCTCCTGTACTAGCAGACGGATTGTTTACCACTGAGCCACCAGAGAAGCCCTAGAGTTCATTTTTTACTTTTTAAAATTATATTTTAAATTAAAATTTAATTTTTCTGTTTTTTGACTTTTTTTTTTCTTTTCAAACTTTCTATTTTGTGTTGGGGTATAGCCGATTAACAATATTGTGGTAGTTTCAGGTGAATAGCGAAGGTACTCAGCCATACGTTCTTTTGTAGCCAACGCATCAGGTCATAGAGTAGGGTGAGGAGAAAATGGACTGTTGTTAAATATCTGTTGACTCAGGCTAGTTAAGAGCACTGGGGAATTCCTCTAATATGCATGGACTGAAAATGGGCAGAGATGGTAAAAAGTGAGCAGGGACCCAGCTCAAGGGTGGTCCGGAGTCACTGCTAGCTGGTAATTCCATGGTGGTTGGAGGGCAGAGTCTTGGTCTCGTCCCTGTCCTGTTATGGTGACCAGTGCACACTGCCATGGTGAAAGAGGCAGGCTTTGCTGTCAAGGGGAAAGGCTTAGGAGAAGTATACCAAGGTAGGGGAAACCTTATTCTCTTAAAAGTCAAAGGATTTGTGGTTCTCAGGTTGAGCCCCCTGTGTATGGTGTTTTGAAAAGGGAAAGACTAGAGATCTCTTCAAGAAAATTAGAGACACCCAAGGAATATTTCATGCAAAGATGGGTTCAATAAAGGACAGAAATGGTATGGACCTAACAGAAGCAGAAGATATTAAGAAGAGGTGGCAAGAATACACAGAGGAACTGTACAAAAGGGATCTTCACGACCCAGGTGATCACGATGGTGTGATCACTCATCTAGAGACAGACATCCTGGAATGGGAAGTCAAGTGGGCCTTAGGAAGCATCACTATGAACAAAGCTAGTGGAGGTGATGGAATTCCAGTTGAACTATTTCAAATCCTAAAGATGACACTGTGAAAGTGCTGCACTCAGTATGCCAGCAAATTTGGAAAACTCATCAGTGGCCACAGGACTGGAAAATGTCAGTTTTCATTCCAATCCCAAAGAAAGGCAATGCCAAAGAATGCTCAAACTACTGCACAGTTGTACTCATCTCACACGCTAGTAAAGTAATGCTCAAAATTCTCCAAGCCAGTCTTCAGCGATATGTGAACCAAGAACTTCCAGATGTTCAAGCTGGTTTTAGAAAAGGCAGAGGAACCAGAAATCAAATTGCCAACATCCACTGGATCATCAAAAAAGCAATAGAGTTCCAGAAAAACATCTATTTCTGTTTTACTGACTATGCCGAAGTCTTTGACTGTGTGGATCACAATAAACTGTGGAAAATTCTGAAAGAGATGGGCATACCAGACCACCTGACCTGCCTCTTGAGAAACCTGTATGTAGGTCAGGAAGCAACAGTTAGAACTGGACATAGAACAGCAGACTGGTTCCAAATAGGAAAAGGAGTACATCAAGGCCGTATATTGTCACCCTGCTTATTTAACTTATATGCAGAGTACATCATGAGAAATGCTGGGTTGGAAGAAGCAAAGCTGGAATCAAGATTGCCGGGAGAAATATCAATAACCTCAGATATGCAGATGACACCACCCTTATGGCAGAAAGTAAAGAAGAACTAAAGAGCCTCTTGATGAAAGTGAAAGAGGAGAGTGAAAAAGTTGGCTTAAAGTTCAACATTCAGAAAACCAAGATCATGGCATCCGGTCCCATCACTTCATGGCAAATAAATGGGGAAACAGTGGTTGACTTTATTTTTTGCGGCTCCAAAATCACAGCAGGTGGTGATTGCAGCCATGAAATTAAAAGATTCTTGCTCCTTGGCAGGAAAGTTATGACCAACCTAGACAGCATATTAAAAAGCATAGACATTACTTTGCCAGCAAAGGTCCATCTAGTCAAGGCTATGGTTTTCCCAGTGGTCATGTATGGATGTGAGAGTTGGACTATAAAGAGAGCTGAGCACCTAAGAATTGATGCTTTTGAACTGTGGTGTTGGAGAAGACTCTTGAGAGTCCCTTGGACTGCAAGGAGATCCAACCAGTCCGTCCTAAAGGAGATCAGTCCTGGGTGTTCATTGGATGGTCTGATGTTGAAGCTAAAACTCCAGTACTTTGGCCACCTGATGTGAAGAGCTGACTCATTGGTCCTGATGTAGGGAAAAGACTGATGCTGGGAAAGACTGAGGGCAGGAGGAGAAGGGGACGACAGAGGTTGGGATGGTTGGATGGCATCACCGATTCAATGGACATGGGTTTGGGTGGACTCCGGGAGTTGGTGTTGGACAGGGAGGCCTGGCGTGCTGAGTGCGGTTCATGGGGTCACAGGGTCGGACACGACTGAGCGACTGAACTGAACTGGACATTGGATCTGAGCACCCAGGCCCTTTATATCACAGAACTTTGCACAAATGAGGGAAGAAGTTCAAAGCGCATTTGGGAAGTCCTTGAGTAGGGGAAAGGGAGCCTGTGCACTCTCTTCTCCACACCCATAGCTGCCTTGTCCATTACCTGTGTATGGCTGACTTCCCCAGAGCACTGTGGCCCTCGGGGACCTCTGGTTATTCTGCAGCCATCCAGCTGAACCTGTAGACAGCCCGAACCCTCCAGAAACTTATTTCCATGATGGAAGCCTCAGGATCTGATTGGACTTCATCTAGAACAATAAAGTATAAAGGATATTTTTCATAGTTCTAGTTGTGGAGGGTCATTTGAAATCAAAATGAAGAAGCCTACTTTCCTTTCTTATGAGTAGAGAATAAGATACAGGGTAAAAGAAAGTGCATTTTAACTACAGAATTTCCAGCCTGATCTCTGCCCCGACTGCATACAGTCAGGTATTCATAGTTTCGCTTTTCTCACCTCAGTGTAGGGAGTTAGGCCGCTTCCCAACCACAGGTGGGCGAAGGGGAGTCTGTGTGCTCTAGACTTAACTTGTGACTTTGGTTAAACCTCTTTATCCAGTTACTCAGTTTTACTTAGTTTTCAGTATAGAAGTAAGAGTTTTAATTTTTAGGATTTATATTTATTGCCTTTAGTGACATCTAAAATATTTGAGGTTATTACAATGGAAACAGTGAGAGACGTTATATTTTTGGGCTCCAAAATCATTGCAGATGGTGACTGCAGCCACAAAATTAAAAGATGCTTGCTCCTTGGAAGAAAAGCTATGACCAACCTAGACAGCATGTTTAAAAACAGAGACATTACTTTACCAACAAAGGTTCATCTAGTCAAAGCTATGATTTTTCCAGTCCATCCTAAAGGAAATCAGTCCTGAATATTCATTGGAAGGACTGATGCTGAAGCTGAAACACCAGTACTTTGACTACCTGATGCACAGAACGTACTCATTTGAAAAGAGCATGATGCTGGGAAAGATTGAAGGCGGGAGGAGAAGGGGACAATAGAGGATGAGATGGTTGGATGTCATCACCTACTCAATGGACATGGGTTTGAGCAGGCTCCAGGAGTTGATGATGGAGAGGGAAGCCTGGCGTGCTGCAGTCCATGGGGATGTAAGGAGTCAGACACGACTGAGCAACTGAACTGAACTATTTAATTGCATTTTAGTATATGATCGAACATCATTAGATGTAGGTGATTTTTTTAAATTGGATGCCTAAAGGGCAAGTTTATATTTTTACCTTTTTTCCTGTCACATTCCCCCCAACCCTGAGCCTGCCTTAAATAATGATCAGAACCATATCTGAGAAATTTAAATTCCTCATAGGGAAATGTATATCATGTAACCATGGAATTTCATTTTTAGAAATTCACCCAGAGGAAATAATGAGGTAAATGCATACATCATGCAGCAGTTTTACAGCAGTGAAAATGTGGATTGGAAATAGGGCGCATTAAGCATCCTTTATTCTTACAAAAACAATGAAGATAATTACAGGTGGGATGGAGTAGAGTGGGGAGTCGGGGGAGAGAAAACCATATTTTGATTGTTTTCCTGACCTATATTCCAGGCCTAAATTTTTAAATATAAATCAAGTTTTATTTGAATTTGAAGTGCATTAGAGATCAATGGCTTCTCAACGGGTGATCAGTAACCAGTACAAGGTATATGGGGCTGGGACATTTCCACTCACAGTGACAATAACTGTCTCATATATGCAGAACATGGGCTCTCCACCAAGCCCTGCAAATGCTTATTTATATCAGTGGGTCTCTCAGTGATCCATGTGGTCGAGCCTCTCATGAAGTCACGCTCTGGGAGGGAAACTGAGGCATGAAAATTTTCAGTGTCAGTAGATCACACAGCTAGGTTGGGGAGGGCCTGGGCAGAGTCCGTCTGTCTAAACTCTGCATCTGTTGGCCTAACCAGAAATGTTTGAAGCATAAATCAGTTCAGTTCAGTTCAGTCACTCAGTTGTGTCCGACTCTTTGCCACCCCATGAATTGCAGCATGCCAGGCCTTCCTGTCCATCACCAACTCCTGGAGTTTACTCAAACTCATGTCCATCGAGTCGGTGACGCCATCCAGCCATCTCATCCTCTGTGGTCCCCTTCTCCTCCTGCCCCCAATCCCTCCCAGCATCAAGGTCTTTTCCAATGAGTCAATTCTTCACATCAGGTGGCCAAAGTACTGGAGTTTTAGCTTCAGCATCAGTTCTTCCAATGAATATCCGGGACTGATTTCCTTTAGGATGGACTGGTTTGATCTCCTTTCTGTCCAAGGGACTCTCAAGAGTCTTCTCCAACATCACAAGGACAACTAAAAACATTTTACCGAGTAATAGAAGGTGAATTAAGACAAAAGAAAACCTGGGAATACCCTGGTGGTCCAGTGGCTAAGGCTCCGAGCTCCCAGTGCAGGGAGCCCACGTTCAGTCCTTGGTCAGGGAACTAGATCCCACATGCTGCAACTAAGACCCAGCACAGCCAAGTAAAAAACTTTAGAAAAAGAAAGAAGGAAAAGAAACACCATTTTCTTGAATTGAATGACTGAATATTTTAAAGATGTGCATCTACTGCAAATTCAGTTGTACATTTATCATAGCCCATAATCAAAATATAAATTTTAGCTTTGTAAAATGGCTCCAGAGTTTATATAGACACATACATAAATGAAAATAGCTATGACATTTCGGAAAAAATAACTCATGAATGGGTATTGCCCTACCCAATATTGAAGTACAAATCACCATCATTAACGTTTTCATGGTTCTTGGCAAAAGACCAGCCTAACAGACCAAGACGAATACCAAGGAGCATTAAAGCTATGCCAGGCAGTCCTGATCAGTTATTAACTCACGTTACCTCCCAACAACCTATGAAGTAAATGCTATGACTATTCCCATTCTATATTTGAGGCACTTGCCCAGAATGACACAGCTGCTAAGTGGTAGGAACAGGGCTTACACCTAAGCTGTCTGGTTCCACCTGGAACACTGGATAAAAAGAGGCGGCCCCACAGACCCGTGGGGCAGAGCAGATCCTTCTACACACAGCTCTGCTCTGAAATCACCATGCTCATTCTTCCGTCCTTCATCCTTGATGTTTCAGGAGTTCTTCTGTCATGTCCTCTTTCGAGAACTTCTTTTTGCTCTTCTTTTAGGGAAAGGAAGGTGGTGAACAAATTCTTAAAATAATTTGTTTTGCTTCATTTGAGAATGTCTTTATTTCCTCTTTATTTCTGAAGTATATATTGCTGAGTATATAGGCATTTGGGTTGACAAGGTTTTCTTTTAGCATTTGAAAAATATGTCACTTTTGTCTGCTGTCCACATTCTCTGATGAGAAATATGGTATCATTCAGGTTGTTTTTCCCTCGTAGGTAAGGTGTCATTTTTTTTTTTCTGGTTCCTTTCAAGATTTTTTTCGTATGTGTTTAGAGAACAGACTTGTGGTTGCCAAGGACGAGTTGATCGGGGAGGGAAGTTTGGGATTAGCAAATTAAATGTAAAGCTATAAATATATTTATAAACTATAGAGTTTAAACTATTATATATAATAGGTTTTATATATATTATATATAATAGTTTATAAATATATTTATTATATATGTAATAGTTGAAACAACAATAGGATAAACAAGATCCTACTGTATAGCACAGGGAACATATTCAATATCCTGTGATAAAAATAGAAAAAAAATATGTCTATATGTGTGTAAGTGAGTCATCTTGCTCTGCAGCAGAGATTGGCTTAACATTGTAAATCAACTACACTTCAATTGAAAAAAATTTTAAAAAGACAATATAAATCAAATGATCTGGACTTCCCATAGGATAAATCTCTTAAAGGTGAAATTGCTACATAAAAAAACATGTAAATCCAGAAATAGATAAATAAATGAAGCTAAGGGGCAAACGATACATGCACACTGAAGTTTTTTTCCTATGTCTTCAGTTTTCAGAAGTTTAATTATAATGTGTCTTGGTGTGGTTTCTTTGCATTTATCTTGTTTGGATCTGTCCAGCATCTTATACTTAAAGGGTTCTGTTACGTAAAATTTGGGAAATGTTTAGTCATTGTTTCTTTCAGTGCTTTTTAAGCTCTGCTCTTTCCCTTCTCCTGTCATAACTGTTAGGTCTTTTTAAAATAGTCTTAAGGTTGCTTGAGGCTCTGCTCATTTATTAATTTTTTTCTATTCACTTTCTGTTGTTTAGATTGGGCCATTTCTATTGTTCTGTCTTCCAGTTCACCGATTCTTTCCTTTGTCCTCTCAATTCTGCTATTGAGCCCATCCACTAAACTTGTTGTTTTGGTTATTGTATCTTTTAGTTCTAAAATTTCCATTCTGTTCTTTATATCTTCCATTTCTTGGTTGAGCCTCTAAATTTGTGTTTCAGGAGTGTTTATGATGACCCATTGAATCATTTTTATTATAGCTAAAGTTTTTGTCAGATGATTCTCAAGATCTCTGTCATCTCAGTGTTAGCATCAACTGGTTCTCTCTTTTTCTTTTTCTTTTTTTCATTCAGTTTGAGATCTTTCTGGTTTTGGGTATAAAGAGTGATTTTTAAATCAAAACCCAGAGGTTTTCATACCATATGATGAAATTTGGGATCTTACTTAACCTTCTGTGTCACCTGGCTTCTTCTGATATTGTTCTGGCAGGGGAGGTAGGTGACCCTGTTTCATAGCTGCCAGGTGAGGGTAGAAGGCTAGGTTTCCCACTTCAGCTTCTGTTGATGTCAGCAAGGGGAGGCTCCTTGTTAACTTCCGCTTGGGGATGGAAGTTCCGGCCCCCACCGTGATCTCTATGGCTACTACAGGCAGGGGGGCTGCCATGTGGCAGGACTGAAAATCCTGGCTCCCTGTGTGGCCTTCTCTGACACCACCAGGGGGGAGTGTTGAGATGCTTCCTATCAGCCCTGCTTAGTGGAATTCTAGGTTCCTCCCCACTAGATTCAGGGTTTCTTGGTTCTTGTTTTTTTGTTGTTGTTGTTGATTTCTTCCTGTGGAACAGCTATTGTCTAAAAGTTTTCTGTCTTGCTAGCTGCCCCTGTCTTCATCCTTTGGCTAGAGAGACAGGCTTTTGTTGAGACTTTCTGTCTGTGCCGAGAGGCATTTCTGGTTGCCAGCTTCTTCAGCCCCGTGTCTGGGATATATACACAAGGCAAAAAAAGAAGAACCCCAGGGAGCTCACTCCTGTGTTGTTTCTAGGGTTCCATGGCTCCTAGCTGGTCTGCCTTCTTCTCTTCATCCTTCAGAATCTTAGGTTTATTTTATATATAATGTTTCAGGGTTCTTAGTTGTACTTAACCAAGGCCAAAGTTTGAGGTGGAATGTAGTCATCCTGTTTAGACATTTAACTTTAATGTAATTCAACAATATTCTTTGTGGTTTGCAAGGGAAGAGAGAAAAAAGGTTTAGGTGGTGGGGGACTCTTCTGCCTGCTGTTCTATTCAATGGGTTTATACCTAGGGAGTGGGTATTTTATTCCTGAAACAGTCAATGCATATCATATGTCTATTCGTGAAGGGTTTTAAAAGTTTTACCAACTACTAATGTAGAAAGCATGGTTCACATGACTGTTTTATGGACATCTTTCATGCTTTTATGGATCTTTGATGAAGATATGTGTGTGTGTGTGTGTGTGTGTGTATTTTAGTCATACCCAGAATACATATTTGAAGGGTTTTTTGTCTCCTTTTTTTGCACTTAGATTCTCCAGATACAGAGTCATGAAAAATTAATCAGGGATAATCAAGGAAAAGTAAAACCTGTGCTTGATAAGAAAAATAAAAAACTGCTTTGCAGAAAGTGCAAAACCTTTGCATGTTACACAGCTGATATAAGAGTGGTGGAGGTAAGCAACCCTTTTCACAAAGAGCACTGGGTCATTTTTAAGCACTCATTAAAGCTTATCTATCGGTGAGAGGATTATAGTAAGAATACTCTTATTTCTTTTGTTATCCTGGCCAAGGTCCATGTATTTTTAAAAAGCTAAAACATTAAAAAAAAACAACCCTGAATATTCAACAATAAAGGAATACCTTAAAAGTTGCTGTTTAACTAAATATTGTATAACCATTACAAATAATCATTATGCTAAATGCAATGTGGTATTCTGGATTAGATCCTAAAACAGATAAAGGTGTTATTAGAAAAAGTAGTAAAATTTATAGTTTAGTAAATACTATGTGCTGATATTAATTTCTTTTCTCTTTCTATTTTATGTTTTCTTTAAAAAAAATTTTTTTTAATTGGAGTACAGTTGTTAGACAGTGTTGTGTGAGTTTCTGCTGTACAACAGCGTGGATCAGCCACAAGTATTTATGTGTCCCCGCCCTCTTGAGCCTGCCTCCCACACCTATTTTACATTTTCTAAACTTTCTTTTGGGGATATGGGTCACTTTTACAATGGAAGCAAAATCTGATTTTAAACACATCTGCAGCTTAGCTTTCAATTTTTTTTTCCTTAAAACTTTTAGATAAAGGATTAGAAAAATCTCCAAAGACAAAAATTGGACGTAACTCTATCGCTGCCGACTGGGGACAGTGGAGGGCCTGGGCTGGTTCACATGATGAGTTGTCACATTAGGGTTTTTTAGTCTTCAGAAAGCTGAAGTCTCTAGTCAGTGCAACACTGGAGCAAGAAACACATTTAGGGCTAATACTAGCAAGTTCCCATACCTTTCTGAGTCTTTTTCTTTTGCCGTGAAAGGTAAAATTCAGGTAATCTGAGATGACAAGGAGGCGGGGTCCCACTTCTTTTACAGATGGAGTAGGGAGGAAATGTGAGTTTGCCTCAAGACCAGAGTAGAATCCATGCAGTCTGACTCCCAACCACACAGTGGAGGTGAGGGTGGGCATGGAGGGACCAGTGAGTTGATGGGGGACACATCATGCAGAGGAGGACTAACAAGTTTGGTTGGGAATTTTATTTTTTAAATCATAGTTACGTTCTGGTTCTAACATTCTGTTTTGGGTGCTATTCAATCCCTTTATCTGTAGGAATGCCATTTCACTGTGGTTAAAGATGCTTTCAGGGAGCGCTTCGTGACTAAGTTACATCCCAGACCGCAGAATTTTGGTAGTTTTGAGAAGAAAGCTAAGATCTTCTGTGCCAGGAAGGACTGCCTCCATGACTGGGGAATTCACGTGAGGTACAAGGCATTTGAGATTCCAGTTATAAAGATCGAAAGTTTTGTTGTGGAAGATGTTGCGACTGGGGCTCAGACACTATATGCAAAGTGGAAGGACTTTAATTTTGAGAAGATCCCATTTGATGCTGCAGAAATGTACAATCACGCTCAAGACCTCAATCTGCAGGGAATGGATGGCCTTGAATGAAGAAGAAGTTAGACCTGTGGGTAAATGATGGGTCTCTTTGTACTATGTTCAAGTTATTTTTCCTATGGCTTGTACGATACTGAGTATTTATCACTCAACTTCTATTTCGTTTTCAGCAGTTTATACTGATACTGTATCATGTCTGTCAAGCACAAGTGAGTGGATTAGAGCACGCGATTCTTTGTTGGCCGGGAGAGCTTGGGAAAAATGAATAAGCCTTAACTTGTTGCCATCCTTCCTTTCAGAACCCACTGTACCCATAGCCACTCAGTACACACTGGGATCAATGAATGAGTGAATGGAATGTTGAAAGGTTTTCCATACTTCCCTTTCCTTAACCCACTATGCTGAAGCTGAAACTCCAATACTTTGGCTACCTGATGCAAAGAACTGACTCACTGGAAAAGATACTGATGCTGGGAAAGATTGAAGGTGGAAGGAGAAGGGGACGGCAGAGGATGAGATGGTTGGATGGCATTACCGACTCCATGGACATGAGTTTGCGTAAACTCTGGGAGTTGGTGATGGACAGGGAGGCCTGGCCTGCTGCAGTCCGTGGGGTCGCAACGACTCAAACACAACTGAGCGACTGAACTGACTAACCTACTATAAACTGACTTTTGCCCTTAACGATCCACTGAAATTACTTTTGTCAAGGTCATCAGTGACTCTGGTTGTCAGATCCATTGGGCACTTCTTAGTCCTTCTGTTTGATCTTTTAGCTGTTTTTGCCCTGTTGAATACTTCTTTCTTGGAACTCCATCTTGGCCACTAGCTTTTCTAACTCTTCCCCAGGCTTTTCTATGGGCTTCTTTTTCTGAGCCCTCACATGTCGGCAATTCCAAAGGTTCAATGTATATACACATCCATAGGCATCAGAGTCACATATACTTGTATTCTCTGTGTAGCAACGTGTGGCATCTATTATTAAAATTCTGCAGTGGACTTTTTGTTTTTTCTTTTTTGGCTCTTTGACCTTTCTCCTTTAAAGTTTAGCTCTTTTTCTTCTTTTTTAAGTTTTTAAATTAATTTTTATTGGAACATAGTTGCTCTGAAGTGTTAGTTTTTGCTGTGGAGCACAGTGAATCAGTTTCACATTCAGGTCCCCATTCAGGTCGCCACAGGTTACTGAGCAGAGTTCCATGTGCTGAAGAGCGTGTTCTCAGTAGTGAACAATGACTAGTAATGGGGACATGGAAGTGATACAGTAATCCTTGCAAAATTGATTTCTGTTGTTTTAGTTTATTTGGATATCTTGCCCAATTAATTTTTTTCTTAATCTGTGCCACTGTTCCCTTCGATTGATCATCTCAAGCCATTTTCTAGTAATAGTTGATGGTCAACATTTGGATTATGTTCTCAGGTAGGTCCCTTGGATGATACTGAAGGGGCAGTTTAATTTGGCTGTCCATTCTGTTTAAAAAATTAGAATGTGTGCAAAGGTATCCTGTGCTGTTTAACAGGGTTTGCTGATGCTCCGGAGTTTAGTTTGGTGTGTTCCAGACACAGAGACACCTGAGTTTTGCTGTCTCCACCCCAGGCCAAGGTATTGTATGTTCAGCTCAGGGTAGGCTCTGTAGTAATTTAAAGCAAATTCCTAAAACATATGAGCTGTTTGTAATACACTAGGATCATCAACGGCTTAAACAAACTTGTAAACATCATAAAATGTTAATATGCTCAATATAAGGGATCACATAACTTTTCAAATAGCACCTATTTATATCTGAAGGCTATTTGGTGTCCAAGAGACCACCCAGACTACCCAGATCAATCCTGGAGATCAGTCGGGTGACGCACTACAACCACCTCATCCTGGTTTTGATCTGATGACTGGTTTTGCAGGCTGAGTCAGAGAACTTGCTATTTATATAACTATTCCTTGGCTTAATTTTCTTCATCTGCAAAACAAGCATAATGCATACCTGTAAGGATTAATGGAGAGTTTTTAACTGAAATAACATGAGAAGTCCTTGATTATACATAGCAGTTGCTTGATCATGGTTACTGTTAGACATATTCTTAGTAAGACATAAAAAAAATGAGTTATTTAAACCGACTTACTTGCTGATTTTTATTCATTTTCCATTTGTATTTTATAAGAGTATTAAGGTTCTGATCACCAGTTTTAATGTGGGCTTTTTCCCCCACACAACCAAGCAATTTATCAATTGGGTGTCTTACCATTCAACTCAGTTCTGACATTCTGTGCCTGGAGATGGCATCAGATTCCTACAGGTTAAGAGCTCAGTCCTATCAGACTGCCTGCCTCCTCCCTACAAATTGTTACTACCTGTGCTTCTGACCAATTGCCAACAAAGGTCCATCTAGTCAAAGCTATGGTTTTTCCAGTAGTCATGTATGGATGTGAGGGTTCGACTATAAAGAAAGCTGAACACCAAAGAACTGATGCTTTTGAACTGTGGTGTTGGAGAAGACTCTCGAGAGTCCCTTGGACTGCAAGGAGATCCAACCAGTCCATCCTAAAGGAAATCAGTCCTGAATAATCATTGGAATGACTGATGCTGAAGCTGAAACTCCAAACTTTGGCCACCTAATGCGAAGAACTGACTCATTTGAAAAGACCCTGATGCTGGGAAAGATTGAAGATGGGAGGAGAAGGGGACGACAAGAGGATGAGATGGTTGGATGGCATCACCAACTTGATGGACATCAGTTTGAGTAAACTCCGGGACTTGTTAATGGATAGGGAGGCTTTGCGTGCTGCAGTCCATGGGGTTGCAAAGAATTAGACACAACGAGTGACTGAACTGAACTTGAACTGACCAACTGAATAGGGGTGAAAGTTACAGCAACCTCCTCTGTGGCCTTAGTTAATTTGCCAGAGACTCATAGGACTCAGAGATTATTGGTTTATTGTAAAAGGAAATAACTCAGTGTAGGGACCGTTCCTATAAATTAGCCAAGATGGCAGTGGTCAGGCTCTCTTGCCCCACGACTTTTTGCTGTCACCCCATGTTTTGTAAATAATGACCTTGCATGGTTATGTAACAGCTGAGCTCACTTGTAGAACTGCGCATGCATGTCATGAGGTACTTGCGTGGCCACGGGCCGCTTGTTGTTCTGTAAAGCTCTATAAGGCCCACCTGAAAAGCCCTTCGAGGGGAGTAAGAATTGTGTTGAGCTGGGTTGCGTAGCTGCTACTACTGTGCCAGCCATGAGAGAATAAAGCACGTCTGCCTTCCCACAGTGAGTAAAGTGTCTGCAGTTCCTTCCCAGATGGCTCGGTGGTAAAGAATCCACCTGCAATGCAGGAGATGTGGGTTTGATCCCTGGATCGGGAAAAGCCCTCTGAGGAGGAAATGGCAACCCACTCCAGTATTCTTGCTGGAAAACCCCATGGACAGAGGAGCCTGGTGGGCTACAGTCCATAGGGTCTCAAAGAGTCAGACACGACTGAAATGACTTAGCATGCACGTTCACAGTTCCTAGGGCTCCTCGCATCTTCTTCCAGCTTCCCTGCTCATGCCTTGTCTTCCCTGGGCTCAGTGAACAGTGAGATACAGCAAGACAGTTGGCATAGTCAGGAGGATACAGCGAGACACTCACGAACAGCCCAATGAAAGAGATGCATAGGGTAAGATATGCGGAAAGGGTTCAGAATTTCCATGTCTTCTCTGAATCTCTATGTGCTCATACACCTGCAAGCTCTTTGAACCCTGTTCTTTGGGTTTTATGAAGGCTTCATTATGGAAGCATGATTGATTAAGTCATTGGCCATTGGTAACTTGTTTAACTTTCAGCCCCTCTCACCTCCCCTGAGGGCAAGGGATGAGACTGAAAGTTCTAACCCTCTGATCATGTGATTGTTTTCCCCATCCTTAACTGTTAGTTGCTTAGTCGTGTCTGACTCTTTGCGACCCCATGAACTGTAGACTACCAGGTCCCTCCGTCCATGGGATTCTCTAGGCCAGAATACTGGAGTGGGATGCCATTCTGTTCTCCAGGGGATCTTCCCGACCTAGGTCTCCTGCACTACTCAGGTCTCCTGCACTGCAGGCACATTCTGAGCCACCAGGAATGCCCACCCTTCCTTAGGTGTGGTCCAAAGGTCAGTCATTAACATAACTAAGACACCTTTGTTGCTGTCAGCACTTAAGAAATTCCAAGGGTTTTAAGGAGAAGCCTGGGGCTACAGTCTATGGGGTTGCAATGGAGATGACTGAGATGCTTTTCAGTGCTGGAAAACTGCTGGAAATCTAAATAATTCAGTTTGGATGAAGGTGAGTAGCCCTTCCTTCTCGACAGCCAACCGAAGAATGCAGACAAAAGCTGAAACAAGAAAAACTTAGCATTTCCTTGTTTCACTTTAGCCTGAAGTCAAGCCCTTGCAGGTATAGAGCATGGAACAGAGTAGGCATCTGGTTGATGCTTGTTGAAGGAAAGAAAACAGTAGTAAGGATTTAAGAATTGCATACTCTTGACTGATGCCCAAATGGTCACTGGATTTCTAGATCAAAGGCTGCGTTTCAGAACCAACTGGGAGTCTTTCTTGGGCACATGCCTAGGCCCCTTAGAACATCCTGGCAGGGTGTGGCTAGCCATGTGTAGCTTTTGAAGTTCCTTAGGTGGTTCTGATATAATCTGTTACAACCACTTTTTTATTAACTGTGGTCCCCGACAGTGCTGACCTTGTTATATTTCCCCTGAAAAGTCACTTTCAGTCTAATGCCTGATTGTGTCACAAGGCCAGTAAACTGACTCCCACCCTTAAAACTGATATTATTATTTGAATTTAAAAACAAACAAGCCAGCAGGTCAGTGTTTGCTCAAGTGTGACTCGTGGAGCGTGGTGCTGTGCGATGCTCTAAAGAAAGCAGTTCTGCGGGCAAATAGGCTTCTATGCTGCCTGTTACCCGCTCTCCTCTCAAATGAACGATTCACAGCACACACTGCCATTGTGTGTCCTTGTGTCAGTTCTGCAGTAATAAGGCCCATGTAACCCACTGGTTCCCAAATACACCGGCCCTAGACCCCCTGTATTCATGGGACGTTATCAACATCCTGTAGAATAGAACACCACAGTAGCAGATATGCATAAGCCCTGCTGCTGACCAGATGACGAACCAAATTAGAGTATTAATTTCAGGATCATACCAGTAACTTTGTTTTATATCATGTAATAAAACTATAAATTCCACTCAGCAAATCTGTATTTAATATGAAATTTCACTCAACAAATCTATATTTAAAAGACCTCAGTTTTAAGGATGTAAATTACTAAAACTGTTAAATATCGACTATAATTATATAGTCTTTGTACAGGTAAACAAAAACTACTTGGATGTTAAATTCTGTTTGTAGTTGGGACATTTAACAGCTTCCAAAGAAGGCAGCCCGGGGAGCTTGGGTTCCTGTTTTTCAGAAGCAGCTCTCATGGCTCTGTCACACTGTCCTAACTCAACCCTGAAAGGCCAGCTGTGCCCAAAATAAGGTTCTTCATTTAGGTGACTAGGAAACTCCCACTATTTTTGGCCTAGGGGACACTGGGATCTAAGATCACAAGCTTAACTGTTATCCCAGAGCTGTCAGTGGCCATATCCCCGAGCACACGGACTGGCCCAGAGTGAGGCCATCACAAATGGAAATGAATTGGAAGGACCTGAGTCTGAGTCGCTAGATCCAATCTTATGCCTGTGGCAATGGCCACCTCGGTTCTTGAGCCAATTTTTTTGTTTGTTTAGGCAGTTTGAATTGTGCTTCTAACGCTGTAGCTAAAAGTCCTGTCTAATTTATCCTTCTCCTAGATCACTTTCCACCTACATGAGCTGTTCCATTGCCAAAGACACATATGCTTATTTGCTGCAAGAAAAATGTTTGTCTGTGAACTCACTGTGCACCAGGAACACTTGTTTGCCTAGGAGGGATCAGGCACATATGAATTTAGAAAACAGTAGGAACAAGGGAGATGGGAACCCCATAGACAGGGAGGGGCTGGGCCCAGCAAGAGCAGCAAGCTTCTCACCTGGAGAGTAAGCACCCAGTGCCTTCTTGAGAAACCAGGTGAAAGGGGTTTATTTGTTCAGCCTGGTTGAGAGCAAGGATGGGACACTGGCCCAAGACACTTTATTAATGAACACGATAGAGGGTGTTTGGAAGGGAGAGGAGGGAAATTCAGAGGTGAAGGGACCCGATTCCAGAAGTCATAGCTGCAAGAATGTCTCCCCATAAGCACCGAGGGTGGGGAGCCAGGCTGCTCCCAGGTTCGGCATTGGAGGCCTGAGGGGTGGATGTGTTTTTTCAGCCCTTCTTAGTGTTTTTATGCTAGTGAAGAAGGAATTCATACAGCCTGGACTCCATCTGAGGCCTGTCCATGCTGATCGTGCTCAGCCGCCTCTCCAGTGGACTCTGAACTCTCTGCTTAGTGCCTGTGGGAACGACAATGGAAGGATAAGACCCCCTCCAGACAGGGCAACCTTGAAGATCATATCCAGGTTACTCATCACCTAAGAGAAAACAGACACTAATCACTCCTGCCTCCAGACAGTATCTATCGGAAAGTAACCACAGGCTTATCAGTTATTAACTGGTTGGAATGTAACTGCGGGCTTATTGATTATTAACTATTTGAACACATAACATGTGAATGATGGGGTTATTGTGATTGTATTTAGCCTTCCTTTGTAAGCCTCAAGGAATTTGGGGTGGTGGGTTCGGACACGTACACATGGGGTATAAAAGATTTTCACAAATGCTGGTCGGGGTCCTTGGCTAAGAGGAGACTCTGCCTTGGGCCCGCTGGTGTAATAAACTGCACTCCACTATCTGCATTGTCCTTCGGAGTGAGTTTGTTTCCTGGAAAGCGTGGCTATAACACTGATTTCAATATGTGGGTCACAGGGTTTTATTGTACAACATGGTTCTGTCTGTGATTTTTATTCATGAACAGAAGCTAGATCCCAGGATCTGAGGCAAGGATGCTCAGGAACCTGCCTTGCCCAATTATCTGGGAGGAGAGCTGGGGGTTAGGATTTGATCCTGGGTGTTCTGGCGCTAGTGGTAAAGATTCTGCCTGCCAATGCAGGAGAACAAGAGACGTGGGTTCGATCCCTGGTTCGGGAAGATCCCCCGGAGAAGGAACTGGCAACCCACTCTGGTATTCTTGCCTGGAGAATTCCATGGACAGTGGACCCTGGTGGGCTACAGACCATGGAGTTGCAGAGTCAGACACGGCTGAGTGAGCACATAAGCCCAAGTTCTGTTGACCAGCCACAGACCCGAGTGCTGAAAGCTGAGGCTTAAAACTCACTAGAGATTAATTTGTAAGGTATAAGGTGCCCTGTTATGAACGGAACGGGTCCCCCCTCCACCCCAAATTCCTATATTGAAGTCCAGCCCCCACTGTGCTGCTGTGGAGATGGGACCTCTAGGGTAAGTTTAAATAAAGGTCATGAGAGCCGGGCCCTTGTAAGAAGAGACCCTGGGAGCGTGTCCGTTCATCCTTCATCTGTGCACAGGCGCTGAGGGAAGGCCGCCCAAGGACACAGGCGGTGGCGGCTGGCTGCAACCCAGGATGAGAGCTCGCACCAGAAAATGAGCTTGCTGTAACCTCAACCTCGGACATCTATCCTCCAGAACTGTGAGAAAATAAATTTCTGACGTTTGAGCCACTCAGTCTATGACATTTCATCATGGCAGCTGGAGCGGACTACGACATGTGCCCTGAAATGACCTCAGTGGTGGGAACGAGCAGGTAACCCAGCTGAAGATTAAAAAAAAAAATATGGTCCGTGCACCAAGCTCCATCGTCACTGCTCCCAGGCTACTGCTACCATCTCGCGCGCTCCTAAAGGGGGTTCAGCACAGCCATTTAACCTGCATATTACTGATGTGGTTACAGAAAAGAACTCGAGGGACTTACCTGGCGGTCCAGTGGCTGAAGACTCCATGCTCCCAGTGCAGGGTGCCTGGGTTCAATTCCTGGTCAGGGAACTAGATCCCACATGGCACAACTAAAGAGTCCTCATGTTAAAACTAAGACCTGGCACTGCCAGATAAATATATTTTTGGAAAACAAACAAACAAAACTCGAAGATCACTCAAATTTGCTCTGCTCTAAATATCACAAAGTGAGGGCCACGCCCGCAGCAGAATTCAATACCAAAGTCAAAAAGTTTTCCTTGAAAATAGATTTAATCTTATTCAAATTAGAAATGTTCTGCATATCTCTCCAAAACCACCTCCAAAGTTCTCCTCATGATACATGAAAAGTTTTCTAGGGAAACTTTATGAAACTACTGAAAGACATCTCCATATTTCCTCAGTGTGGATCTGTCAAAAAGTACACAAGTGAAAACTTTGAATGTTTGAGCCGTTCGCGAGGTGGCTGGGTCATTCACTCTGGAGGAATTGGCGGGGTGGAGGGACTACGGTCTCCACGTGCGAACACGTCCCCTCTGCCTTGTCAGTTACACTGGCAGAGCACACAGAGGCAACGGACTCTCAAGGGGAACATTTCATGGAGCAGAGGGCAACGGACAGGAGCCAGAAACTGGGCCGGAGCTGAACATTAGAGGCTAGGAGTGAAAAATCAACATTCAGTGATCAGTGACCTGAAAGGGCTCAACTCTCCCTTCTTGGCACAAGTGACAGTCCCACCATTCTAAGCTCCCAAATTATAGAACAAGATAAAAAGATTAACAAAAATAGCGCATTTTGAAACTGCTGATTCTGTGTGCAGAGGATCCACGCTGGAACCTCAGGGCGCCCTGGGCAGGCAGCACCCCTGCGTGGAGGCGAGGGTCGAGGGAGGAGGCCAGGGGCGGAGAGGCTGCCACCCCGGGGCCTGCGGGCTGCGGATGCTGTGCTTCCTCCTGCCGCCGGGCCGCTGGGCCACCTGTCTCCAAGGAGACCAGGGCCTACTTGGTCATCTTGCGGATCATGTAGTTGAGGATGCCCCCGTTATGGAAATAAGTGAGCTCCACGTCGGTGTCAAACCTCATGACAGCCTGGAAGGTCTTCCCGGTGTCCAGCTGGCAGGACGGAGAAGCAGAGAAGAATCGCTGAGGGAGGAGACGAGCCAGCCCTCAGACTGCCCTCCAAGTGCAGTCCACGCCCTGGCAGCACCCAGCACCCAAGCAGATGCTGGCCGGCCCCAGCCCAGACCCGCTGAGCAGGAAGCTGTGCTTTACTTAACAAGAAAGCCCCATGTACTGATCTACAAGGTAAAGCCCCGCAGAGCATCTGTGATGGAAGTGAGAGACCCTGAGAATTAGAAACAGCCTCTCAAGGCAGCAGTTACTCGCGATGTTTGGAATATTTTCGAAGCCTTCACCAGGGACGGCCCGGGGAAGGAAGTCTTGGCAGCCAGCAGGCGCTTCATTAAGGCTGTCCCCTGGGCGCTGGCCCAGATGCTCACCCTGGGACGCGGCTCAGCAGCTCAATCTGCCTGGGTGGCTAGATCACCCTGGGACCACAGTGCCGCAGCTCATCCTCGCCTTACCCAGGGCTCATCTGTTGTTTTCACCTCAGTGCTAATCAAAGCCAGGGCCTGGGGTGAGCGTGTCTGTTCACATTTTTATAATAAAAAACTGTTTTAAATGCCCCATCCCTGAGCTTTTCATCACTATTCTCCTAATGCAGGAGACATGAGTTCGATCCCTGGGTGGGGAACTAAGATACTGCATGACCTGCAGCATGACCAAATTTAAAAAAAAAAAGACTGATGACAAACATGGGGTCCCTTTAGCTGGACCTGGCATGGAAGGGCACTAACTTACCTTGATCTGGACTTTCATTCGTGGTTTCAGGGTTTCTGGAATGCTGATAGTGTATCGTTCACGCCCGGTGAGTCCCAGGGTGTCTGCATTCTCCCCAGGGAGGTACTCGAGAGGGATCACTCCCATCCCGACCAAGTTACTTCGGTGAATGCGCTCATAACTCTCCGCTAGGACAGCTCTGATTCCCTGAGGAATGAAGACAGTAAGTGGCTCGGACACAGTTTTTCTTTAGATACACAGACAGTTAACAACAGGATTCTTAGGTCAAAACTCTTCTCCTGCCCAAATTCTTAAGTACCAATTAGTCCTTTACATAAAATGTTGCCATTCTATATAGCACAGTAGCTAACTGACTGCCTCCACTGTATAAGCAGCATGTAAGCAATGAGATGAACTCTCCCCTTCTAGCTCCACCAACCCTGGATGGAGACACTGTTACTGTGCCCTGCACCCTGGGAGTCAGTGGTCTGTCAGATATTTGAACCCACAAAGTCTAACCACACACTTAGTTTGTGATACAAACTCCCACTGTATCTGGAAACCACACTACAAAGAAACACAAAGAAAATTCATTTTGCCCTTTGAATTTTGGTATTATTGTAGGTTCTATTAGCAGACACAGAAGATTTAAACAAAACACAACTTTCAGAACATAGTACAGAGAAAGGGATTGATCACCTGCTGTGTGCTGCTTTTATACCTCCTGTTTCAAGGATCAAATTGCACTGAATGTAATCTTGATATAAAGCTTCCTATAAAGCACATTTTATCGGTAACCTATAACTGACAATATACAGCAATGATCAGTAAACCAGGATACCTGATCAACTAGAACACCCAAATCTCAAATATTAGTTAACTGTAATATAATATTAAGATACCCGTAAAAGCTCTCAACGTACTTTCAGATCCCCTGAATCAGGGTCACTCAGGAAGCTTGTTAAAAATGTAGATTCTTAGGTACTTACTACCCCAGATCTACTGTATCAGAATCTCTTGCAGGAAGCATGGGTGGGAGAAGATGGGATACTTTTAAGTCTGGAGAACCACGGCTAGACAGAGGTGTTCTAAGATTCTGCTGATATTACAGTCACCAGGAGAGGCTTTTAAAATCTAAACGTCCAGGCCTTTCACCTTACCAACCAAACCAGAACGTCTGGGAATGAGATCCAGGCATAGGTATTCTTTAAATCACAAAGTGTTTCCAAGTTTAAAAGCACAGGTTTAAAAGAGCAGATTCTTTAGGACAGTTGGTATTTCGTGTAGATTTATGTACATATGTACTGCGTATTTATTCGGGGGAAAGGGGCAGTGGTTGTAAACACAGGTTATTCACGCCCCAAGCTCTGTGAGGAGGGCTGTGTGGAGCGGCAGGTCATGCTGCCTGGCCTCTCTTTCTGCGGAAAACGTGGCTGAGGCTGGCCAGCTACAGAAGGAAGTGTGCATGGCCGTCTGGGCAGACAGAACTCAGGGCTGTTCTGTGGAGAAGCTGACACTGTAGAGTCGGGACCCTAAAAGATGGCTGTTCCCTTGCTCTTTGTATACCCGCTGCCCTCCTGCTCGGGCTTCGCCTCCGCCCTACTCACCTGAACATGCTTGCCCTCTGCTCCTTAGGCCAGGATGGCCCCACCTGTTAGTTCATTTGAGGGAAACATTTACCCTCTGACCGCTGTTAACTTGAGGGGCTGTGAGGGACATGCCCCAGCCCTGGTTTCCCTGGTAACTACAGCCAACCTGATGTCAATCCCCGCTCTAATAAATGGGAGGAGCCGCCTCCTCCTCCCCGGGGTGAAGACTATCGTGTGTGCTGCCTGCAGTCAGCCGCACCCCACGATGCTTCAGATGTGTAAGAGCCTCCCTCTGCGAAACCACTGATGCCTCTCTCGCCGTGGCCAGGCTCTTTCTTTGGCCCTGAGGCTGGTGCAGCCCACCCAGACTCTAAAGAGCCCCTCTGAGCCGGTGCTCGCCTATCCACAGGCCTTCCTGTCCCCGCCAGCACCTCCACCCCGCCCCGCCCCGGCTGTTTCTGCTCTCAATGCTGTTGTCAGCGCCCGGCCCCCTTCCTAAACTGCTTCCTTTTGTAGTTTCTTAGGTTCTTTTCAGCAGTTTCTAGAAAGGGCAGGCCTTCGACAAATTACCAACTAATAACATATCTTTTCTTCACACCCCACCCACTGCAAACTGATGGACTTAAAAAAAAAGGGGGGGGGGGTGTGATAAAACCTGGGCGTCTGGAGGGCTGTCTGCCAGACAGCCATATATTTTTTACAGCACATGTGGATATCAACTGACTTGTGCAACGTCTGCCAAGTGCATTGATTTGCTCAAGCCACTGTTATTAAAACTGGTATCAGCTAAGCTATTCTACCCCACCCTGAAGACTGAAGCCAGGCACCAGAAGTGGCCCTGCTTTCGGGGCCAGACGTAAAGACTCCCTGTGGGGCCCCTCCCACAGGGACAACTTCCGGGTCAAGCCCTGAAATGGTGGAAGGTTCTGAAGAGCTGTCCGTCTACACACTGAGGGGGCTTCCTTTTCTACTGAGCCTGTGCGCAGACCCTTCACTGGCAGTGCAGAGCAGCTGTACAAAGTGCATTCCCTGAGTTTATTCAAAGCTCAGGTGCCTGGGCTTCCCTTGTGGCTCAGCTGGTAAAGAATCTCCCTGCAATGTGGGAGACCTGGGTTTGATCCCTGGGTTGGGAAGATCCCCTGGAGAAGGGAAAGGCTACCCACTCCATCATTCTTGCCTGGAGAATTCCATGGACTGTATTCCATGGTTGCAAAGAGTCGGACATGACTGAGCGACTTTCACTTTCAGGCTCCTGATGTTTTCCCTACTGTGACGAGACAGTAGCAGCACTGTCCTCACATTGAACTAGGACAAGGGCCTTAAATAAGCTTCAGGTGCTAACCCGAGAACATTATGAAAATCATGAAACTTTCCCCATTAAAAAAAAAAAAGAGACACACATTCCACACTTATGGATGTAATTTCATGGACTTCAAGATCCTCCCCTCAACCGTCGTACAGACACGCCCAAAGATCCATGGCTCCCAGGGTAGCGACACTTGATGGAGGGGAACCCGCTGACTCCACATTTCGTCACTCAGCGAGGGAAGCCTGGACCTACCAAGCAGGAGGCGAGGAAACAGCCCACGCTTCTCCGAGCTTGCGTGCTCTCCACAGCATCTTCTTGGAAAGCAAAGTAAAGGACGTTCCTTCCGCCTCCCTCCCAGCTTTCCTTCTGGCGCGGCGGGCAGCTGCCCGCAGCGCCGTCTCTGCTTGCTACTCACCAGAAGGAAAGGGCCCTTGGCGGCCCAGTCTCGGGAGCTGCCCGAGCCGTACTCCTTGCCGGCCAGAACGATGAGGGGGAGGCCCGCCTGCTGGTACCGCTCAGCAGCGTCGAACACATCAAGCTGAGGAGGACAGGAGGGAGGTTTTACCGACAGAGTAAAGACACAGCGTGTAGACAGAGGCCAGTGAGTCCTGAGGGGACATGGAGGAGTGTCTGCAGTCAGCCAAGTCAGTGTAAAGTGAAGGGCAAACTCAACCAATCAGTTGCCTGGTCTACAAATTTCCAGTTAATGCCGTCTATTAATACTACTTCTTTTCTTCTTTTTAGTCGCTCAGTTGTGTCTGACTCTTTGAGACCCCATGGACTGTAGACTACGAGGTTCCTCTGTCCATGGGATTCTCCAGGTACTTACCTCTATCAAACTGAATTTTATACTCAAGTGAAATGCCTTATTGTCCTAATTTTAGAAAAACATTCAAATCCTAGGGCATCGGGGGAAAAAGGAAATTAGATCAGTTTTTCTTTTTTTATTTAAAAACTCTTCCTTTGATTAAAATATCTTGAAGCAAAAGCAGAGAATCCCACCTAAATCTGGGATTTGATTCTGTACCAGAGGCTTTGTTGATGGTCAGTTGTGAAGGGTGGCCAAACACACAAAAAAGGTCACTTGTTTGGAAATTACAAAAATGCAGACTTTTATTCATCACCCTTCTACATGGAGGTCAAGGTAACAATAGTAACAACTGATGAAGCACCAATCAATAAAGGACAAAAAAGCGTTAAGGAATCTCTTAGTATATATGAGAAACGGCTTTAACAAATAGATTCATTTGTTTCTCACAGGAACTCTGAACATTCTGCTGAGCTGAGGCTCCACAAAGACAGGTGATACCACTGATGGTGAGTAATGAAACTTTTTTTTTTGTAGCTACTTAAGTCAGAAAATAAGATCCCTCCAAAGAGTCCAAAGAGAGAGTGTTTGATTTGAAAGGAGCTCTAGAAAGGTATATAATCAAACTCTCAAGTAGGCTTTCACAAAATTACTACTGTGGTGAAAGGATGGAGACTGTGGTTAATGTCACACGGCACTGCCTAAATCTAGATAGGATTCTGTCTGTCTTCAGCGGAACAGAACTCACAAATATAGAAACTGTTGAAAAAAAAAAAAAAAAAGAGTAAAAGCCTGCTCTGTCTAACCAAAAACCCTGGATGCTTTCAAAGACCAGAAAAGAAACAACCTACCCGACACTTTCAGAGGTATCGGTTACTAGTTTGGATATTAAGAATGTGGGAGTGTGTGTTGTAAAGTACTTTCAAAACGACCACAGAGCTGACAATCCCACGGCAGAGCTGGCTGTGGAACCCAGATGTGCGGACTCAGCAGGTTTGAATTCCGGGCTCCTGGCTTTTCATTGTGTGCGTCAAAGTGAGAGTAGCCAGCAGCTTATAGAGCACCGGCTCCCAGCGCGCCCTCTCTTCTAAAGGAAGCATACAAGTTAGTGGTTTCTTCTGGTATCTCACCTCTGGATCCCTAAGTATTTAATTGATCAGTTCATTTCTCTTTATTATCCATTAAATTCTTACTTAGAGGATTCAGTTCTTTCCAGCACCACTCTTGTAGGGCCCTCCCTCTCCCTAACCTCTCCTCTCCAGGGCCTTCTACTATCACTGTCACACCTTTTCTGGCCATATGTTTTAAGTATGTACATGCTATTTACAGCTGAGCCACATAATGGACTCAGATTTCCTTTTCTTGGCAATTAAAAAAAATTTCTTTTCCCACTGGAAATAATTAATTTGTATGCATGTGTGCGCACGCTCACCTGTTTGCGTCCCTACCCATTAACTCCCAAATATACTACCTAAAGTGTCGATACAAATCTTTTCTGAAGAAATTCGCATCTGCCAGGCGATTTACTTTAAAAATCTTTTTCATGGGGGTCACTCTTGATGCCCTCATTCCTGTGTGGGCCTCTGACTCTCTGAGGTGTGTTCATGTGATGGAGGAGTCTTCCTTCCCCAGCACCCTGGCGATTCCCTGCATTTCCTTTTCCTGGGTCCTACATCTTCCCCTATATTTGGTTTATTCTCTCATTTTGGTGGAATACAATTACCAAGTAGCTTTCTGAGACTGGGACTGACAGATTATTTTCAAAGCTTTTGAATATCTGAATGTGTAGTTACTTAACTCTCACTTGGCTGGTAGTATGAGGGACACAGATTTTAGGGTGCCAACAATTTTCCTCAGTCTAAGTCTCCTGGGTTGCCTTGAGTGCGTCTGATCCCCAGAAGAGTGCATATAAGCTTTTTCTCCCCTCTCCGAAGTTTCTAGATCTTGTCCTTACCTCTGCTGTTCTTACTTTCAAGGTGATGTGACTTGGAGTCAGTAGTACTCATGTGGCTGGGTGTGTGCAGTGGACCTTTCGATCTGGAATCTCAGATTTTGCACTTGAAGAATTTCTTGTGTTAACTCTTTAACAATTTCCTCTCAGATTTAATCTGGTTTTTTTTTTAGCATGTTTATTCAGTCAGATGCTGGTCCTCCTCGGTTCAGGCTTTGATTTTCTTACATTTCCTAATTTCCCCTTTGTCTTTCTACCTTCTGGAAGATTTTCTCAACTTTTCCTGTGAAATTTTTTAGGGACTTTTTTTTTTAAGAGCTCCTTCTTGTCTTCTGATTACACCGACAGAAAATCATCTCTTATCACTCTGACGAAACAATTGTTTCTCTTAGTTTTCCCCTACTCTGTGCATTTCCTGGTTTCCTCTTTACCCCTCTGCTTCTTGTCTAGGTCTGTCTTTCAAGTTCAAGGCCTGGCTCCGGTGTCTCTTCATCTCTGATGCTGTCTCCTCATCTAAGCTGAGGCACTGCCCATCTGACTAGGGGTTCTGTGCACGGCGGGGCTGTCAGGGAGGGATCCCACCATGACAGCTGGCGTCCCGGAGGCCAAAGTCTATTAACTACAAGTCCCTCCTTTGTCTCTTGGGGGTTTTACCATTCATCTGTATCTTTTGCACTTAATAGTCTACTGTCCCCACCAGTCACTGAACAAATATGTCCTAGGCACTCACTCTGTGCTGGATGGCTTCGCAGAATCCGCCTGCCAATGCAGGAGAAATAAGAGATGTGGGTTTCACTCCTGGGTTGAGAAGGTGCCCTGGAGGAGGAAATGGCAACCCACTCCAGCACTCTTGCCTGAGAAATCCCATGGACAGAGGAGCCTGGCGGGGTACAGTCCATGGGGTGGCAGAGTTGACTGAGTGACTGCCGCACGCGTGCCACCCAGGGTTAACCTCAGAACCTTAAAAAGGAGATGTTATTTTTACTTTGCAAGTAAGAAAAGTGAGGCTCAGAGAGGTAGATAGATCGCTGAAGAAGGCTCCACAGCTGGTCTGAGGTGGAGCTGGGACTTGAACCCAGGCTTGTCTGACTTCAAGGGCAAGCTTCCCCGCCTCTCCCCACGCCTGCCCTCTGTGAACAGACAATTTCAGCTCTAATAAACCAACTCCACGTGGTTCCCATTAAGACCCAAGCAGGCCTGCACAGTCCTCTATATTCTTCCTTCCCCAATGGTATGATTAAGTAAACGTTACTGAAGTCATAAAACAGCACTTCTTAGTAAACATCCTCCACCTTAACCTGGAATTTCCCCTTCAAGTATTCTGAACTGATGAAACCTCAATCAGAGGCTTTTTAAGCTCAACTCCTAAGAAACAAGATTTAGTTAAAGCATGAAGCAGAAATCTCTAAGCAGGAAAAGGCCTTCCAGTTTAAAGGGACTCTTCTTTAGGGATGACCTCTACATATATGGAACACTTGGCAGAAGGGATTATATAAAGCAAGAGGTAGGATGAGGTGTGGAAAAAAAAATAAGACCAAAGGGAAAGGGACAAGGCAAGCATTGAACCACCCAGAGCCTGAGAAATGCTGGCTTCTAGAGGAAGCGCAGGACACCATACTCACAATTTCACCAGAAGGCAGATGGATAGTCTGTGGTGCCTGCTTGTTCAAGAATTTGTTTAATAAGCGGATGTTGGCGAATGTCCCCCGTGCCATGATGGCATCATTCCCTCGGCGGGAGCCGTAGGAGTTGAATTCTCGAGGAGTCAGGCTGATAACGAGAGTAGGAGAGAAGCTGGTTTAGGGAACTGAGAGATTAAACCTGGCTTACACCATGAAAGGGGAAAAAAATCACAAACCTAGTATTTCTATAAGTCTACTAAGTATTGTTCTCCAAGACAGAAAAATGTTCCCATAGCTTTGATTCAGGGCACATTGAGAGGCAGTAGGTGCGATGGTGAATCTATAACTTCCCAGTATCAACCTAGAGTCTTATAAATCTGGGTAGAGCAATCAGGAAGAACTTTAATCAGAGTATTTTACTTATTCAGTAGGGTAGTCTATAAAGCTTCATTAAAGATAAAATGTTACAAGTGGGTGGAAAAAAAACGAAGCAAAGGGCATACTCCGGGTACATTAGTTTGGTGGAGCCGAGAGTGGGGGACACACAAAAAACATTCTGTAAATGAAACAGAATAGGTTCACATTTGTCCAGGAACTCGATGCAGTTAAAAACCACTTAACTGGCAACATGACTTAGCATTGTTGTAAGATCAAAAGCAGGGCAGGGACGAAGGAGCAGAACAAGTACTGCTGGTCCTAAAATCAAAGAAAAATCTGGTCTGTGGGTCCGAATGAAGGGACGTTTTGAGATGTCTGGAACAATATCTTAATGAACAGTGACCAGTTCACTGAGCTGTTTCTTAAAATGCTAGGAACCATGTGTGTTAATTATTCATTCATTAGCTCAATTTTGAAGACTGAGAATCTAAGCATGGGCTTCCGGAGTAGGTGAGTGTGTCTATGAACCCCTGAAATTATGTCCAAAATGTGGATATGTATTTTTCTGGAATGGTATATTTCCTTTAATTCTATTCTCTAAAGAGTATCAATAACCACCAATCAAAAAAGGTGTTGGTTACTTCTCTCTTCCTAGTTTTCTTCTTCCAGCCTCAACTCTATTTCTCTAGATTCTCTGTCCTTAGAAGCCTTTCCCATTCATTCATTCAACAACTGGCATGAGTACCAACTACATGCCAGGAGCTGTTAGGTGCCTGGGATACAGCAAATCCCTGTTTTTGCAGGGCTTACATCCCAGAAGGTAGAGACAGAAGTTTTTTTAAAAGAGCATCCTACATAAGTGTTACTAGATTGTGGTTAATACCTAAGAAAAGGTAGGCCAGGGCAAGAAGAGTATGGTGGGCGTGACCTTATGGAGGAAGACTTGAACTTGGCGTGGGAGTTAGTTAAGATGGTATCTTGGGGAAAGGCATCCAAGAGGAGAAAACAGTTAGCCCACCCGAAGGCTGTCAGGCAGAGGGGTACTTGGCATTGTTTGAACATTCAAGGAACAAGATGGTGGGCAGTGTGTCCTGAGCAGTGTGGGTGAGGAGAAGAGCAGGACTCACCAACCCACCTTGAACATCTCCTGCCCTTATCTATTTGCTGATGGACTCGCATCTCCCACTCAAGACAGAACCATCTCTTTAAAAGCTCATAATATGAGGACTTTGCTTAGGTGGTCCAGGGCCTAGACACCACACTTCCAGTGCAGTGGGCCTGGGTTCCATCCCTGGTCGGGGAACTAGATCCCACATGCCGCAACTGAGACCCAGCCCAGCCAAATAATAAAGCAAATAAATGTTTAAAATCTCGTATGTATTCGGTTGGCCAAAAAGTTTGTTCAGCTTTTTCTGTAACATCTTAATAGTAAACAACCCTGAGTGAACTTTTTGGCCAACCCACTATCTGTGTATGGGCAGTTGCCATACATTTTAAAAAGTAGTTGCCCCACGTTAAAGAAAAATCTCGACACAGGCCACTGTGCGTTCACCTCCTCTAGATCTGGGCTGTCTTCTTAAACTCACAACACGCACATCCTGGGGAATAGGAGATATTCTCAGTCTGAATAAACAGACTGTGCCATGGGATGCACCAGGAAAAGGAAGAGACTGAATGAGCATGAGAGAAGGGGAAAGTTGTGAAGAGAATGGGTTACCCACCCAGCAAGTCAGAGGAAGGGCAAGGTGGCTGTCCTCTCCCACTGGAAAAAAAAAAAGCTTCAATTCTGTTTCTCATATTGGCTCTGGGCCCTGTCCCTGAAGGTGATTCAGGAAGTGGGGAGGGGGGCCAGGAATGTTCATCTCCCCAGATGAATCTCGAGAAAGTCAGATCTGGGATGGACATTTACTGATACTGGTACACTATGGTGGTGGTTTAGTGTCCGACTCTTTGTGACCGCATGGACTAGCCTGCCAGACTCCTCTGTCCATGGGGACTCTCCGGGCAAGAATACTGGAGTGGGTTGCCATGTCCTTCTCCAGGGGATCTTCTTGACTCAGGGTTGGTTAAATAGCAGTATATAATATTAGTGTAATACCTGTTAAAATAGGTATATGACTGAAGGATTGCTGAATGGATGTATAAATTGCAAATCCTCACAGCTGTTCTCTGTAAAGCATGTGTCTCTTGGGAGTTCCTTGGTGGTCCAGTGGATAAGACTCTGCGCTTCCAATGCTGGGGTCCTGGATTCTATCCCCAGTCAGGGAACTAAGATCCTACATACTGCAACCAAGTCCATATGCCACAACTACTAAGCCTGTGCGCTCCAGAGCCCACACGCCACAACTAGAGAGTCTATGGGCTGCAACAAAGACCCAGTGCAGCCAAAATAAATAGTAAACGAAAACCCAACATATGTCTCTCAACCAGGAAATGTCAGTGCATTTCTGGTTATACCCCTGCCACGTGCTTCAAGTATAACCAGGCCACACAGGGGAAGAGTGGAGCCTTGTACATAAATGATCAGCCAAGCTGGTGGCAGGGATGACAGCTGAGTCTAATAAGTACACCTGCTCAAAAAGAAGGTCTCCACGTGCTGGGGTTCACGTGCTGGTGGATTCAAAGCAACAAACAGAAAGAGTGATTGCTTTTCAGGCTCCAGGGTTCAGTGAAAAACTGGAGTCTGATGCCAAACAGACCTCATGGAAAGAGGATTAATGACCTCATGCTGTCCCTTTTGTCTTCAGGCTTCCCCTGCTTCCCTTATTACTTACCCTCTGTTAGTTAAGTAGCGAGCAGCAGGGCTGTTTCTTGCGATGTTTCCAGCTGGAGAGATGTGGTCTGTTGTTACTGAATCTCCCAAGTTTAATAGCACATAGGCATCCACGATAGACTTAGGGGGCTGAAGATCCAAAGTCTAGCAAAGAACACAGTAAGTCAGTGTTTGCCTGGGTTTTCTCCAATGCATCACCAGCAGAGCCTCAACAGCAGTGGTCCATGGATCTGAACCTGATGACAGCTCTACATCAACACATAAAGAATTCTAGTTTTACTGGGTTTATCAGGGGTGTTTAGTAAAGTGAAGTGAATTTATGCAAGATATTCATATCTCATCCTTGAAGGAGGTGAAGTATTGGCACTATCCCCTCAAAAGCAAAAGGGACGTTGCTGCAAATGACATTCTTTCTCCACATCCAGAGAAGATCCCAAGTGCTGAGTATGGCAGGAGTCCTGCCTTCTACTCACATCCTCTCATCCCCTCCTCCCACCAGGAGAGCACAGACTCCTGATCATCAGTTTCAGAGAAGATGTCCCTCGTTTGTATGGGTATGAGGCTTAAGTATGGCAGGTCCTGGAGGCTGTTCTCCTGGACAGCCCCCCTTCAGACGTTACTGAGTCTCTGTCCGGGTGATACTTGATCTCCAGGGGTCTCTGCACAGCCACACGGAAGCCCTGGACAGACAAACCACAGGCCCATGCCAGCCAAATAACCCAGCTTCCTCAAGCTCTCCCCAGTGTTATCTGCTCAGGTGTGTAAAGGTTTCAACGAAGCAGGTAGTCAAAGCGAGGGTACTGGATAATCGAGTAGATTTTACAAGCCAAGAAACTTTTTGAAGAACACATTTTGTTTAAAAAAAAAAAAAAAGTCCTACCAGGTCTTCAAAGAATGGTGGTGATTTAATGTATGTAGATTTGGGATTCCAGCAATATAGCTTATCTGACGGGGCTGCTAGGGCATTCCAGCTCTCATTCACAGTCTTGGGGAGAAAGAAAAAAAGGACAGGCAGGTCTAATCACAGTTCATCCTGAGGAAGACTTAACATGTGAACATAATACATATATTCAAGCTAACAGTATAGTAAAACCAATTCTTAGCCTAAATGGTCACACAACATGTCTATACAAAGATAACACCATGCTAAGTAATTTATAAATACACATGCCCTGTGACAGGCCATCTCTAAAATGACCCCATTTTAGATTCCTATTTAAATTAGACCCCATTTAAATGATTCCCAGGAGGAGTCCTGCCTCCTAGGAATCCTACCCATAAATGAACCCCTCCTGCTGGGTGAGGACTGAGCCTAGCGACTCATTTCCAGGATTAGGTTATAGAGACTGTCTTCTGTCTCTTCACCCTCTTACTTGCTCTTGCTGGCTCTGATGGAAGCCAGTCACTATGCTGTGAAGAGACCTGCTAGTAAGGCCCTGAGGGGGGTGTCTCTCGCTGACAGTCAGTGAGAAGCTGAGGCCTTCACCCACAGCATGCAAGGTCCTTTATCCTGCCAGTGACCACACGAGCGGTCCAAGAACTGGCTCCTTCCCAGTCCAATCATCAGGTGAGACCACAGCCTCAGATGACGCCTGGATGGAAGCCTTGTGAAGGCAGACACACCCTGTTAAGCGGCACCTCCATTTCTGACCCACAGACACAGGTAAAAAGTGTTTGCTGTTTTAATTCACTAAGTTTAGGAGTAATGTGTTGCAGAGCAATAGGTAACTAACACACATAATTTATGAAATAACGATCCAGGTTGTACCCGAGGGGAAGTTATTGATGCTCTGAAGATTTGGGGAGGTAGACTTCCGGTCACAAGGACATTAGATAGTGACGGCCACCATGCATTCAAATTGGCTTGAATTTGCTCCACGTCATTAACTCAGCCTCTGGAGAAATGCATTTAGCCCAGTATCCACCAAACTGCCTCGAACCATTTCCCAGAGAGCAGCTTATGGGATTCACAGTGCGTGAGTGTGACTCCTATCTGACTCTGCTGCCCAGTCTGCCCTCGTATTTCAAGCTACTAGCCCCAGCCAGAAGCCCTGGGGTCAGCCTAACACAGAAACCAGGGAAAAGGGTAACATTCGAGAGTCTTGGAAAGTGGTACTGAGCCCCATACATTTCCCTGTTTGTAAAATGCACAGCAAGTTGTTTTTTTTTTTAATTTCAGCAGCTTCATAGTTTGGTGCTTCCTACTGAGTGGCTTTTACTTGTGTCACTCTTTGAAGCCGGCAGATAAATCCGAGCGCTGTGTGCAGCCATGTGGCCCCTCAGTGGCGCCCTATAGGGACACTGGGCTCCGCATCCAAGCTCACGCTCACCCTGGGCTGTCAGAGCAAGAGGGGAGCCATGCAGAGCTAGCCAGGAGCCGCATCCGTGCGAGTCCACGCCTCCTGAGCCTGCTGCTCATGTGTCCGAATCTGGGAACAGCGGGGAGAGTGGGGTCTGGAAGAGCCTGAATTGTAAGAGCCAGATGACTGTACCACTTTCCCAGTCATCTGGAGAAATACCACTTGGTCCGGTTGATACTGACACTAGCCTCAAGGCTGGCAGAGATGACGCGGAGGAGCGACTTCCCCTTGACACTATTCCCCTTGACACTCACCTCTATTTTCTGGTAGACCTCCTTAAACATCCCGGGGATCACGTACTGACGCTCCACCGCCTGGATCTCGTCTCTGGTCGGCCAGATGTCTTTCAGAAATACCTGCTGTCCCTTGGCATTGACCCCTGGGGAGAAATTGTTTATCAGTGAGATGAACTTCATCTCATATCCAGTTTTCATGGTCACAGGCAGTCAGCCCAGTCTCATTGTTCAGAGCAGTTACATTCAGTAAATTCTCTGTGCACACTTAGAGAACACTCAGTCACTGCCCGCAAGAAACACACAGGTTAGGCTCCCAAGGTGTTTATCCACAACATTGTTGTCAACTGATCAAATACGTAATGCTGTTTCATGTATTTCTGTTTACATACTATTGATGCATTCACACTGAACTCATGAGCCTGTCTAACATGAGGCCTGTCACAGCCTTCCTGGGCTCAGGAATACTCCACAGCACTTTAGCCCTACTCTCAGAGGTCATCTTAAACAGTAAAACCACCCAAAAAAGGCACAAAAGTGTGAAAAACATGATGCTATCTGGAGCACAAACAGGACACTTGTTTGCAGTATGAGACCTGAAATAAAAAGACAGAGTGTCACCTTGCTTGACCTCAGCGGAGAGAGGCACGGTGAGTGACTCAGGGTTTTCACCACCTCGTGCACGTCTGTGAGTGACCATGGGAGTGTGATGAGCACTGATTTGGGGGGTGAAAATCCACTTCAATGAGTAGAAGAAATTTGAAAATACGGAATACATATGTAATGAGGATCAGCTGCACGTCTAAAGCTGTGATTTCCTTAAAGTCAAGTCTAGGGCACCGTTTTCATATTATCTAATCTGCGTAGCACGGATTGAGGAGGGCACACAGGAGGCCAAGGGAAAGGAAACGAAGCATCACGTCCCCAAGCTTTGAGAAGCTGCACACTGCGGACGTGTTCCTACAGCAGAGGTATTAAAACCAGGCTATCGTGAGACTGAAGCGGGCGCTGGAAAGGGAGGGACTGGAGCAGAGGCCAGAATGGCAAGACCTCCATTACTCTTGGTGTTTCTTTCCCTTTTGTCCCTTCCCCTTTATAAATTCTTGTTCAGCTATTTTAATTATGTCTTAGCTGTGTGCTGGGAAAGGAAGCAAAGACCCTTCTTTCCTCCTCTGATCTTTGGAGATTCTAGGCTTCATTATTTATTAAGGAAAAGAATAACTTTTTTCTCAGTAACATTTTCCAATTCATTGGGGGGAAAACAAAATTGTAACCCCACAAATCAGATCTTACCCAGTGGCTCTTTCTCAAAGTCGATCCTGATGGTCCCAGCAATCGCATAGGCTATTACTAAGGGCGGAGAGGCTAAATAGTTGGCCCGGGTATTGGGGTGGACTCGCCCTTCAAAGTTCCTGTTCCCAGACAGCACTCCGACAGCTACAAGGTCCCCCTGTGTGAGGAAGGGGGAAACAGGTCGCAAAGACAACAGACTGCCTGGGCTTCCTAGACCCAGCTGCTGAAGTTCGCCTTTAAATCAAGTAGCCCTTTAAGCTTCCCCTGCACTGGTCCTCTCCCCGGGGAAGGAGACCACACAGGGTGACCCTGGGGGAGACATGCTGGGTCAAAAGCAGTAGAGAGAAGCACTGGATGGTTTCTGTTCATGAGGAGATACCAGGTGGGTCAGGAGGCAGCATCTTAGTTATTCTGCAGCCGGGGGCCCGGGAATAGCGGGGGAAGATGACAGGTTGACAGCTAGAGGAAGCCACGCTGGCTGACAGGGATTCTGTAATCAGTGCAAGCAGACAAAATAGTATTTTTCAATGCTATAGAATTTATGGGACAAAAATCAAGCCAATGAGTTTATGTTCAGTTGTCTGACTTGGAACCAGCCTGTAGACAATAGGAACAAATGATTCAGGAGCCGTCACGTGCATGGGGCATGCGCCGGCCAGGCACCACACTAAGGCCTCTGCGTCCACTATCACCATAATGCTTGCAGCTTTCTGAAACACATACTGTTATCCCTTCCCATTTACAGCTGTGAAAACTGAGGCACAAAGAGGTTCATGAACTTGCTCAAAGATACACAGTTAATAAGTTTAACTCAACTCCAAAGACCATTCTCTTAACCACATACACCCCATGCTTCCCTGAACTTTCTTTAAAGTTACCAGCATTGCATCCCACATCATATGAAAAAGAAAGACCCACAGGCTCCCCTGTAATTACCTGCACGATGGCCTCTACCACAGCCTCCGGTAAGGGCCCGCTGTTGCCGATACAGGTCATGCAGCCGTAGCCCACCACATCGAACCTGGTGCGGGAGAGAAGCGCGGGGTGCAGGATGACTCCCCGTGGGCCCGCCTGCTGGTTCCTGGAGACCACTGACTTACAGAAGGCTAACACAGGGCTGTCTCTGTGAGGCTTTCATTCTCGGGAGCATTTTGATCTACTATTCATTCATCCCAAATCATTCAGTTAAGACTCCTTTTTATAATTTACTTTAGAAAAAGGCTGAAGTATAGTTGATTTTATATTATATTTTACCTATTTTATACCTAGTAGCGTGTATCTGTTAATCCCATACTCCTAATCCCTCCCCCTTCCAAATCCCCGACTTTCCCTTTGGTAACAATAAGTTTGCTTTCTCTATCTGTGAGTCTGTTTCTATTTTGTAAAAAGACTCATTTACATCATTTTTTAAAGATCCCACATACTAGTGCTAATATATAATATTTGTTTTTCTCTGCTGACTCACTTCATTTAGTACCATATCCTCTAGGTCCATCCATATTGTTGTGAATGGCAATATTTCATTCTATTTTCTGGCTGAGTAGTATTCTGTTTTGTATATATTTTTTTATCCATTCATCTGTTGATGGACACTCAGGTTGCTTCCATGTCTCAGCTATTACAAATAGTGCTGCTATGAACATGTGGGTACATTTATCTTTTCGAATTAGAGTTTTTGTCTTTTCCAGATATATACCCAGGAGTGGAACTGCTGGATGATATGGTAGCTCTACTATTTTTAGTTTTTTAAGGAATCTCCATACTGTTTTCCATATTGGTGACACCAATTTACATCCTTACCTACAGTGTAAGAAGGTTCTCTTTTCTCTACACCCTCCACACCCTCTCTAGCATTTATTATTTGTAAGACTTTTTGATGATGGCCATTCTGACTGGTGTAAGGTGATACCTCATTGTGGTTTTGATTTGCATTCCTCTAATTATTAGTGATATTGAGGATCTTTTTATGTGCCTGTTGGCATCTGTAAGCCTTCTTTGAAAAAATGTCCATTCAGGTCATCTGCTCATTTTTTGACTGGGTTGTTTGTCTGATATTGAGCTGTATGAGCTATATGTATATTTTGGAAATTAACCCCTTGTTGGTTGCATTGTTTGCAAATATTTTCTCCCATTCTATAGCTTATCTTTTAATTTTGCTGATGGTTTACTTTGATGTGCAGAGTTTTTTGATTCCCTTTAGGTCCTATTTATTTTTGCTTTTATTTCTTTTGCCTTGGGATATTGCTACGGCTTATGTCAGAGACTGTTTTGCCTATGTTCTCTTCTAGTAGTTTTATGGTGTCATGTCTTACATTTAAATCTTTAAACCATTTTTAGTTTATTTTTGTATATAGTGTGAAGAGTATCCTAATTTCATTCATTTAAATGAGGCTGTCCAGCTTTCCCAAACCACTTACTGAAGAGACTGTCTTTTCTCCATTGCATATCCTTACCTCCTTTGTCGAAGATTAATTAACTATTGGGGAATGGGTTTATTTCTGGTCTCTCTACTCCATATAATTTACTTTTATAAGTAATTTGCTTTTTAAATTTGTAAGTAAATTACGAGGAGACTACATAAATGATCTGTAATTTTTAAAAGTCAAAATCAGATATCTGATATCTTTATTCACTATTCTTATTATATAATCCCAGGGACTTCCAACTTTTATGAGATTCATAATAAAGATCTATGTCAATTAAATTAGTAATAGTGGGTTACTAGGAGAAACTGTATTTGGACACAAATAATTGACTTCAGTGAATCACAACATTTCCAGGTATGTGAAATAATTATTTTCATACAGAGGGCAGACTCTCTGTGGCAGAGCCAATATTAGCCCACAGCACACCTTCACGTAACTGAGAAAAGTTGCCCCCTCCCCTAGGAGTGCAGTGCTACAGCAGAGCTCGGGCTTGATATCAGCCCACGCTGTCTTCACAGATACCCTTGTCTGATGAACAACCAGCACAACTGTACGGGAAGGCCCTGCCTGTTGGAAAGTGAGGGTTTAAGTCTGCAGTATTTATCATTTGATGAAAGACTAGGCAATTAGATACCATCAGATAAGCTTACATCCATTTCAAGGTGACTTAGCAAGGTATCTGTGGAATACAATGCAACAAAAGCAATGGTGTAAGAGACTTCTCCCTCACCCAAGCTGAGACAGGTAAGGCATGACTCCGCTTTCCCGCAGGTAGTAGGTGACCACACCACTTCCAGGAGACAGGCTAGTTTTGATGTAAGGCTTCACGCTCAGGCCTGCATCCACAGCCTTCTTTGCTAACAAGCCTGTGAAATGGTAAACACAGACATGGTTGCGGGCTGCCCACTCTAGGTGCCACAGATAGTTCAGGAAACACTGACTTTGGTCTGCACTTCTGCACCGCCTGCCAGGACCCCACTCACGCTGGTGCTTTCTGCCATTCTTTTGCTGCCTAATAGAAACCAAAGCCTGGCATGCTGCAGTCCACGGGGTTGCAAAGAGTCGGACACGACTGAGAAACGAACAGTAGAAACCAAATGCTCACTAGCCCAAAGTCATCCACGTCTGTTCAGTGAGCTCAGAACGAGCCATGGATGTGAATGATATGAAAAGAGAAGAGCTTTTTGTTTTTTAAAGAGATAAACCATTCATGATTATATTATAGAGTGAGTTTTTCATTTCTGGAGGGAAAGCAATCTTTCTAATTATATTTAGATAAAAAATAATTGGAAGGGTCTGTTCTTAAAGTATACGAACTGTGTACTAGTTGGTGAGGAGTACAGTCCACCTAGAAGTTAAAAATCTTGCTCTCAGATATTTCTTAAAGTGGAAGATCAAGGGCTGCTGGGTCACTTGATTCTGGGCAAATCCAGAGGCTATGTATGACAGGGACACTTGGGTGCTCTGACTTAGGACATCTCGCGGAAGTAGGAAAGAAAGAAGGAGTGTGGGTATTAAGAGACAAGAAGCTACAGACAAGCTAGTGTCTTGTCTTACGGAAACTTGTTTGTCCAAAGCTTAGGGGCAAGAGATGAATACTTGGACAAAGAAAGGTTTCCTTATGCACCCGTCCATTTCATAAAGAAAGAACTATTTGTGTGTAGACACAAGAGGAACTCTTCAGGATATTTTAAAACTTGGAAACTAAAGGGACCTTATATTAGTGGAACTCTGCATGTAAACATTAAATAACCAGAATTGCATAATAGGCAGATAAGCTTTATCAACCAAGTGCCCTGTGTGCTAATTCAGGTGCACTTGGCAATGTATCTAAGACTAAATGCCACGGTATAAAAAGGGATTTTATGAAGACCAATCTGTGGCATGAAAACATTTTTTCCTTTTTCTAAATTCAGACACAAGATTCTAGGCTTTACCAGAAATTCATCTTTCCTTCCTCTCTCTTCCTTATTTTCTGTGTTAATTCTAAAGACCACACTACTTTAAATATTTTATATTGGGCACTACTTATTGAATAGACATTTCTGGGCCAATTAGTCTCTGCATCTGGGAAGGACAAGGTTCAGGGAACTACAAAAGTCGAAGTGTTAGTCACTCGGTCGTGTCCGACTCTTTGCGACCCCATGGACTGTAACCCAGCAGGCTCCTCTGTCCATAGGACTCTGCAACAAGAATACTGGAGTGGGTTGCCATTCCCTTCTCCAGGGGATCTTCCCAACCCAAGGATCAAATCCGGGTCTTCTGTCCTGCAGGTAAATTCTCTGCAGTCTGAACCACCAGGGAAGCCCCACACATAGAACTTAATTAAGCCCTTGGGTTATGTCTTGGAAATTCCCACCCACATGTCCACAAGACCATCAGATGTATTTACCTGCCCCTAACATCACAGATGGATTACTGGTGTTTGTGCAGCTAGTAATGGCAGCGATTACCACAGAACCATGAGCAAGGGTGAACTTGCTGTTATTATAGATAAATGTCTTATGGTCATTATGATGGTCTGGAGCAACCTGGAATCCTTTAAATCCTTGCTATAGGAAGAAAAAAAGAAAATATATATATATATATGGTCAAAAGTTCTCACTTTGGAAGGAGAAGAAGCACTTTGGTAATTATAATTCTTAAAACATAAACATCTCAGCTGGTAAACTCTGAAATGCTACAGGAAAATTAAAGTTCCCTTCCCTCTTTTAAAATCTTTATAAAAGGGAGTCATGATTTCTGAATCTTATTTTGCTTTGAAATTATTAACAATTACCTCCTTCCCACCATAAATATTGAAACACTACAGCTAAAAATTTAGCTTAAAATTAGTCTAACTCAAGCAAATTAGTACAGATTTAATGGCAACAGAGGGCAGAGGCACTAACCATAAGGAAATTTAGAAAGAGGTGCCATTTTGCCCAGATTCAGCCAAGCATGAGCAATGAGGTGAACACAGTGCAGCTGAACATTTGGTAAAAGGCTGGTGTCCCATGGATAAAACCCATCACTAATCTTAATCATTCATTTGGGAAATGTTCACTGAAAATCTGTGTACGGGATGCTCTGCTGGGCACTGTGTGGGACACAAATGTGACTGCGACATAAACCCTATCCTCAGACTCCAGAGTCTACTAAAAGAATCAGACGCGCAAATAACATAAAGTACCAACAATGCAGTTAAAGGATATGAAATGCCACCACAGGGGTTTAGACTCATGCCAGAACGTTCAAATGAGGGAGAGATGACTTTGTGCTATGAGATCTGAGGTCATGCTGTGGAGGAGCTGAGAGATTGGGGCATGCTGGTGAGGAAGGGCATGTAGGCAGGGGTGGCATGAACAAAATCAGTGGCCAGAATAGCTTGTTCAAGCAGAGTGAACGCTGTGGCGAGAGTCATGTGAAGAGTGGATATGCTTTGGAAAAGGAGAGTTAGAAAAAATGAAAAGGAGGGTTGAGTGTTTACAGTGTTTACAGGCAATAGAGGGCTATGAGGAACCTGCTCAGCTCCTAGCTAAGGCGGGAGGAGGCACCGAGGGGTTCAGTTTGGAGAGGAAATGCCTTCAGTACGAGGCTTCAGGAAGATTCATCATCAGGAGGGGTGACAAGAAGCCTGTGCCTGAAGAAGCCAGCAGGGGGAGGGTCTCCACCCACCTCTCCCAGCTCCCTACCTTGGCCCCCAGGCAGCTCTCAAAGTCCTTTTTCATGTCAGACACAGCCACTTTGTCCTGAGGCCTTTTGGGTCCGCTGCAGCAAGGCACTACTGTTTTCAAGTCTAACTCCACAACCTGTCCACCCAGAAGAAAAGGAACCACAGAACTGGCATTATACCCACAAAGAAAAAAAAAACAGCTGTGCCAGAGAATTCACACCACAACAATAAGAACAAACACATCGGGCTACCACATTCAAAACCAAGAAAGCCAGGGTCCCTTTTTAACACTGAAGGGATGGATTTTCAGAGATCCAGAACAGTATTTTGGTAGCATGCGACAGGCAGAAGCCTTGCACGCTCTCAGAAAGACCAGGGTGGGCCCTATGGCTGCTGTGGTCTTCCACTTGGCCCTCTTTATAAAGCAGCTCATACATCCTTTTAATTGCTTCAGTTAGTCTGAGATGTGTTTCCTACTGAAATGATAAACCATTGTAATTTTTCTAAGATGACCTGGGGAGATGTCATCATTAAGTCATCAATGCCAAGAAATGGGCCCTAGTCTGATGGAGTATTTCCTTCCCTCAGCGTATTAATAATAGGAAAGGAAATAATAGTCCCACATCTGGTTTACCCTCTGATCTTGGCTGTGGAGAAAAATGTGGGTTTAGTTTGCACCCTGGACAATGAGTAAAGATAAGTAGTGGATAAACTGAACTAACTGATTGGCTCACACTTAATTAATTGGCTTGCACATTCATTTCTTCCCTATCTATAATTCTGATGAGCTTATCAGCCTTTAAATAGCTCCGGTCCTTCTAAACTTCTTCTCCAAAGGTCATCTACATAAGAGGAATAAATCAACCTAATGGCCAGGAAGAACGGGGGAAGTTATGTTATTTTGTTATGTCTGCAATTCCTTATCTTTTTTATTTTTTCAGCCTTTAACACCCTATTCTTCTGTGATAACTTGGCAGTGACTAATTTCCTACAAGTACACCCCCCTAGGAAAAATTGTCACAATTAAAACCACAGGCTTGAGGAAGAGGAAACGTGTTCAATGAGAGGTGCTCCCATACCTGGGCAAAGTCTGGGTCTTGAGAGGAGTCACTGAAGTCCCGAAACATTCCTACAGCCTGAAGATACTGTTTAATATGCTGTACTTTTTCTTTGTCACGACCTAATGGGCATTTTAAGAAGTAACAAGTAACAGATGTCAGTATTTTCTGATGAAACTAATACCTTTAGCAGCAACTGCATAAATAATGGAGGTTTCACTTAAAACACTCCAAGCCCTCTGCTGACACTGCAGCCTTCAGGCTCATGGATTGCCTTTCCAACAGATGCTGCTGTTTACTAGGGACCATGAACCAATCTGCTGTTCCACCGAAGGGACTGTTTTCTGAAAAGGATTCTAGTCTTACTTATAAGTACTCCTCTCTCTTGGTTATAGTTCTTTTTTTTCCCCCCAATTATCTGGCGGCACTGTGTGGCATGTAGGATCTTAGTTCCCTGACCAGGGATGAAACCCATGCCCCCTGCATTGGAAGCATGGAGACTTAAATCACTGGACCACTGGGGAAGTCCTGATTATGGTTCTGAATTAAGAGGCTCCTAAGACAGCAAATTGCCAAAGTGCCCCTCCTATGCATCTGCCTTCAGCTGGCCATAGACCCTCAACATTCTACATTAGTCCTGTTAAAACAGTAATTTCCCACCATCTCCTACCACAAACTACAAGCTGTGTGCCCAGCACTGTGGGCTAAACTTTTTCAATGCATTATTTCAATGTCTAATCCTTTATCCTGACCTTCTGAGACAAACACTATTATTATCCTTATGTATAGATGAGGAAATAGTGGCTCAAGAAGATTAAATAACTTTTCCATGGAACACAGGCTGTAAATGGCAGAATCAGGAGTCGAAGCTGAGTTTAACTCCAAAGTTCAAAGTCCTAACTCATGATACTGTATCACCAGGAATATGACCCCAAATGCTCTGCTGTTTCATTCAGAAAGATCCTGGTAGTAGGAGATAAAACGCATGGTTTGCCCAATGGACATGCAGTCCTCCCATTTCTCTGACAGTAAATTAAGACTGCTGGAGAGCTTGATTCTTGGAGCCACATCAGATCAGCACTTTTGTTTGCCTGTTCACGTTCACTGAATTGTCAAGGTCATCAGCTGTCAGCATGGATCTTATAACAGATGACTGTCTGATCTTCATTAGCATATTTATCATGACCTATTGTTGGGTCCCAGCGTTCACTACACCCCGTGTCACCTTCTCCATGAAAACACATGGGAGAAATTTCTCTTAGGTTTCTGTTTAAGAAAGGGTTCGCCTTCTCTAAAACCATTTGTTTCATTTCAATAGAGGCTATAAATTCAGTACCAGATCAGTAAGAGGTTCATTGGCCACCTCTAGATCACAGAAACCAATCTTATCTCTGGCTGTAGTTTGCAGTTTTCCGCTCCCCACCATCCCTTCCCTTCTCTTCTTTAGGGTGATGCCTCTACTATTTAACTGAGGGACAGAGGCAGAAGGTAGCACTCCAACTCTCAGCTTTCTCTGAACTATACAAAGGACCTTCTGCTCTCAGGGTTCTGCACTTACCTGTCTGCACTAGGTACTTGATACTGACTTCATCAACTGGGAAAAAGGCGGCAGTGGCCCCATACTCTGGACACATGTTGGCAATCGTAGCTCGGTCGGCAATGGACAACTGGGCTACTCCTGGCCCAAAGAACTCGACAAACTTGCCCACTACCCCAACCTGGCGGAGGTGCTGAGCAACAGGATAATAACAGAATTTGAGATTTGATAACCCACAGTTTTTTTTCAGTATTTATTTATGTTTTATGGTCATGCCGGGCGGCATGCAGGATTGTAGCTCCCCAATCAGGGATTGAACTCGTGCTCCCCACATTGGGAGAGCACAGTCTTAACCAGTGGACCAACAGAGAAGTCCCGATAACCCTTATTTAAAATGCAGAACTATCCCCTTGCAGTTCTCATAAACTAGCCTTGTGAGTCAACACAAACAATAAATTAGCCCAGTATATTTTGGATTATGGGCTTCCCAGGTGGCTCAGTGGTAAAGAATCTGCGTACCAATGTAGGAGACACAGGTTGGATCCCTGGGTTGGGAAGATCCCCTGGAGTAGGAAATGGCAACCTGCTCTAGTATTTTTGCCTGGAAATTTCCATGGACAGAGCAGCCTGGCAGGCTACAGTCCATGGGGTTGCAAAGAGTCAGACATGACTGAACACACATTATAGATTACTTTTAAAAATAAAACTTAAAAAGCAATGCAACTAATACAACATGGTATCCTGTAGTAGATCCTAGAAGAGAAAAGGGACATTACTAAAAAGACTGTTGGAATTTCTAGTTTAGTTAAAAATGTCATACCAAGGTTAACTACTATTTCTGATAAATGTACCATATAAGATGTTAACATCGGGGGGAGCTGAGAGAAAGGTAACAGAACTCTGTTACCTTTACATCAATTCGCCTATAAATCTAAAATTATTTCAAGACAGTTCTTGAGAAAGAAAAAATAATATAAAAACACAATATTAAGAAAAGTTTTCAAAATGAGAAAACTTTCTAAAGACTAAATAAATTCTTTCAACTTAAATTAGTTATGATTTGCACTTGCTGAGTAAGCAAATGCTTTGTTTCCAAGTGTATAATGAATGAATATCCTGAACATAGGTATAAATCAAATGTAACCAAAAGATTCAGGCAGTCTGACTCCCACATCTTTTCCATTCAAGCCATCAGCCAGAGCTGCAGCATCAGTGACCAGCTTGGGCCTGCATGAAATCAGTTTCATGAAGTGTGGACAACCACGAAGACAGGCTCTTCTGATTATGTGGCATTCTGCCAAATTTTGTGGCTAAAGCCTATATTATTCTATACTTGAACAATGTGGACATCTCTGATAAGCTGTAGTATTCAAACATATCCAATTCTGATTTTCATGAAGATTAAATCAAAAGTATAGTATCCATCCCAAATACCCCAAGCCTCCAAACTATACAACCAGAAAAAACTTTGTGATAATAAAAAAATTACTTTTCTAATAATCTTTCAAAATGAAACTACCTTCTTCTGCAAAGCAAGCAAATCATCATAAAAGATTACTTCCAACAAGGGCAAATTTTCCAGCTTGGAAAATCATCCGTTACAATAATGTAACTTATAATACAAAGAAAGAAATTTTAAAAGTAAAAAATTATTCATAGAAAGAGTTTGTTATTTACATACAAAGAAGAACCACATGAAAAAAGTACAGAAGTATAAACATATGCATGGAAATGATTTTGTACAACCTCAGCATAATGATTATCTTTAGAAATGAGGAGGGTGGCTTTAGCCATAAACATCACATTTCACTTCTTAAAAAAATGTACATACAGAGAGAGCTCTGAAGCAAAAACAGCAAAATGTTACCATCTGTTAAGTTTATGTGGTGGGCATGTAAGTGTCATTTTAACTTCTGTGTATTTAAACTATTTCACAGTTTCAAAAACATTTTTTTTTTCAAAGAAAAAGATCTATGCAGCAACAGAAGAGTAACGTGAACCTAATGATCTGAAATTTGACCGCAGAATTCTCACCTTATCTTGTCTCTTTTAAAATCATCAATGTACTGTTTCCTAGCATTCCTAGCACATGGAAACCAAGAGAGAGTCCATTAAGGACTTCTCCCAGTTTGTCACTGAGACTCTCTAAGACCCCAGAAGAGGCAGCGCTTGGTTACCTTGGTGATGGTGAGCACGATATCAGTGGATGTTACCAGGGGGTGGGGACTTCCCACCAGCAGGTAGCCGATCACCTGGGGAAGCACCATGCTGATTGGCTGGCCCAGCATCACAGCTTCCGCTTCGATACCACCCACACCTGTATGCAAAAATGGTTTCATGACTCCTAAGGCATAGTTCAGTATCATTAATAAGTAGTCAACCCACTTACAGTATTTTACTAGTGTAGAGTTATATTTCCATAAAGAACGGTTATCTTTCCTTTATTTCCCTCTACAGAATTTTTAACAAGTGTTTCTTGGAGTGGGGTCTCCCGACATCTAGATCAAAATCCCCGTGATTCCACACAGAAAAGGAGAGTGAGGATCAGGAGTATCCATTTTTAACAAACTCTCTGGGTGGTTTTAAATTATTTTAAACGTCCCTAACCCCCTGTTCCAATTCATTCTTCCAAACATTATACTGAGTGCGTAAAAGGCACAAAACACTTTTCAGGATACTGGAAATAAAGCAGTAAGCAAAACAGACAAAAATACCTTTCTGATATTTGTTGGTCATTCAAATTCATGCTCCTGGAATGTAACGGTATCAAAGCAAATCGAGGTCCATGCCATAGACCAGCATATATGGCACAGGAACCACTCACCCCAACCGAGGACGCCCAAACCATCAATCATGGTGGTGTGTGAATCTGTGCCCACAAGGCTGTCTGGGTAGTAATATCCATCCTGATCAAAGACCACTCTTGCCAAATACTCCAGATTCACTTGGTGGATGATTCCTGAGCCCGGTGGAATAATCCTCATGTTGCGAAAGGCCTGAGAGCCCCACTAGGGTTGAGAAATGGGAGGAACATTGTGAATGCCAGACACACTTTTATGCAGCTCACCACTCCCTTGCACCCCACACACATGAAGAATCAATCAGTGGAACCAAGCTCTGCCTGTACCTTTAAAAATTCAAATCGTTCTTTATTTCTCTCAAATTCCAAGTCTTGATTCTTCTTTAAACTGTCTGCCCTGTCAAAGAGAACAATTAAACGTGTAAATTTTAAGGCTTAATACGTTACCAAAGTTATTGATGATAATAAGTCAAATGGCATATTATCTGTAGGCCTGCTGGGTGGTAATGCATTTATTCACATGGCAAAGAAGAGTTAATTAAAGAAAAAAGAACTTTATTTTTTGATTCAGGTGATTTTTTACAATGCCTTTAAACATGGTGGGTAGAAAACATTAAGTGAATCTAAGTAAAAACTATTCTAATCATAAAGTCTGAGTCTTAGGAACAGACTTAAGACATTTACGATGAGAACAGTAGTTTAGATTCTTAAAAAAGCCTTCTTTCCATACACCTTTCTCATCTGTGACTTTGTTACGACACCCCTCTGAGCTGAGCCATTCCTGGGCCTGGCATTTTCATCTGTTTTATGTTGGGAGACAGGGACCCAGTGATGCAAGGAGGCACAAGAATTTGTAGGATCACAACCTCCTATCCTCCAAATGGAGGTTTATAGGGCAGATGGTGCCACCCAAGAACATCTATAAAACCCAAATTACATGCCAAGGTTTGCTCAAAGTCATTCCATCCATCAGGATGGACATGGACAATGCAGAGTATCAGGAAGCTTTTCCAGGATTTTTATAATCAAACTGCACTGTTTTGAGTCAAGGTAGAATAAGTCATAGTGGTAACTCTGCATGCTGAGCACACAGGAAGCACGTGTCATGGACTGACTGAACACATGGAAGGATAGTAAAGTTAATTGCTAAGACCCAAGTCAGACCTCACTAATTGATAGTTAACACTTACTGACATTATGAGAGGTAGGCACTAACGTGCTTTATTATTTTCTAATTTAGTCTCCAAAACAGCCCTTTAAGTTAGGGGCAACTAATATCCACATTTCTTTCAGGAGGAGACAGACAGAAGGTAAGGTGCTCCAGACCACCCAGCAAGTAAATGATGGAATTGGTATTGAAACCCAGGCAGTCTGACTCTAGAATCGATGTTCTAAATCCTTATACTGCCTCCTTGCAGTAGTAGTTACAGAAACTGTAGCAGTGGTGCTGGTATTGTAATAGCAACAACCTCCATAATAATTATAGCAGAAGACAAAGTGCAAGATTGCAAGATGCGTCATCGAGTTTACACATGTGAACTCATCCAATCATTGTAACAACCCTTCACGTAGGTACTACTATTATCCCAATGTATAGAAGAGGAAGCTGAGGCACAGAAAAATTAGATAACTTTTCCAAGTACACTGAGGGCTCCATCCCTCCAGTCCCCACCTGTGTCTTCAGTCCTCCACCTTCATCCTAGTACACTGAGGGCTCCATCCCTCCGGTCCCCACCTGTGTCTTCAGTCCTCCACCTTCATCCTAGTACACTGAGGGCTCCATCCCTCCGGTCCCCACCTGTGTCTTCAGGTCCTCCACCTTCATCCTAGTACACTGAGGGCTCCATCCCTCCGGTCCCCACCTGTGTCTTCAGGTCCTCCACCTTCATCCTAGTACACTGAGGGCTCCATCCCTCCGGTCCCCACCTGTGTCTTCAGGTCCTCCACCTTCATACCAGTACACTGACGGCTCCATCCCTCCGGTCCCCACCTGTGTCTTCAGGTCCAGATCCATATTCCCAATGTATCCTAAGCATCTACACCAGGAATGCTTTGGACACCACAAATGCAACAGGTCAAAGCCTAATGTGTGACCTTCCTCCCTACATCCTCCTACTTGTCCTTGTCTGTCCATCCCTCATCTAAAGATCTCTTCTCCCACTTAGTACCTACAGCTATCAGAGTATTTATTTCAGAAACAGCCTCCTGTCCAGTTTCTCTCAATCTAGTCAACCTATCTTTTGTACTGTCACCAGAATTTGGTTTTCAAAAAAAAAAAAAGATCATTACAACCCATGTTGAATCTGTCAGGGGATCCCATTTTCTAAATAAAGTACAAATCCTTTTCTTTAAAAAACAAGGTCCTTCAGTCTGACCTCAGACTTCCTTCATGCACTCTCTCCCATCCTCCAGTCCAAACTTTCAGCTTCAGCTGCACTGTGGCCTTCATTCTCTCCCACACCACACTTTCCTTGTGCCTTCGCATGCTCTGTTCTCTGTGTAGAATGCCTTTCCAGCTCCTTGTGGTAAATGTGCCTGGGGACCTAGATCAAGTGATACTCCTGGAAGAACCCCCCAACTCTCCAAGTTAGTGATTTCGTTCCTACACTTGCTAACTACATTCAAGCTATGCATTCTCTAATCTCTCTGCTTTTTGACACTAACCTGCTTCTTGAACAAATACTGGCACACAATAGGTCTGTTAAATAGAATTATTTTTAATTAAAAAAAAAAAAGGAAAGGCATCTTGGAACATTATTCTTAATCATGTATGGCCCTGCTCCATCTCTTCTGCTGTACTCTGAACACCCACGGACTCCCAGTCATTATGCCTCATCCTCCTGTCTCTAGAAGGATGTCAGAGCTCCTTACAGCAGAAGCAGGACTGGAAGAAGACCATTTAACCCACAGAATTTTGGGACCATCAGTTTGATATGAATGACAATAGTCACAGGACAAGCAGAAGCCAGAATGCTTAGGCTGCTTTACAATATGTTAATTCTAAGTTAAAAAAAAAAAAAAAAAAAAAACCACCACCAACAACCCTTTTAGTCACTGAAACAGAACAACTTTCATGCTAACCTTGGCTCTTTAACTTAGTTCTAGTTATTCAAATGAATAAACAGACCTAGAATTCAGAGTTTTCTACCACTCAGAACTGTCCTAGATTTACCCAATATGGTGAGTTTTTAATAAGATCTCTGAATGTGAATGGCCTCACAGATTAAAGAGGAAATGTCTCCTTATTTACATAAATTGAAATCAGATCTGGATGTAGTTCAAAGTTTCTGAGTATTACATTTAATGGTACTCCAGAAATTCACAGAAAATATTTATAGAGGAAATAGTTCGGACATTCTTGAAATCTGGTTGGAAACGGCTATATTCTTGTTGGGATTTTAAAAAAGGTTATTTCTGAGATAACTTTGAAAAACATTATAATAATGCATTAGTTAGACTCTTGATTCCTAAAGATAGCGTGAAGCCAATTACTAATATTCAAACAAAGGAAAGAGCTTAGAAATACTTAACTGAGAAAATTCACCATCCCACCACCCCTTACACAGTTATATTAGTTCATTTCTGGAAATAGCTGGAAATAAGCCCACAGCACAGAGTTCCACAAAAGTTGAGACATATCACATTTAATTCTTTACAAAAATGAGGAAACAAGACTGGGAGGTCAAATTGCAAAACCAAACTCAAGAAATAAAAACAAAACACTAGCAATGAAAATGCTTCTCACAGAAATGTTTCTCTCGAATTAAAAAAAAAAAGTGTTTGCTAGATTTGGGTATCATTTTGGATCAAAGCTCAACCTTGGACTTTGCGTTTTTCAAAACAATATTTTCAGTATTACAGTGTAAATGAAAAAGATCCATCAAAAATTGAAACCAGAGTTGATAGATGTCACAACTAAAAGAGGAAGCCAAGTCACAGTGAACTCAGTGCTGATTCAGGTTCTTTACCTACTTAAAGAGTCAGGAGTTCTTTGAGTTTTGAGTCAATTGCAATTGCAATTCTGTCTCCACCAGTACTTTTACCTTCCAGGCCAGGAATATAAAGGTAAATCCATGAAGGCCAATGAGAGTCTTCAAGAAAGAAAAGTCTTTAAGAATGATTTTGTGGGGTTGTTGTTCAGTCGCTAAATCATATCCAACTCTTTGTGACCCCATGGACTTCCCTGTCCTTCACTATCTCCTGGAGTTTGCTCAGACTCATGTCCACTGAGTCAGTGATGCTATCCAACCATTTCATTTTCTGCCATCCTCTTCTCCTTTGCCTTTGTGAGCTTACTTTTTATTCATTTCTGAAGTGGGACTTTACGAAGCATACTTACTCTTCAATAGGACAATAGTTTGTGTATTTTTAACTCTTCCATTTGAAATAAAAATATTAGATTGAGCTCATGTAATTTAAGGGAAAAAAAAAAAAAAGACATGTCACCTAAGGATGGGTTTAGAGTCCAAAGGAAAGGAAAGAGCTGGCAAGTATCCAGTCTGTTTGTTCCAAGAACCAACAGTTCAGGAGACAAAGCAGATTTCTCTCTGTTCCTGAATTTTTCTGGTTTGGGTATTGTCAATACTAATTTGAGAATGACCAGTTTCTACACTTGTGTTAAGGCTATATGGAACCCACTTAAATTGCCAAGGAAGCAAATAAAGGTTTGGGTTTTTTTTTTCCCCCTTTGTGCGGTTGGTTTCACATTCTTAAATGAACTTCTATGATAAAAACAACAGCTTCTTATTGTAAAAATAAAGAATAGTTACAATCGCTTAGCAGTTTCGCACCTCTCTTTCCAATTCTTTAATCTCTGCCTAGCTTTTCACTGAGCTGAGATCACTCTACACAGGCAATTTCTCCCTGGTTCCTTGAGCTAACACATGAGCATGTTCCAAGTGTTATTAAGGATTTATATATAACCCTAAAGGTTACTTAATATATTTATTTTAAGGATGTATGTAATTTAATAAATCACTCTCCTTTGTTGGGACACCTAGAATGCTTCTAGGTTTTCTCTATTATAAACAATACTTTATTTATTTATTTTTAATTTTAATTTTTTTTCCATTTATTTTTATTCATTGGAGGCTAATTACTTTACAATATTGTAGTGGTTTTTGCCATACATTGACATGAATCACTATTTAGTCACTAAGCTTCTGCTGAATTTCACAAATCTATAAAAGGTAAATCCCAGGATTTTTACTGGGATTTCAAAGGATATGGCAATTTCTAAGGATCCAAATACAGAGTGCTTTCATTATTTCTAATTTCTAGCGCTATCAGCAGCATATAAAAGTGTCTCCATCATGACACCTTTATAATTAATAACATTTACTTTCTAATCTTAACTATGCTGATAAGAGAAAATGGTATCTCAAGGGTTTAATTTACCTTTTTATTACTTGTAAAGTTGAAAAGGCTTTATATACTGTTTACCATTTCCATTTCCTGTGAAATGTCTACTTTGCTTTGCCCATTTGTTTGCTGGGTTTTATTGTTTCTTTTTTTTTTAATAGGTCACACATACTCTGTACATATTAAGGCTATTAACTCTTTATTGAATATATTTCCACGTTACCTCCTGTTAACTGTGAAGTCCTTACATCTATCGTTTTTGTGACTTTGTTTCATTCATTGCCTCTCAATTGGGAAAAGTCTTTCTTATCAAGACATTTGACACATATAAAGTTACATTTTCTTCTAAATGTTTGATGATTTAATTTTAAAAATATTAATGCTTTCAATCATAGGTACTGTCTTTTCTACCAAAGATTTAATTTTCCCAGCATTGTATGCAGAACAGTTATTTCTTTTTAACTAAGGTTCTATCTAAAGTTGGAAATAATTTTAGTTATTTTTCTAGGTGAAGGTGTCAGCCTTCTAGCAGTACCTGGCTGCCCTCCCTGTATTCATATCCTTGTTAAGTAATCTTGCAGTTACTGGAGTGTATGCCTCCATCCCTGACTTTGGGCTCGACCGCGGGCCTTGCTCTGATTAATGTCATTGTGAACAGAAGTGATCAGATGGCAGTCCCTCATCAAGGCCTTGAGAGATACTGCAGGTTCCCGCTTGCTCTCTCCAGCCTCTGTGATGCCCAGACAGCTGCTTTCTCCTTCAGCCTGGGCTCCCAAAGCAGCCCGCAGAGAATGGGGCAGGCCCCACTGCCCTGCAGATGTGCAGTGGAAGCAGTCAACCCAGTCACGGCTGGGTGAGGCACGGCTGCCCAACCAACCTCAGCTGAGATTAGCTCACCTCCCAAATAACTGGTAGCCGTGTAAGAGAAATTTTTATCATCTACTGCCACTGAGATTTTACTGGTAGGTTATTGGTAGGGTTATGGCAGGAAGAGAGAAGCGGATATCCCGGACAGTAGAAGGAACAAAAGAAAAGAAAGGTACAGACATATGGACACCATGTGGAGAGGCAGAGATGGCTAGATATAAAATAATTACTTGGAATCAAAAGAGGAATAAGGATCAAGTGGTTAGAAAAAGCAAAACAAAACACCTAAACTCTTTTAAGGTCACACACATACTTGTACTAACAAGCTCTCCTGGCAGAAATTTGTTAGTGTTTTTCATCCAAATTTCAAGCTTAAACACAGCCTGCTCACCCACAGGAAGTAAATAGAAAGAAAAAGAAGATTAATGTCCCCATCACCAAAAAAAAAAAAAAAAAAAAAATTCAAGGGAAAATATATAGTAAGTTTGAGTTTTTCTGAATATATCTTTTAAAGATTTTTCTTCTTTTATTTAATGATATAAACACACACAAGAAAGACTTATACTCCAAGATTTTGCACAAAGCAGAAAATCCAAATATTCATCCTAGTCTCTCACCTTCTGTTGAAATCAACCTGGATGGAATGATCAATGACAAGATCAGCAGGACAGATGGGGTTTATTTTCTCTGGATTGCCTCCTAACTTTTTCACAGCATCACGCATGGCAGCAAAGTCAACCACAGCTGGCACACCCCTAAGAAATAGGAGAATTAAGCAGAAAACGAATCTGTTAAACAAGTGTTATGTGGCTTTTTTTCAGCTTTTGTTTCTGCTGAAAATACATTTCCTTGAGTGGAAATAACATCAGTAATGAGCATCATGGCTGAGTGGTACCTCTATATGCAATTTTACTCCTGCATTAAAGTTTACAACCAATGTGGTTTACGCAGAGAAACTGTCAGAAAGCTGGTACTTAAAAACTTTGGAACTTTTTCTGCTATCACTGTTCCCTACTCACATGGTGGGCTAACAAAGACCTGGGCAAGATATACAGATCACACTCCTCAACTTCAGGCCAAATTTAAAGGAATGGATATAACTCAGAAAAGCAGGCTGTGAATCAAGTTTATATTAAGCACATCCGTCCTTTTTATTATATTAGAGAATAAAATATGAGTAATCATCCTCTAAAAAAATGAAATTTGGTCTCCAGAAGTAATAAAATAACATCGTTTAAAAAAATGAAAAGGTAGTTGTCTCAAAATGAGGCTGTGAAGGGCTCCCCTGGTGGTCCAGTGACTGAGAACCCGCCTGCCAATGCAGGGGACACAGCCTCAGCCCCTGGTCCGGGAAGATCCCGTATGTCACAGGCTGCTCAGCCCGCATGCCTCAACGGCTGAGCCTGCGCTCCTGAAGCCCACGGGCTGAGAGCCCGTGCTCTGCAACACGAGAGGCCACCGCAGTGAGAAGCCAGCGTTCCACAACTACAGAGTATTCCCTGCTCGCTGCAGCTAAAAGCCGCGGGCAGCCATAAAGACCCAGTGCAGCCAAAAATAAACAAATAAATACATAATTTTTTTTTTTAAAGTGAGGCTGTGATGGGAAGCAGTTCTTCAGACTAGCAGGATGTGAGCAGAGACTTAACAGCAACACATCAGGCCTTGCAAACTATGTATCTCCCCTCCGGTGATACATATCAACATTCCAAGGATGGCTGTTTAAAACCTGGCTCCCCCCAGAGGGATGGGATGGGGTGGGAGGGGGGATCGGGATGGGGAACACATGCAAATCCATGACTGATTCATGTCAATGTATGGCCAAAACCACTACAATATTGTAAAGTAATTAGCCTCCAACTAATAAAAATAAATGAAAAGAAAAAAAAAAGTAAAAAAAAAAAAACCCTGGCTCCCTGGGTGAGAGGGTGTGGGGGAGAAAAGATTCTAAGGCAGTTCCACTTCATGCTGTTTCTTTCAACTTTTTTGCTAGTACACTGAGGACTAGGGTCTTCAGACCAAGGACAATGATGTCCACCACTGGGAAAGGTGGGTGAGTACCGTCCCTGAGATTATCTCTTGCCATCTGGGATGAACGCCCTCTTTTGCTTTCAAGTGTCTCTGAATATTGAGTGAAAAATCTCACAGTCACTGTGTTGTTTTTTTGTTTTTGCCTTTAAAAAGCCTTCTTTACAGGCTGGCAAGGGAGGGAGAGAAGAGAGTAAGGTGACACGAGGCTCACGTAAAGTCCTGCAGGATGACTCGGGCAGGCTTAAAGGGCACTTCTATGTTCTTATGCTGCATGACCTTCCAATTCAGGATATTTTCAACATCACTTTTCTTCACCAAAAATTGATCACAGTTCCGAATGGCTGCCTCCAGGAGAACTCTGATAGAAAATGGTAAGGATCCTAGGAATAAAAGGAGAAAGCATAACAAAACAAAGAAAAAACCATGAGACATCTTATTATCAGAGCTCTTAGAAGCCAATCTCCATCCAAACTTGATACAGGCAACATCCCCTCTAGTCTTTCAACAGGGAAAGAGAGTAAATTCAAACTGATTTTAATGATTTGAAATATAAGAATATTGAATGGGTTTGAGACATTCAGTTATTAGAAAATACCTATAGCCTGGGCAGAAATAAAATACTACAGTTAATTCTTTCATAACCAGTGGCTGCCTAGCCTTGGAATCCAGCAACAGAGCTTCCCTTAAGTTATCATGAAAGAAATCAGTCTAGATTATTTAATTTGCTGTATTACTGTTAGTAAAACACACACACACACACATATATACAGAGTAGTATTTCTTATGAAACCTCAGTGTGTAAAAAATGAGAAAATAACCCTTTAGAATGATTAAACTGAGACCAAAGAATAGTCATATATACCTTTCAAAGGAAATAAACACCTAAACTCCATGGAGTATGATCATTGGTAACCATGTTTTTTAGAATAAGACAATGGTAATTTTTAAGAAAATTTATTTTGCTTATAAAAGAAGTGGTTCATCTTGACACATAAGAATTATTCACTAGTATTATCCAGAAAAGGCAAGAGTACAAAGGCAGAAAACACAGGAGTTGGGACAAAAAGGCTTGTGTTTTCATCCTCTCCCGCTATCTTTTTGTTGTTGTTCAGTTGCCAAGTTGTGTCTGACACTGAGCACCATGGACTGCAACACACCAGGCTTCCCTGTCCTTCACTATCGCCCTGAGCTTGCTCAAACTCATGTCCATTGAATCAGTGATGCCATCCAACCATCTTACCCTGTGTCATTCCCTTCTACTCTTGCCCTCAGTCTTTCCTAGCATCAGGGTCTTTTCCAGTGAATCAGCATCACGCGGCCAAGGAACTGGAGCTTCAGGGTCAGCATCAGACCTTCCATTGGATATTCATTGACCACCTGGTTGATTTCCTTTAGGACTAACTGGTTTGATCCAGTGGATGTTGGCATCTGGAAGATGTACATACTGCTGAAGCCTAGCTTGAAGGATTTTGAACATTACCTTGCTAGTATGTGAAATGAGTACAATTGTGTGGTAGTCTGAACATTCCTTTGCATTAACCTTAGGGACTGGAATGAGAACTGACCTTTTCCAGTCCTGTGGCCATTGCTGAGTTTTCCGGATTTGCTGGCATATTGAGTGCAGCACTTTCACAGCATCATCTTTTAGGATTTGAAATAGCTCAGCTGGAATTCCATCACCTTCACTAGTTTTGTTTGTAGTAATGCTTCCTAAGGCCCACTTGAATTCATACTCCAGGAAATTTGGCTCTAGGTGAGTGATCACACCGTCGTGGTTATCTGGGTCATTAAGAACTTTTTCGTACAGTTCTGTGTATTCTTGCCACCTCTTCTTAATCTCTTCCGTTTCTGTTAGGTTCTTGCCGTTTCTGTCCTTTATTGTGCCCATCTGTGCATGAAATGTTCCCTTGGAATCTCTATTTTCTTGAAGAGATCTCTAGTATTTCCCATTCTATTGTTCTTTCTCTATTTATGTGCATTGTTCACTTAAGGCTTTCTTATCTCTCTTTGCTTTTCTCTGGAACTCTGCATTCAGTTCGGTGTATCTTTCCCTGCCTTTTGCTTCTCTTCTTTTCTCAGGTATTTATTAAGTCCTCCTCAGACAACCATTTTGCCTTCCTGCATTTCTTCTTCTCAGGGATGGATTTGGTCACCACCTCCTGTACACTATTATGAACCTCCGTCCATAGTTCTTCAGGCACTCTGTCAACCAGATCTAATCCCTTGAATCTATTTGTCACCTCCACTGTATAATCATAAGGGATTCAATTTAGGTCATACCTGAATGGTCAAGTGGTTTTTCCCTTCTTTCGTCAATTTGAGCTTGAATTTTCCCATAAGGTGCTGATGGTCTGAGCCACAGTCAGCTCCAGGTCTTGATTTTGCTGACTGTATAGAGTTTCTCCATCTTTGGCTGCGAAGAATATAATCAATCTGATTTTGGTGTTGACCACCTGGTGATGTCCATGTGTAGAGTTGTCTCTTATGTTGTTGGAAAAGGGTGTTTGCTCTCATCAGTATGTTCTCTTGGCAAAACTTTCGTTAGCCTTTACCCTGCTTCATTTTGTACTCCAAGACCAAACATGCCTGTTACTCCAGGTATCTCTTGACTTCCTACTTTTGCATTCCAGTCCCATATGATGAAAAGGACGTTTTTTGTTGTTGTTGTTGCTAGTTCTAGAAGGTCTTGTTTAGGTGTTCATAGAATTGTTCAACTTTAGCTTCTTTGGCATTAGTGGTTGGGGCCTTGACTTGAATTACTGTGATGTTGAATGGTTCGCCTTGAAGACGAACAGAGCTCATTCTCTCATTTTTGAGACTGCACACAAGTACTGCATTTCAGACTCTTTTGTTGACTGTGAGCGCTACTCCATTTTCTTCTAAGGGATTCTTGTCCACAGTAGTCAATATAATAGTCATCGTTATTAAATTCTCCCATTCCCATTTTAGTTCAGTGATTCCTAAAATGCCAATGTTCACTCTTGCCACTTCCTTTTTGACCATATCCAATGTACCTTGATTCACGGACCTAACATTCCAGGTTCCCATTCAGTACTGTTCTTTACAGCGTCGGACTTGACTTTCACCGCCAGACACAGCACAGCTGGGCGTCCTTTCCACTTTGGCTCAGCCTCTTCATTCTTTCTGAAGCTTTTTCTCTGCTCTTCCCCAGTAGCATACTGGACACCTACAGACCTGGGAGGCTCATCTTTCAGTGTCATATCTTTTTGCCTTTTCATATTGTTCATGGGGTTCTCAAGGCAAGAATACTGGAGTGATTTGCCATTCCCTTCTCCAGTGGACCACGTTTTGTCAGGCCCTGACTAGCAGGGACACGCCCTTCAGCTGTTACATGTAGCTGGAGGACAGGCCCAGTGCCCTGGCTTATCCACTCCTGGTTCTCGTTGCATGTAAACCTTCAGTGGCTGCTGGGTGTGCTGGTCAACATTCCACCCGGGGAACTGGGCAAAGGCCCTGCTGGAGCTGTTGGCTGGAGCTGACTGATGCTGGAGGAAGCCCAGGAGTGCAGGGCTCCCCAGGCTGTCTGCTGAAACTGCTCACTCTAGGGCAATCCACCACCCAGCAGCCTGACTGTTGCCCCTGGCTGCCTACTACCTATTTAGTTGCTATTTCATGTCACTGACTCTCTTTGGGCCTCAGCTTCCTCAGGACTTTTTAATGTTTTTGAATATAGCCTGATAGGCTTGTTATTTAGATTAAATAATATACATGTACAAACAATCTCTATACCAAGTGTTATATAAATGTTACATGTATATAATCATTATCTACTTGAAAATGAGCAATGTAAGAAGGGTGTGTGTGTGTATTTGTGTGGTTAATCCAAGACCATTCAGCCATTCTCTGCTACTCCCTCTTCCAACTCTCCTAAAGGCAGATTTATTAGGTAGTTTAGTTATTATGCAACTGATATTCCAATTGCTTTCAGAGCATTTATATCAAAGAGTCATGTACCTACCATATCTGGAATCCTCCAATTTATTCAAATTGAAGAATTTCTTTCCTGGTTGTGCAGGATCCAAAGGCTCAACAAGGTGTGCAAATGGGTTGCTCATGATTCCTGATAACCACGTGTCCCTGAAAAGGACAGAGAAAATTTAAGTTTCTACTCTCAAAGCTGGATCTTATTTATTCCAACGAGTATTTGCCCTCTTTAACAATTATGATACACATTGACTTCAAGAAATCACTTATTATCTTTTCAGAGTAGTGGGAAGGTGGGACACAAATGAATACCAGAATGATATTCTTAGCAAAGAAAATGACCTCTGTGAAGCTCCTGTGAAAGCCAGCATTCACCTCTAAAGAGTATACAATTACAAACTTCTTTTGTCTTATATCTACAACTTTCCAACATGATTGCACTGATAAGACATGAGGAAAAAGCGAAATGAAGGAAGTGTCACATGGGAAATCGAAAACATATGAACATCTGAGCTGGATTCATGTTTTGCTTGATAGGAGGTAAGAGGTCTGGAGCAGGTGACACTGCACAACTACATAAAGCCTGAACTCTGGAAGAGCGGGCTTGGAAACAGCTGTTTGCTTTCGTAACTGCCTCTGCAGCATTTTAAATAAACTTGTTAGTTAGAAGTCTTCTGGACTCACTTTTACATACAGTAGCAAGACTGTGTTCACATCAAGGAATCTTTAAGGTACGTGCTGCTGCTGCTGCTGCTAAGTCACGTCAGTTGTGTCCAACTCTGTGTGACCCCATAGACAGCAACCCACCAGGCTCCCGTCCCTGGGATTCTCCAGGCAAGAACACTGGAGTGGGTTGCTATTTCCTTCTCCAATGCATGAAAGTGAAAAGTGAAAGTGAAGTCGCTCAGTCGTGTCCAACTCTTTGAAACCCCATGGACTGTAGCCTACTAGGCTCCTCCATCCATGGGATTTTCCAGGCAAGAGTACTGGAGTAGGGTGCCATTGCCTTCTCCGTAAGGTACCTGGTGGATAAGGTACCTGGTGGATGTATAAAAGGCCAAACTCCCAAATAAGTCTGGAGAGGACCCTCTACCCCAGCTCTGGGCAGAATTTCTCCTGTATCTTTTAATAAATTGTAAGTGATAAACAAAACAGATCCGGCCTGCACCATACAGATAAACAGTGATTCAAATAACTATACGACTTAGAGCAAAACACTCCAGGGTAGGAGTTGGGAGACTTGGTTTCTAGATCTACCTCTCTGGAGAAAATCCTTATCAGTCCATTCTTCTGTCTTAATTATTATACAAGAATAGTAAAATTTCCCTACTTAATCCAAGGTTTTATGAATATTTAAAAGTTCAACCTATTTTGTAGATGACTGATATGAAATGATCAACATATTACTATAAAATGAAAAAAATGAAAAGATATGTATCTCGATACTGCTGCTGCTGCTGCTGCTAAGTCACTTCAGTCATGTCCGACTCTGTGCAACCCCTTAGACGGCAGCCCACCAGGCTTCCCCGTCCCTGGGATTCTCCAGGCAAGAACACTGGAGTGGGTTGCCATTTCTTTCTCCAATGCGTGAAACTGAAAACTGAAAGTGAAGTCGCTCAGTTGTGTCTGACTCTTAGCGACCCCATGGACTGCAGCCTACCAGGCTCCTCCGTCCATGGGATTTTCCAGGCAAAAGTACTGGAGTGGGGTGCCACTGCCTTCTCCAGTATCTCAATAAACCCATCATAAATTGGAAATACCATAAGCTGAAATGCATTTAATGTACTAAGCTACTGAACATCACAGCTTAGCCAAGCCTACCGCAGATACTCTCAGAACTCTTACGCTAGCTTACAGTTGGGCAAGATAACCTAACACAGAGTTGAATATCCCATGTAATGTACTGACTGCTGAAAACGAGAAACAGAGCGGCTGTCTGAGTACAGAATGGCTGTGAGGTTGTTCGTCCCAGCGATGGCGTGATGACTGGGAGCTGCGGCTGCAGCTCCTCACCATCACAGCAGAGTACGGTACTGCCTAGCACCAGCAAGGACCCAAACTCAAGACTCAAAGTGTGTTTCTACTGAATGCCTGTCGCTTTTGCACCAAAGTGGTAAAAAAAGAAGTCGTAAGTTGAACCATTGTAAACCGAGGACCGTTTGTAGAGAGAACAACTGTTTGTGAGGATGAACAGTGACAGTGGGCCTTGTCTCCAGAGACAGGCCTGTATTTTCATCAAGACGCAAAACAGATGGTTCCTTTAGGGAGTGAATGAGTGAAAGTCGCTCTGTCATGTCCAACTCTGTGTAGCCCCACGACTGTAGCCCGCCAGGCTCTTCTGTCCACAGGATGCTCCAGACAAGAATACTGGAGTGGGCTGCCATTCCCTTCTCCAGGGGATCTTCCCGACCCAGGGATCAAACCTGGGCCTCCTACACTGCACGCAGATTCTTTACTGTCTGAACCACGAGGGAAGCCCCTTAAGAGGGACAGAAGCCTGAAAGTCAGGACTGGGAGGAAGACTCACATTCATCGTATATCCTTTGGTACTGTTTGCATTTTAAATTGAGTACAAAAAAGTTGTTTGAAAATGAGTTAAAAACTCATTTTCTTGAGAGAGAGAATGTGTTCGTTCACTCTGAAGTCCAGTGCTGGGCCGTTCTGAGGAGAGGCAGCTGACTGAGGAGTAGCCCTGCCTTCCTGGGGCTCCCCGTGCAGGAGGGCCAGGACAGCCTGGGCACCTGTAGTGGACAGGAGAGAATGCAGTGGAAAGGCATGTGAGAGGCAGTGTGTGAGTGGGTGTGGGTGTCTGGGTGTCTGTGTGTCTGTGTAGGGGAGTGGGGGACGGGTCTGACCAGCACCTTGTTGCTGGGAGAGGCTTCTTTCCCCCAGACCCACATGGTTTTTAAAAAAAAAAAAAATCTTTATTTTATTTGCTATAGTATTGCTTCTGCTGTGTATGTTCTGGTTTTGGGGCCTCAGGGCATGTGGGATCCTAGCTCCCCAGCCAGGGACGGAACCGGCACTCCTGCATTGGATGGCAAAGTCTTAACCAGTGGGCCACCGTGGAAGTCTCGTCCCACGTGGTTTTTGCTGGAGCTTCCATTGGTGGGGGAGACTGAAGGCCAAGTGCCTGCCTTCTCTAGGAATTCTGGAACTGAAACTAAAGAAAGGCCAGCAGGGGACGCTGGGGCATGTTGCCACTCTATTTATAAAAGTACACACCCAAGGTCATCTGCAGGAGAATTAACTGGGGATCCTTCTTGTTAACAATAGACTCCTGGGTTCCACCCCCGCCCGCCAAGCTGCTGAATCAGAAGGGACTGGGGGAGCAGCAGGACCCAATAATCTCCCGGGTGTCTCCGGCAGGTGTCCGGTCTGACAATCATTGCTGGACAGTGTGGAGGGGCAGGTGAGGAGCGCCCACTTGGTTCAGAAGGCAGCGAGGTATCATGGAAGGGAGATGTGTAAGGTGGCGACAAATGAAACCAAAGCACCACCCCAGTTCAGGAAGGGGCCCTGAACAAGGGAAGCAGGCAGCGCCCGGCCAGGCAGCTCAGGCATTGTCTGCCCAGCCAAGGGAGCAGCATCCACTTGGCTCCAGCCACAGGTGGCATGCAGGAATGCCAGCCCGGTGTGAGGGTGTTCAAGAAAGGCTGGCAATCTGGATTTCCACCCAAACTCTCTTGATTTACAAATGTTGGTAACTAAATTTTCCTAAACGACTGAGTGGGCCTGCACCATGACGGCCAACCAAACACGCCCATGGGCGAGCCCTGACCTGCTTTCTCACTCAGCCTGGTAGGTGTTTTGGAGGAATGGTAGGAAACTAAAGAGAAAACTTGGGCAAGGAAACTCTGGAAGAGGTGGGGAACTTTTGCTGTAAAAAGTCTTAAGTCACACTGAATCATTCCTGTTTCTCTGTCAAGCCCTAAAGGGGCTCAGTTTGCCAAAATTCTATGGGCAAACCAGTTGCTAAATTGTATTCATATTTGCCATGACACGGTGAGGACTCAACGTGTCAGTTTGCTCCCCTGACGCTTACAAATGTGGGCTTCCCAGGTGGTGCTAGCAGTAAAGAACCTACTTGCCGATGCACAAGGCATGAGATGCACGTTCGATCCCTGGGTCAGGAAGATCCCCTGGAGGAGGGCATGGCAACCCACTCCAGTATTCTTGCCTGGAGAATCTCATGGACAGAGGAGCCTGGCAGGCTACAGTCCATGGGGTTGCAAGGAGTCGGACATGACTGAAGCGACTCAACACAGCTTACAGATGCCCCCAGCAGAACTCTGGAAGTCTTACATGATTCGTGCTGTTCCTACCACCCTACAAAGCCAGCTGGCATTTCAGGATGTATATATGTCTCCCTGGTGGCTCAGATGGTATAAAGAATCTGCCCGCAGTGCAGGAGACTCGGGTTTGATCCCTGGGTTGGTAAGATCCCCTGGAGAAGTAAATGGCAACCCACTCCAGTATTCTTGCCTGGAGAATCCCGTGAACAGAGGAGCCTGGTGGGCCACAGTCCATGGGGTTGCAAAGAGTCAGACATGTCTGAGCGACTTTCACTCATTCACTCACATATGGTGACCAGTGTGGCTCTTGTAGAAAATATGTTGTGTAACGCACTCTCCATCTACCTCCTTTTTTCTTTAAAAACTAAATAATTAGTTTCAGTCCATAAATGAAGGAAATCTTACTTGCAGAAGTTAGGAGACAGACGAACCAATTACTAATTACTAAGTATCAGGATGTACCATTGGCTTCATACCATCTTCTATAACCCTGGCCACAACTCTGTAAATTTCAGCCTATCATTACTCTCATTTTACAGCAGAGAAGACTGCGCTCTGAGACATGGATAGCTCGCCACAGGGCATACATCCAGTTAGAGGCAGAGGGAGGCTTTGATCTCTGGCTTTCTCTACCAGCTCCTTGGGGCCACCTCTCTAGGTGCGGCAACTACTCATCTGATGGAGGTGCTGGCTGGAGGCCACCAAGCAAGCCCTAGTGTTGATAAAAAGCCAGGAGACTTGTGGGCCTGCAAAATCCTCCTACAAGCCTCAATTTTGAATATGAGAGTTGCCTTTCCTTCTTTCTAGGGCTCCACCAGCACAGCGGCCTGGGCCGG